AGAAAGAGTTCAAATAAAAACATTAATCATTTGGAAGATATCACTGTCATTTAATTTTAATGCCCTTAAATACCCATGTAATTGCTGGCAGTAAGGAACTTTGTATTTCTCTGATATATTTAATTGGAATTTAATTCAGAAATACTTTAGAAATTAAATGTTGCAGTTACTCCTAATAACTATTGTTCTCCCTTTGTTCATACGTGCTGTTCAGAAAGCGGTGAATTTGCTGTTAGAACGAGCCTGTATGCCACCTTGGTCAGTTCTGACTCTGGCTCAAGCCACTTTGCTGTTCAGTGACCTAAAAAATAATAGGAGTTCAACACTTCTCCAGCTGACAAGGAAACTCCTGGAAAAACAGGTAGACCTACGATGAGACCAGACTTATACTATCTACATTTACATTCTACCAGCTTCCTGACAAGAAGGAAATACATGAAATTAATCTTTAAAACTTTAACTATCTGTTACAGCTTTTCCTTTTGGGTCAAAATTTAACATCAATTGATGGAAATATGAAATTCTCTCCACCTGGACCAAGAAATATCTACCTTCCTTTCCTCAGCATGCTGAACAGAATCAATGGGCAAATTGGTAAATAATGTTTCTACATGCACAGGCTAAAGGCAGGGAATTATTTGTTACATCCAGTGAAATAACTATATATATAACTATCCATCTATATAAATACCCATGTAATCACCCTGTGCAATAACCCTATGTAATAACCCTACTATAAAATAAAAATAAAATAAAAAAAGCTGTCATATATGGACGCACTGTATATACTGTATATATCCCATGCACCTATTTCTTCCTTTGGAACATTCTTCTTAAAGTCAATCAATCGATCAATTGAACTATTTCATGAAAAAAATGTCTAAGAATCTCCCCTTTTAGCAAATCAATTTCTAATGTGACTCCTAATGCATATTACACATTCTAGGATTTGTAGTGTTAACGAAGTGATGGAAAAATACTTTCTTTTGCATGGGATATATACAGTTTAATTTACTGCTAAATTAGGAAAACATCTGGTTGAGTCTCTGATTTTAAACATTTGTTGTATATAAATATGGTTATTTTCAAACAAGCATTTAAATTATCCAACAATAATTATTTGAATTATCAAAATGAATTCTAGAAAATATTAATCTTAAAGTAACTCCAAAATCTTTCGATGGATTATATCCTAACTGTCTATAATGTCTTCAGATTTACCAGTATAGCCATGAAATATAAAAAATAAATAAATAGTTTATTATTGATGCATGTACAGTGATAAAGGTCTAATATTACCCCACCATCTGAAAAACCTTTGAAAAAAAAAATATTTCTTAGACAAATAGTTCCCAATTTAGTCTTCATTTATAATGATGCTAACTGAAGATAACTTTATTTGTTTTAATTGGCTTTGTGGTAAAAACTGTTTGGTTGCTATGAAATCAAGTAGCATAAGGCAAGGATGCTCAAAACGTTTCCTTACAAATTGACAACCAGATCTATCTAGCGGCTTTAATAAAGTCATCAACCAAACATCCTGCTTACTTACCCTTATTCACTAGTAACTATGAATCCCCCTTGTATTTGGCAGCTTTAGGTAAAGCTGTCTGAAACTACAACATATAAAGCTGCATAGTTATAGAGTTAGCTGTCAAGAAACAAATTGCTAAATATTTTCTTTATGTTCTTTGTTACAGGTGGTTCTGTACCTTGAAAGCGGCTGTCTAGCCATCACTATTCACTCCTAGGAAGAGTTTTCACTGGTCCAACAAAACAGGAACAAATTCTCAAGCAGTTTCCACTCTGAGCAATAGCATCTTATTAATAGCATGATTTCCACTAGATTTCTTGTCAATTGAAGAAGCAGGAAGTGTTTGCTTGGCAGTAGAAGTTAAACAGTATTTTATCATAGCATTAGTTTAGTACTGAATTGCCACAATACAGTTATATTTTGAACGTTGTTTCTTGTATGCTGGAACATTTAAGAGAAAATAAAAGCCATAATAAAGAAATTTAAACTGTAACCATTCTTATATGAAGACTTTAAAATTTTTGCAAGATTTAGAAACATGAGTATTTAACACATTTTGATGTGTGTGTTTTTTTCCACTCTGGGATTTTCTTCATATCTATTTCCCTCTTAAATTGTTTATTTCTACAATATTTTTTTCCCCTTAACGATTTGTTTTTGTTTGTTTTTTTCCACCCTATTTTGAAAGTAGACGTACACCATTGGAGTATAAGCAAAGCCCCTGTGGTTTCAGAAGAATAAACATATAAAAAGTTCAAGTTTGAAATTACTTTTAGGTAACTAAATATCAGGCCAATTTGATGGAAGTTGTTTCTGCTATAAGCATGGAAACTGTTGTTAGATTTAGGAGGCAAATACTTATTCACATGATGCTCATGATGTCAGAAAACTGCTTTCTTAATATATATATTGGTCTAATTGTAAATCTGGTTTGGTGAAACAAAATAAAAACTGACAAAATCTTTAAGGAGCAAATATTTTTTCACAGTTTAGGGCTACTGAAAAATTTTAAAAAGTGAACTGATTTTTACATTTTATTTTGGTTTAATAGGGGGGGGGGGGGAATGTCAGAATTCTGAGATTAAATTCAGAATTCTAAGATTAAAGTCAGAAATTCTGAGAAAAAAAAAAAATCAAAATTCTGAGAAAAAAGTCTGAATTCTGAGACTAAAGTCAGAAATTCTGTGAAAAAGGCCAGAAATTCTGAGAAAAAAGTCAGAATTCTGAGATTAGGTGTTTCAAGGGAGCACGAATGTTTAGTGGAGAAAGGAAGCCCTTTCAGTTAAACCAGCTCTACTCTTTCAAAAATAAAGTTAATCTGTATTTATATTTTAAAACTATAGAAATAAAGTACATCCCCAAACTTTTAGAATATGATTTCCGGTCAGGTATTTTATTGTGAAGTACCACCGGATACAGTTTTATTTAAGTAAAGGCTGCCTTGACAAACGGTCTGCTGTCCAGAGTAACGGTAGCCTGCTCAGAGCCATCAATTGTCTGACGTTTGTTTGAGTCCAGCAGTGGTTAGTAACGGGGGTCCGCCCGTTGTTCAGGCTCCTGCTGTGACAGCTAGCCGGCTAGCTGTCTTAAATGGAGTTTCTGGATAAAAGATGATCGCTTCACTCTCAAGAGGAAGTTTGCTGGACGAGGTTCTCCATGGAGGATACAATGAGGTAACGCTCAGTAACCATCGTTACTGCCGTCTGTCCGTCCGGTAAATTATCTGATAACCTGTTAGCTAGCCTGAAAATCGCGTGAGCTTTACTTAGTGCTAGAAATGAAAAGGTGTTTCGTTTTAGAAATATAGAATTGTTCAACTAGTAAACTTTCGGTTAAAAAATGCGCTTTATAATTATTTTTAGTAAGTTTATGAGTTGAGCTAAAGTTGAGTATAGTTTATAAGCTACATCTCCTCACCCTGTAGCCAATGAAGCTAAATTCCACCGGAACCCCAACTTCAAATTACCGCTGCCATGTTTAAAATGTCTACCTTCTTTGTGGTTTATCCAGGTTACGATAAGCTACTATGTGAGATAATCAGTAGTGATTAAATTGGTGGAGTGGAGCGATATGAGGGAGCGAAAGCAAAGTTGTTACTAAAGGATACTGGGACAATAGGCTGACCTCCCTCCCTCTGTCCCGTCCTAACATAAGCAACAAAGGCTCTTATTTGTCTGAGCTTCCTGTGGCCCAAATCACTAAGCCCTGCATCTGTGTATGTGTCTGTCTGCGGTGTGTGATGGACGACCTGCAGCAGCAGCTGGCAGCATATGTTTCCTGGGTGAACTCTCAGCTGAAGAGGAAGCCAGGCCTGCAGCCCATTGCAGACCTCAGACATGATCTGCAGGATGGTGTTGTTCTTGTGCAACTGATAGAAATTGTTGGTAAATATACACACACATGATTTACACACACTCCAATGTACCACTTGTTAAAGTAACTCTATTGGAAAAGGTATGTACAGATGCTTTAGTAAACCTCATTTCCTTTTTTCGGGCACTGTATCTCAGATGAGTTTATTTTTATATTTAAAATTTTAAATGTAATATATAGTAGAGTCATTCCGAACATGTTTTTAATGTTTTTCTTAACTAATCTGTGTAAATACGGTGTTAATAAGCCCTGACTAAACTAAACTTATAATTATATTCATAGGACATCCCAAGTGCTGCTGTTTAAAACTATTTACCAAAAAAATCATGGCCTGTTTTCTATGCGGGTCTCCAATAGCTAAATAATTTTTACACATATTATTATGATGATCTGATCAATCAGGATGAATTTCTGCCTTTATAATTGACTTTAGTATAAGAGTGACTGGACTTCAGACAATCACATAAAATACATTAAATGTCTTATTGTATCACTGTGGCTACAAAACTAGATGACATCCTGAGGAGGCAACCCAGTTGTTTGAGTCAGTTGTTTTGGAGCAACGATACAGCAAAACGTTCCTAGAAAACAGCTCCTTGGATCTGGAGTTTGAGACCTTTAGCCAGGCACTTTGCAACCTGTTCTGCAAGAAAACATCAGTAGCAGAAGCCTTTAGCAAATGCCTTTTCTAAATACACTGGAATGGGTAAATGAATAAAGAATCCTGATTGGGTTATCAGTCCATCCATGCATCCATTTTCCGTCATGCTTATCCCAAGTGGTGTTGCGAGGGTGCTGGTGCCTGTTTCCAGCTGTCTACAGGCGAGAGGCAGGGAACACCCTGGACAGGTCGACAGTCCATCGCAGGGCAAACAACCATTCATACACACACTGACCTAAGGAGAATTTAGAGAAAACAATTAACCTAACAGTCACGTTTTTTGACTGTGGAAGGAAGCCAGAGTACCCGGAGAGAACCCATACATGCTCAGGGAGAACATGCAAACTCCATGCAGACAGACTCCGTGCCAGGAATTGAACCCAGAACCTTCTTGCTGCAAGGCAGCAATGCTACAATTCTCCAGTACTGTATGCTTTTTTTTCTTTTGGCAGCTGGTGAGGTCCTGCAAGGAGTCTACATTCCCCCGCTGAACAAAGAGGAAAGCAAAAAAAATGTGGAGGAAGTCTTGCAGTTCATTTCCTCCAGAAACATACGAATGCCGCATATATCTGCAAAAGGTAAACCACAAGAATTTATTTTTATTACACTCTTCTTTCCGTTTCAAAAGTGTGTTACATTAATGAACTACGATTTTCAGATCTAATCTCAGCAACAGTCAGTTTTAGTCATAGACTTGTCAGAGATAAATTTAAACTGCTAAAATGATCTAACCTTGCACGTCTCCTCTCTGCTTTGTTCGGCACACTACCTTCTCTGTATACTGATAGATTAGTTATTATAATGAACTCATTGCTTATTATCATTCTAGCGTGCCGGTAGACTCGTAGAAACTTGCTTTTTCTGCCGAAACTCAAACTGTATCTTCTGATCAGGCTTTATAGTCAGACAGCATGTGACAGTTTAAAAACATACCCATTTTTTTATCATTTATTAAACATTTTGAAAGGGAATTATCTATCATCACACCTTTTGCTTTGGGTTTTTTAGACATCATCGATGGCAACCTGAAACCTATAATGAGGATCATTCTGGCCCTGGCAGCCCATTTCAAACCCTCAGCAAGTCAGAGGGCTGCATCTGGAAGTGGGCGTAGCTTAACCGGAGGCAGCACAAGCCACAACCCTCTGTCCACAGTTGCATTGGCTCAAGGTGCCGCTGCTACTTTGGCATCTGCACGCCTGGATGCCTCACTGCCAACACGTTTTGCCCGAATCAACAGGTTTGTCAGTATTATTGACAGCATGAGAGGAAAACATTTGAAAAAAAAAAACTTTTCTTACTTTAGCTGTTCTTGAATCAGGGGTGTATTACAATCTATATCTTGTAACTTGTAGTTGAGTCCTGACATAGGTTTGGTTTTTGGTCAGATCTGATGAACTTAGCTTGCAGATGAGCAGAAGAGCCCTCATCTTAGCAGGGACTTTGCTTCTGCATAAACTCTAATTAGTCTTCTAAGAAACAAATATCCACTTTGTAATCCAGCTTCTATATCTTATTTAAATTGTATAGATATTGATGATAATAATACAGATTCTGGGCTGTGACAAAAACTGATCCATAGTCAGACACTAAATCCTGCTGCAAATTATGAAACAGTTTGTCAAATTAAAGCAAACTTTAGTCTGTCTTTAAGATCACACCAAAGTAGGTACCAAAAAAGCAAATTTTCTCTAAACTTTTTGCTTTGCCTTCTTGTTTTTTTTCGCCACTCTTCTGAGAAGTCTCCTTCTTTGGCTTAACGGGCATATTTTTATCCTGGATTTATAAGAGCATCCTGACTGGGCTCCTGCTTAAGATGAAAATGTACTGTTTTTGGTTAATTTAAGAGATCTAATACTAATAAGTGTTCATAACAGTAAAAAGGAAATTAATGGTTCTTGCTAATCAGTAAAAACAAAAAGTCAAGATGTTATGCTTAAAGGTAGTGGGATAGATGTATTACGGTATTTAAAAAAAAGGGAACTGCAGTATCAGAGCATATTTTTGCCAATCCCTTTATCATTTTTTTTTTTTTTTTGAGATTTTACTCACTGTTACCAATCCAAATCACTGAAGAATACGCATCAGCTGAACTGAAAGCATTGTCACCATTAGATTAACTTTGCACCATTTAACTCACTAGCAGTTAAAACTGAACATTACTGTATAACTTCTTCTTGATACTGATAGATTATTTCCTTCAGCAGTTAATTATGTTTGAAAAAAGCTTTCAGAAAAAAAGTCTTCCTGTTTGTTTTAATTTAAAGACACATCTTAAACCACTAGTATAACAATACTCCATTTAAAGGAGGACCAGTAAACAGGGGATGAAAGCTGGCTGTCGTCAGGAAAGTCAATGAATGCTAAATAAATTTACTGAAGTCTAGGCTAATACATTTCTAACCTGAAAATCGATAAAAAGATCACAAATCTCATTATTCCTATCCCTACAGGATACAGAGGAATGCAGGAGACAGAGCTGCCTTCATTCCCCACAGTAGCTGACCTCCTGACATCAGTTCTTCTGATGTCACAATATGTGTAGTGATTCAAAATCAGATGCTGTACAGTTTTTAAACATCGGGGGGCGCCAAACAGACTGTTTTAGACACAAAAGCAGGATCTTCAATGAATAGTCAAAATAATGACAATGAAAGATGTTCATTTCTAAGTTTTGTTTAAACAAAAGTCAGTTTGAGCATGATATGTCCTCAAAGTGTTCAGCATGGAAAACAATTTATGTAATTTAAAAATTATTTATTCTGCTCTGTTTTAGCCTGCAGACAGATGCTGCATATCAGATCAGGATTTGTTGTCCTCTCATGGAGAAACAATTCATAAAAATAGATGATCCTCTATTTGAGCTGATGGACTGAGGCTCATCTGGTCATGCAAAGATAGTAAAGAAGATGACTTGGACATTTAATTACACTGTTTTTATTTTGTGTGTGCTGTTTCAGTGGAAGGGGCTTGGATGGAGAAAAGAGCGTTTGTGTTCGTGCTCTGGTCCAGCAGTATGAAAGAGGAGGCCCAGAAGAGCAGGTTAATCCTCATTTCAGCAGGTAATTTGCTTCTGCATAAAATTAATTTAATTAGGGCTGCAACTAACCTTCATTTTGCTAATAGATTAATCTGTCAATTATTCTTTTGATTAATCAATTAATAATCAAATAGTGAAAGGTTTCTTAAAGAAGATTTTTTTATGGAAGTAAAAGTATAATAGAGTATACTGACATGAGAAAACGTTTAGTTTTATTCTAAAATGCAAAATCTTTATATATTTTTTTCACAATTTTGGTATAGTTACTGCTCTGTCAGTTAGAAGCATGTTTTAGAGTCTCTGCTCCAGTTAATGATTAAATGAATACTGAATTAGTTGACGATTATTTCAATAATCGATTAATCCGATTAATTATTTTAGCCCTAAGTTAAACAAAGTAATGTCCACTTTGTGATCATGTTCGTATATTGTAGTCGAATGGTAAAGAAATTATACTATAAAACAAGTTCCGTCCCATTAAATGCAGATATGAATTTGGCTGAATGCATTTATAGTGTCAGGACTAGGTTGAATTACTTTGGTTATCTTTAGTTGAATTAAAATCTATCATTTAAAAATGATGAAACCTACTAATTTCAGTACAAAAACGTAATTTTAAGTATTAAATTTAACCATAAAATAGTTACCTAAAACAAGCAATCCCAGTTTGAGCATAAACGTCTATTCAGCATTAAGTGACAGAATGATGTTGAAATTCATCTCTTCTTGCTATTTAAATACAACTTAATTTGCTTATGTTTAGGATAAAAATTTAATATTTGGTAGTAATTAGAGCATTAAACAGTTACATAAAGCAAACAGCATCAATATTTGATTTAGTAGAGTGATATGATGCTTAGAGAGTGACTAACATATAATTGTACATGCAATATCCTTATTAGGTGTTAAGACAGAGGAGGCCTTGGATTTTAATGGAGCTCTAAAAATACGTTTTTACAGACGTAAACTAAATCAGCTTTAATTCATTAACATAAAATCTTTAGTCTCTTTCTGGCTTGAAGTGTTAGAAAAGGCTGATTTGATTCTATTTAACATAAATGGTTCATATTTTATAACATTGAGCTTCTTTTAAAAAAGGGAAACACCTTTTCTGCAGACTTTTTATTTTTCTTTGCCTACAGCCATGTTGTTTTTTCACATATTTATCCCTTTTCAGATTCCGACAGTCAATCGTGTTCTATGGTTTATTAATAGTATGTGGGAATGTGTGCCTTGCAGCCTGGCGGAGCATATGACTTTGATCTTTTTTTTCTCTAAGCTGTAACCTGGTGAGCATTGGTGTCCGTTAGCTTAAAACACATCCAAAATAAACACAGGACTTAATAGTTGGTTAAAAGAAATGATCTGTCTGTATTTCCTGCAGTCACATGCCTGCTGTGACGGTTCGTTTTCTGGGGTTTTTATATTTAAGTAAAGTTGAGCATAACGGCTTCAAGTCCTCAAATTTTCACCAGCTTGCTGCCGCATTTGAGTACATTTTAAACTGAGAACAATTTACCAGTCATATAGCTTCAGTGAGAGATGCCGGTCAATGTCAGCTGCACCGGTTGCCACGGTAACGCATAGCCGTCTAGAAGCTAAGGGGGCGGGGCTTGAGAGCATAAGGATACAGAAGTTGTCATGAGTTTTTGAAGCTCCTAAGGGCTATAACAGGGCAGGAGCGAAGTGTTTTCTCCTTTAAAGAGTTCAGTGGCAGCCAGACTGTTTGTGACAACACTATGGGGGGGACCCAGATTAAATGGTAAGACAAGGCAAAGATACTCTGTGATTTGAGCTATTTCAACTTAAATAATACTGAGGGCTTTGTGGCATTTTCACATAATGCTATTTTCTATGTATTGTCTCCTTCTCTGATAGTCCCTCTTTTCTATAATTAATATTTGAGCAAAAAAAAAAAGTAATGTGAATTAAGGAACCTTGACTGCGGCTGTGCTGAAAGCAGCAATCAAGAGACATGATGTAGCGCACACGATGGCTACTAACTTTTGTCAATTTATCATTTTCAACAATAATGGAGAAAGCTGCTTTGTGACTTGTTCAGAGTTGTTTTCTAAACCGTGTTCATAATATCTGAGTTTATTCTGGATTGATAATGTAGTTTATTGGGAATGTGACGCATTGAAAAACATGCATTGTTATAATCTACCAAAGTCTCCTAGCTATTACAGATATACTGTTTTTATTTTTATCTTCTTATGCTAATAGCTAACAGCATTATCATTTACACCATTGGGCATGATGGTAAAAAAATGGTTCAAATTTAGTTTGACTGCAGATGAGGATTTGCTTCTTGGAGTGTTTATAGGTTACCTGCAGCCCATGCAACTGATGCTCCTTAAGTATCTCATTGATCAAGACTTAACAAAAAGGGTTCAGAGAAGCTGGATCCATCAGATGCTGAGGCTCAACCTCTGTCCAGATGCTTAATGCAAATATAAGATCTGCAAAAGCAAACGAGCTTCACTAGAGTCAGAACTTTGTGTGCTTTTTATGGTCTCTATAAAGCTGTGACTTGCCCGTACAGATGTCTTTTAAGAAGTTTGATAAAGGAAGGTAGAAGAATACTATTCCAAGTCTGTGGCCTGAAAACTGTTTCCATAACTCAAAAAGAAATCCTTCTCCATTGGCTTTAAAGTTATCTAGCTTGTCTGATGAAACATTTACGAAATGAGGATTAATTAGTACTTTTTTCTCTTTTGCGAGCCTCAGCTCCGTGACTCCACTGTCGTCGCCAGGAAGTCAGCAGAGCAGCACCTCGGATCGACAGCCGCATGACAGCCTGCAGCAGGAGCAGGAGAGCAGCGGTACGTTCTGTCGAGCCTATTTGTAAAGATCAGAGTGTTCTCACTCGGCTTTTGTAACGCTGCTGTCTGTATCTTTGTGTCTATAGTGGAGTCAGCTAATGATGTAGCGCAGATAGCATTGGAGGATTCTCTGAGTGAAACCCTGGAGAAGGAGGTGAAAGAAACACGGAAGATGGTGTCTGCTTTACAGGTATGAAGAGGCTAAAGCTGGAGAGTCTTCTCTTATTTTAACAATAATTAAAGATGAGTATTATTTTATAACCAGGAGCAATAAAATGTATCATGAAAAATAGTTTTAGGGAAGCAATCCAAAATAAAGTTATCCATAAAGTCCATAAAGATGCAGTTTGTTGTTTGTTTGTTTATAAATTGCATACATAATGTTTAACAGCCTCCATGTACCCATTCCATCACTAATAGAAATGTTAAAAGAATGTGATTCCCATCCATGCCACTAGTTTGCAGTATTTCTTTGAAACCCAGCAGCATGGGTATGCAGTGTACCATGCGCATCGTTGTATCACTGTTTCCATTTTTTTTGTGATGCCGTGATAAAGCGTCTTGAAGCCCTGAGGCTTTCCACTCAATTGCTCATCTCACTAGCCGAAGAGTTGTGATGCTTCATCTGCTCTATAGTGATTTCATATGGACAGTAGATATAACATAGGAGCAGCGATTACTCTAATGTGATATTTTTTGTGTAAAATAAATTGAGTAAATAATTGAATAGTGTTTGTGTAATGGCAATAAAGAAAATAAATGTATCTTTATAATACAAGCAGATGGGAGGGTTACTTATTAACTGCTTATGTTAGCAGGGAAAGATGCTTATTGTTTTTTATTCAGAAGTAACTTTGCTAATGTGTTGTTCCTCTTTTTGGAGCTTTGAAATCCAACTCAAGAAAATGTGAAGGGAGAATCAGCAGCGCTTTGATGCACCTTTTATTTCCAAAAGCCTACAAACAGGCGAACCGGTTCCTGAATCAGTCGTACGGTGCGGCCCGGTCTAAAGGCCTCAGGAGTCATTACCTTCAATAAACGCGTTGAAACAATCATTACATTCAGCTCACCTCGGAACGCTGGCACACTACTATCATTTTTACCAAAAAGCTTTAATAATAAAGAAGCATAGCTCAAGTTTGAGAGTTTTGCAGATAATTTTTTTTGACTAGTGGAGTCCATGGCCACTCATGGTAAAAAGAGGAAAACTCGTTTTATATGTTCAGCAGTTGTAAGGGCATGTGTGGGAATGAAAGAAAGATATTAACCTTTTACACTTAGGCAATGCACTAGGACTGAAACTAAATGGATTCATCTGTTGATTATTTTTTCAATTAATCAATTAATATTCTTATAGCCAAATGTTCCATAAAGAAGATTTTTCACTAAATTAAACCAGGTGAAGCTAAAACTTTTCCACTTGAAGAGTTCTGGACAGAGCATATATAGAGATTAAAAATATATTTTTATCTTAAAAGCAAAATTCTTCTATGTTTTCCTACAATTTTGATACAATTACTGCTGTTAGTTGTTCTGTCAGTTAAAAGTACATTTAGAGTCTCTATACTCCGGGTAATGATTAATCGATTACTAAATTTGTTGACGTTTATTTCAATAATCGATTAATCCGATTAATTTGTTTCAGCCCTAAAAAGCACCTTTAAAAAGAATCAGTCTTTCATTGCAGTCACTTAATATCATACTGAAGATCTCTCTTTTAAACTCCAGTGTTTGATCTGATGTCTGTAAAATGCTGCAGGTGTTAGAACTGTTGCGTCGCAGCAAGATTTCCCTGGGTTCTATCCATGGCCTGAGGACTTTCTGATTTGAAACACTTTATTTCATTTTTACTCACTGCTCCTTTAAGAATTCAAGTATCACATCGTAAAAGGTTTGATCCTCTTTTAAGGGTATCAGCTTTTTCTTTGATCTTAGATGTAATCTCTCTTTTAGTGTGAGATTATGCCACTGTATAATCTGACTGCACTGTATAAAACTATGTTTCTGTAAACCTGATTATAGTTTGGAAATCATTCTTCTTTAATGTGTTAAACTTGTTTATAATACCTTAATTCTCAAATCATCATTTATTTTTGTGTCTTATTCGACCACATCTCTTAAAATGCGCCTCTAACCTCATGCTTGGGTTGAACAGGGAAAGAATTTAGTAAAAATGATAAAACCTATATTTCTACATCTTCATAGAGGAGGCTGTAAAATGAAGTTCCTGTTCCTCCACTGCTAAATCTGTCAATGCTAATATTCTTGTAGGATATATTGGATTGCTAACATGTTTAATCTTTAGTCAGGAGCTTTTAACTTGTTTGTTTGGGTTTTTCTCAACAACTCTTCACTGGAAATAAAGGCTAGTTTGTCAGGCATTGGGTGAGGAGCCTCACCCCAAAGCATGAATTGGTGTCACATGTTGGACTCTGGGTGTTTTTCCAGGCTCTGTTGCTGAATGGTTCTCTCCCTGAGGATGAACAGGATGTGTCTCTGACGTTGGAGCCAGTCAATGCTGAACAACAGCTGGTAGGTTGTTGTTGTTTTTTTAGTTTATCTCTTTTGAATGTAGATTTAATTTTCTGTGCGTCTGCTACTTTTCTGTCTCGATTCTGGATCTTTCCAGTTTTTTTGCTTGCTGCAGATCACGTTACTTCTTGCCATTTCTGAGTGCGGGCGTGCTTGCGTATGTCACAGAGGGACACGGATATCAGTTTCCCTTTATTCTACTCCTCTCTCTTCTTTCAGGTAGTCACTCGCGGACGTTTGGATCAGAGCATGGAAGAGATCACGGACCTAAAGGTAAATTATTAACCTTTTTATTTTTTATTTTTATTTAAACCTTTTTTGTTAGAAAGAAAATCTTAAACTATGTGATGGACCTTAGGATTAATGTTTCATTCACTGTGTTCCTTGTTGTTCGGCTTAGAGAGAGCTGTTGCTCTGCAAACAGGAGATCAGAAACCTGCAGGCAGTTAAGGTAAGACAAACAAAAAAACTCCTTCTTATCATGTTTTCTATTTTTACATGTTGCTGGATAAGGTTTTGATTATTTTGCAGGATGCCCAGCAACAGAGGCTGTGTGCTCAGGAAGCTTCTATCCTGCAGATGAAGCAGGAGATCCTCCGAGCTGGCATGACAAAAGATGAACTCAACAACCAGAATGTATGACATATAATTAGGCTTCTCTTAAAGTTCTTATCCCATTTATTAAATTGTGATTGTGCAGTTTCTCACAGTAATACGGCTAAAATAATTTCTGCTTTAGGCGGAGGTGAAGTGGAAGCTGGAGGAATCCAACAGAATGTGGGGTGAATGCAAGGTGACAGGCTTGAATTTAACTCTCACTTTAATTATTTTGTTTGTCAGCATCCAATTAGTTTTTTTTTTTACTTTGAATAAAGAAATTAACATGTATGCCCTGTTTGGTTGGATGCAGAGGGACGTCGGGCAGAAAGACAGATTACTCCTGCAGCTGAAACACAAACTGGAAGAGAGCCAGAAACTCCAGGTTGGATGGATAAAAATGTTTGGCCAACTGACATTTGTCATAATTTGTGCTGCCAAGCTGATGCTTTGCATCTCTACTGTTTATCCACCTTACATTTTTGTTAAAGGATTTAGCTTTCTTTAGGTAAATCAACTCCTTTCTTCTCATCTGATGCTGTAGGATACGTCATTTTGACTCTAGTCAACAAATGATGTTTTACATTTTTAATGATGTATTAAAATATTATGGTACAACTATGAGAAAAGTTCAAAGGTTAAATATGCTGCGTCTCCACACTTTAAGTACTTTCTTTGCAAATTTGGTAAAGAACAAATACTATTAGATAACTTTGAGCTCTATTCTAGAGTGCCTCTAGATTAGATCATTACACATTCATCCCAAAAATGTTATTTAATATTAAAACATAAGGGAACAAAAACAAAATAAGGCACTAAAGTCATGGTAACAGTGAGGTAACTCTGGCACATTATAAGTTTAATAGATACCTCAGAGAATTAACAGGAATTGATGCTTCTTAAAACACACTTTGTCTTTCTGTTTGTGAAACTTAGGTTGCAGTTTTGCCAACATAACAATAAGTTATTATCCGCGGTCTTACATTTTTAAATAAGTTTTGAATTTTTGACTGCTGCTTCATTACAGGCTGAAGCACAGAGAGAGCTGGAGCATAAAAATATGAAGCTGCAGGAGTTGATGAGTAGAAATCTGCAAGAGGTAATTCACTATATTAGCTTTGTTATTTTTTCTGTGTGTTTGCCGCTAGTATAACACCCCTGCATCGCTTCACTCACACCTCTGTTGTGTGTGTTTTTTTTGTTAGATCCCAAACAGCGCAGAGAGCAATGGATATTCCTACCCGGGAAACTCAGCTCCTTCTGTGTCAGATGTAAGTGATCTTCCTCATGACAGAGATGTTAATCAGTTCATGTTTTCTTTGTAGAGATTTTCTTTTTTTTATTATTACAAGCAGGTGAAAGTCGAAGCTTTATCTGCTTAAAAAACCCTTTTTGTTGGAGTTCAATCAGGTGCTCACTGTATTTAAGTTTTGAAGAATTTAGGTTGACATGATCTTGCAGCCCCTCTTAGATAAAAATCATTTCTGTTATTTCCACCCACCTATATAACACCACAGCTTGACCTGTGGTGGTGATCACATAATCCATGGATTGGACTGTATGAGCCAAAGATTTAAATTCCCCAACACACAGTTTATAGCTCAGGCAAATGTGGGTATTCCACACCAGTTTGTATGGTAATGTTACTTTCTTGATTTCAAACCACACACGGCCCATGATCTCAACAGATTAGCTTGCATTACAACAGTGAACCTAAGGTCTGACCTGAAAGGGTGTTTGTTTGCGCTCTGCTAGCAGGCGGAGGAGGTCCAGCTGGTCAGAGACACATTGAGGAGCCTGAGGAACAGCTTCAGGGATCACGACCCGCAGCACCATACACTGGACACCCTGGAGCAGGGGATAGTATCACTCATCGACAGACTGCATGTTTTGCAGACTCACAGGGTATCTGGCCTTTGATTGTCCTCTTTATAGAAAATCAATTATGCATGTTTTTGTTTAGATGTTTCCATATAGGAGAGGGGCAGAGGTTAAGCAGAGGCCTTCTTGTTTGAAGGGTTGATTTGATGAATTGAGTATTCCAACCGGATAACAAACCTAGAAGAAAATATAAAATATTTCCATTGAAGGCTGAGATTGAGCCTCCTAAATGATGACGGTAAAGGCAGAAGTTCTCCATCCACCTGCTTTGATGCGACTCACGGCCATTCAAAATGCCATCATCTCTCGAGGCTCCACTTTTTCTGTCTTATTCTAAAAACGTACAGTATTATTAATCCCTAAAAATTTTCCAATGTTTGCCGCTGTCTGAAATTAAAGAGGCTGATTCAAAGAGCCTCCTACTGCAGTGGTTCTCTCCACTGGTTCTGAAGAACCACTATCCTGCAGGATTAACAGCCGGATTAACAGCCTTCTGTCAGGTTCAGGAAATAATAGTCAGAGTGACACATCTAAATGATGAAGAGCAGTGATGATGAAGAGGTGATGAGGATAAGGGTAGAGATGAAACACTCTAGTGGAAATAGAGTTTATTAATTTGATAAATATATTAAAAGCATGAAGGTAGACACACTTAAGGAAGATACAGGTAGACCAATTAATGTGTGACATTGAGCATAAATTGCCCCTTTGGAGGGCTGGACCCATTATTTTTGGGGTATCATTGCTTCAAAGCCACAAATAAATATGAAATTAATCCCAGCACAGATTGATTGTTAACTTTTTTTCTTGAACCGTATGAAAATATATGTTTGGTTTTTTTTGTTTGGTTTTTTTTTGCTGGTAGGGAAGAGGAAAATCTCCAAGACGGAAAAGTCAGCACACAGATTTGGACCCCTGGGCTTCCTTCCGTGAGAATCTCTAATCTCTAACATTTGCAACCAAAAGGGAAAGTTTTTTTTTTTTTTTCCAACTGGAAAAACTTTTTTTGCTATTTATTCCAGAGAATTGTCAGTCACACAACGGTTCTCCTTCTTCTACAAAAATCCTTTACTTTACTGGAAAATCCCCGACACCCTCTATGATCAGTATACCTAAGAGGTTAGAGTTTGTGTTTTTACTCTGAAATATTCACATTCTTTTATGGTGTATGGGAAAGTATAGCTGTCAATGCGATAATGAGAAAACAGTCTAAATGATGTGTTTTATATCCATTTTTTTCTGCATATATTGTCTAGGCTGGGTGAAGTAACCCTGAAGGATGTAAAGGCAGCTGTTGATCGAGAGGGAAACTACAGGTACCACTTCAAGGCTCTGGACCCAGAGTTTGGCACTGTTAAAGAGGAGGTAAGTCAAAGATGGAAAGGAAGAAAAAAGTAGCTGAATAGTAGGTCACAGCTTTGCATTTTACTTTTCACAAATCATTTATAGAAACCACTCGTAACGATGCTAAAAACAGAGAGAAAGCTATCTTAGAACTAAGAGACCTAACCATATCTCACAATGTTTAGGAAATCTCTAAAAAGTTCCCAGTTCCAGATCACATTCTAACTGAAAGTTACTCAATCCATTTTAATTGCAGTTTTTAAGCACTTATAAAACAACCAGAGCTGACCAAAGTGCTATACAGAAAAATAGATAAAACATCACAGATGAAAGACCACACGGCTCAAACATGGGTAAAAGTAACACACAATCAAAGCAATGAAATGTGAAAAGGAATAAAAGAAGAAAATAAAGCCTATTGTCTTGTCAAAAGCCAAAAAAGTGTTTTGTCAAGAGATTTAAAAACAGTCAGAGAAAGAGTCCTGTCTGATGTGCTGAGGCAGATCTTTTCAGAGCCTTGGAACGGCGAAAGCACAGTCCCCTCTGAGCTTCCTCTTAGCTAGCTCTACCTGGCGCAGCTGACCTGAGAGAGCGAGTCGGTGTTAAGGATGTAGAAGCTATAAGAGAGGTACGGTGGGGCAGGATAATTCAGGGATTTAAAAGCAATTAAAATAATTTTAAAATGAATTCTGAAATATATGGGCAGCCAGTGGAGTGAGGCAAAAAAGGCGGAGATTTTTTCTCATAAAGCATTTTGAACCATCTGGAGGAGGGAGATGTGAGACGCACTAACCCCTACATAGAGGGCATCTCAATAGTCCAGCCCAGTGGTAACATAGATGTGGATTACTTAGACTAAAACAAACCTTTGCTATAAATTGTAGTGCAATCCGACCATGTCTGTCATTTTGCTAAACAGCAAAACCAGTACTATTCAACACATGACCACCTTGATGGAGATAATTATTTTCAACCACTTTGATTTTAGCAAATTATTTGAGAGTTATTGCCTGTAATAACATTTGAAAAAAAATAAATTGGCATTCATAACATAAAACAATGTAACAGAAGCTTCTTGTTAAAGAGGTTCCAATTAGAAATCCTTATATTGTGGTTTCCTTTTCTTTAGAAGGACATTTTGAGCTGTTTGTTTTTAGCTTCATTCTTGAACCTCAGTGATCTTGCCACTGATAAAAACAGATGCCCAAAAAGACAGTGACTGTTCCAAATAAACTTTAATATTAACTTAAAATCATAATTTCGTTGTCTCTGTAGTGATATTAAGTGTTTAAAAGCTTTTATAATTTACCAGAAGTTATTTCAGGCAGTAATCATCTCTTTAGGTCTTCCTGGATGGAGCAATAGTTCCAGGCTGGGAGGGAAAAATAGTGGCCTGGCTAGAAGAGGACTGTGGTGAGGACAGGTAACAACCGTCAAGGTTTTCTCACCTGGCCATTTTTATGACTCTGTATAACAGTTTTGTTTTTTTTTCTTTTAGACCTTTATAGATTCAAGTGGAGCAGCTACAAAGTTATCCCATCTCTTACAACAATCCTAGAGACGCATCAATCCATTTAGGTAAATGCACTATCTTGTGGCCTGGACTAATTAGCACAATACTGCACTGACAGAGACCTTCTGGGTTATTGAACAGGAAGCATCATCTTTGCAGTTTGTGCAAATATCCTTCACCAAGGAATTTCTAAAACTCTGTGCCTTACAAAGGAAAACTGTTTCTGTAAAGTTCTTAATGCTGTTATTCTGTAACTGTTGTAGAAAACTAGTCAGGATTTTTTGGGGGGGCTAAGTTGATTTAAAACTACTGTATTTAGGTTTACATGTAGAATAGGAAGCGGAAAAAACCCAAATATTTTCCAATTTTAGAAAGTGTTAACCGGATTCAATGTTCACCAGTGAGGCCTTTGAAACCTAATCAAATAATATATTTTATAGTTATTTCAGCAGCTATATAAATCAGACCTGTTTGAATCAGAGCATTGTTGTATGCAGCCTACCTGGTGGGAAAGAAGACTTCTTTTAGTCTTGGATGCCATCTGGTGGTAGTAGAAAATATAACAGCTGAAAGGACAGTTGCATAAAGGAAAAGTTCTTATGTTTTAAACCAAGTGGATCCTGAATCCAGAGGTGAGTTTCTGTATTCGTGTTCAAACTTAATCAACGTTATTGGATCGAAAGAACAGATGTGTCCATGTAACAATGTAGACAAACAGCGTTCTACCTACTCTTGTGTTTTTATTTTGTTTTATTTTGGGGGTTTTCCACCATATTAAAAACTAAATCATATTTATGTTTTCTTGGTTTACAGAGATTTTTTAAGTAACTATGCCTTTTCTTTAAAGTCCTTTTTATTGTTAGTTTATAATATATCATTTTGAGCTGTTCCATTATTTATGCTGTGCATTTCTCTGTATGCAGGTCTGCATGTATAAAATTCTGACTGTTTGTTTACTGACAAGCCAACAGAAACTAGTCAGTGCGGCGAATAGATCGTATTTAAATGCCATGACTGCATGTACAGGAAAATGTAAAGCTTTCTGTTGAGATGGTTATTTTTCATTTGTCTGAGGAGGTTTTTGCAAAGTATAAATATTGTATGATTTTGGATGAAGCGCCGTTGTTGAATATTTTGAAATAAATGTTTTTGTATGCAACTTTTATAAGAGCACTTGCATCCATTCCTTTATTTTATTATTCATGTGTTTCAATTAGATGCTTTGGACGAAACATGGTCATACACCTTAACCCTAAACATGCCAGGCAAGTAGAGCATTAAATGAAGAGAATGCTTAGTCGCTTACACATCTCTGAAAAACCTGCAGAGATACACAGATCTGCTGGAAGAACCTGTCTCAAATGAGACGAATCCTTAAACTCCACAGTCTGCACACCACTGTGTGGTGGCTGCAACACTGCAGACTAGAAGAAGGTGAGGAGAGTAGTGAGAACAGCAGAGAGGATCATCGGGGCTCCTCTTCCCTCCATAAAAGACATTTTATCCCAGTGCTGTGTGTCCCGAATCCATAACATTATAAATGATCCCTCAGACCTCCACATTGGACTGTTCTCCCTGCTGCCCTCTGGGAAGAGACTTCAAAGCATCTGATGCAGGTCCAGCAGATTCCAAAACAGCTTCTTCCCTACTGCCATTAGAATGCTGAATGTTGTGTAAAATGTGGATTATAAAAAAAAGCTGAATGTTGGAAACTGTACATCATATACCAGCCTTATATTTAAATCTAATCAACATGTTTACATTTTATCACTGCTGCACTTTAGAAATGGAAATGTCTTGAGAGGTGTACTGAACGAAATTTAATTTTGTATTCACAATAAAGTTTAAGTCTAACTTTGCAGCTGTAGAGGAGAAAGAGGATGGCCATAATTTTTTTTTTTTAATGTCTGGATCCATTTAGAGGAACGAACAAACGTGGAAGAAGCAGCTCTGATCAGATGCCAATCTGGATCTTTTGGCCAACATTGTAAAATTTATACAGCAACCTGAAAAAAAAAAACATCAAAACTATAAATTATGGTGGTAACAGTATAAAACCTTAAAATAGGTGAAAGTTTATCTCCCAATTTAAGTTTACCGTCGATATCCATGCATATTAATCTGTTCAAATTACTCTTTTAAAGTTATAAAATATTGTAAATCCAAAAAAAGTTTGATTTACATCTAATCTGACTGGTTTTGAGCACTTTTGCAAAAAAAACTAACCAAAAATGTCTACTGTGAGCTACTGCCAACAATAAAGACAGGGGATTTGGATTTCATTTTTAAAGACAATTTAAAATAATTAACCTTTAATTTCTACTTATTCCAGTTATTATGATATGAAGTCCAAATAAAATGCACTGGACGTTTCCAAATGATTGTAATACATTGGAAGGTGCTGTACAGGGTGACAGTTTCATAGTTTTGCTTTTCTTGAGACAGCCATGTATACCGCCACCATGTGCCCACTGGTGGTATTACAGTAATCTGTGACCTTAAATGTGTGCAACAGTTTATAGTACATGACGTGTGACGATGTATATAAATTACTTTTATTTTATTTTATATGAGTATCGAATACTAGTTCCATTCTAAGCCTTAGAGATAAATGTAATACAAAAGTTTGGTGGTTATCATTTACGACACGTCCTCTAAAGCAACTGTCGTAAACTGCGGCAAGCCTGAGCCGTAAAGCGTTGTGTTTTGGACTGAAGGAGGTCATTGGAAAGTGAGGAGGAAGGAGTTCGGGCACAGACAAATTCAGTGCAGGATAGTTTCTGATGCCGGTGTGAGGCGAATCAATTATTTAACAACCTCGTGTAGTATTCCAAGAGCTGCGAAATGCTTCGTTTAATCCTGCGGCTCAGGCCGTCCGCCCGGCTCTCCTGTCCCCGTGTCCTCCCGGCGGGGCCTTCCGCGCTCGGCTCTCGCACCGGCTGCCTGAGGCGAATTCACTGCGGAGCTGGCTCCCGAGTCGTGTCCTTAAATTCGAACCTCAGTCACAGAACCCTCCTGCGGTGTCCTCAGCTGGTTGGTGGCTGTCAAAGCAAACGCTTCTACAGCCTCCCTCCTCACCAGAAGGTAAGGTTACCTGACCGGCTGGTTGCTATAGCAGCGAAGCTCGCAGTAGCAGCTAGCAGCTGATAACTGCCAGCTACATCAGCCAAATGTCACACCTGGATGAGTTTATCTATGATAACTGGAGTTCCGATTAGTTAAATCTGGATTATGAAGCTGGATTTTCACGGGATTTTATACACCCCTCTTGATGGTGAAACTTTTAATATCCTGAATAAAAAGCATCCCCACAGCATTAGGCTGCCACCACCATTTTTCACTCTGGGGATGCTGATTTCAGTTAATTGCAGGGTTTGGTTTTAAACAAGCATAGTACTTTATTATGCTATGTTCATCTGCCTCCATATGGATTTCAGCTTGAACTTTAACTGAGCTCTTCAACACATAGATATGCTTTGAACTCAACCATGTAGTTTCATCTGGATGTTTAGAGTCTCTGTCCTGCTAGAGTTTGAAACCTCATCAGTCTGAGCTCTTTTTCTAGGCTTCAACAGACTTTCTTTAGATTGTGACCTTTAGATCGGCTAAAAATTAAACCAGCTCTCCTGTTTCTGCTGGAATGGTACCCCACCCCATTATCATTCTGCCATTACTGTGTTTAATAATGGGTTAATGGCTTTGCATGATTTATAGCTATTTTAAATTGGATCTCATCTGGTCAGAACTGTTTTTCTCCGTCACCTACAGGTTTTGTGACAAACCAAAATCTGGACTTCTTGTGGTTTTCTTTCCACAAACACTTTCTGCTTGCATCTCTTATCAATGCAGAGTTTCCTGTGTATAAATTCATCCTCTTGGTAATTTGTTCCTTCAACTTCTCAAATGGTGCACCTCTTATCTCTATCTTAAGATCCCAAATTTGTTCTTACTTCACAAAATGTAAAAAGGTTCAAGACGTATTCACTTATTTTGCAAGTGACCATATCTTGCATTTGATTAACTTGTCAGATGCTTTGTTTCATAAAAAAAAAAAAAAAACATGTTTATGTATTTATTTTATTCCATATATTTATTATTCCGTTTTTTTTTAATAATCAGTTATTATAAATCTAGGTTGTCATGCTGGGACTTGGTGTGGAGTTGGATTGAAACAGTTCTGGGTATGGTCTCGTTTTACACCATTTGGGTTACAATGTATGTCAAAAAAAGAAAAAAAACATTTGGAGAATCTGTTTTGTCTTTATCATTTTTAAATGAGGTGACTTATCACTTACCACACAAATGGTAAATTTCAGTTTCAGTTTTTTTTTATAGAGAGCCAATTCACAACACATGCAATCTCAAGGCACTTTACAGTTCACCAGATCATACAGTGAGATTGATTAGAAGTTTTCTATCTAAGGAAAACCAGTTGATTGCTTCGACTCTGACTCGGATGCAATCCCTCACACAAAGCATGCTTGTAGTGACAGTGGAGAGGAAAAACTCCACTTTAACAGGAAGAAACCTCCAGCAGAACCAGGCTCACTGTGAGCAGGCATTTGCTGAGGCTGAATTTGGGTTCAAGGAGACAGAAGCAGAGATAAGTCACCTGATTTGCACAGAGGAGACCCTGGTTCGAATCCCTGCTGGGAAAAATGAGCTGCCAGTTTGGGTCCTTAAGCAAGATCCTTGCTAATGCCTATCTCATTTGCAAGTCGTTTTGGATAAAAGCGTCTGCTAAATGCATAATCATAAACATAAAAATCTTCTGTTCAGGAGGAGTTCAGTTTAAACACGGGTATTTGTTTTCAGTCTTTACAGGAAATGTTTGCATCAGCTGTTTCTTGTACACATAATGACGGAGATAGGGCTGTAGGGTAAAATCAGATGATACAAATATTTGTGTTTCCTGTAGCGGGAGGAGTGGAAGTGTATGAAAGCTCTTTAGTCTCTCGTTCCTTAATGGCTCAGCAGCATCTGCTTTTTAATCAGTCAAACTTCATAGTGAAATATTTTGTTGATAAGAGAATATTCCAGACCTCTGTTCAGTTTTCAGGTTCCGTTTTATTGCCTTTCATGTTTTCTTTTGATAAATCCTTTTATTTTGCTAAATTTTATAATTCCGATTTATTTTAATAAATCCCCCTATTCACATATGTGAGGAAGAGCTAGAAGCTCTTTCTTATCTCTGCTACCTGATGTCACTTGACCTCAGTAGCAACCATACAGATATGATGAAATCTGGCATGTGAGGCATTTTATTGAACAGTAAAATGAGGCGATGATGACGCAGCAACTCTGCCCACAACAGCTGACATTATTTACAAATCCTCTGTTGATGTAACATGATTTCTTTTGCCTGTTTTAGATGACCTGTTTTGTTTTGGTTTTTTTTTGCTCAGGTGGCGCTTCCTGCTCTGTCGCCCACCATGCAGACGGGGACGATCGCTCGTTGGGAGAAGAAGGAGGGGGATAAAATCAACGAGGGGGACCTTATAGCTGAGGTTAGCACTTGCTTTACTTTATGAATGTAAAATAAAAAAAAGTCAACTCTACATTCTTCACTTTAATCTTAACCTCCTGTGTCGGCAGGTAGAGACGGATAAGGCCACTGTAGGCTTTGAGATACTGGAGGAGTGCTATCTAGCAAAGATCCTGGTTCCTGAAGGCACCAGAGACGTCAGCGTTGGATCATTAATCTGCATCACGGTGGACAGGTCCGTGTTCTTTGCTTATATTGATGGAGTAAAAATTATGAGCTATAAAGAAACTGACCAATGATCAAATTAGGATTTAAGCAACAAAAAAAAAAAAAAACTGTACATTTTCCTTTGCAGCCCAGACCTTATCCCGGCCTTTAAGGATCTAACATTGGACTCTGTTAAATCGGCTGGTGCTGCTCCTTCCTCTGCTCCTCCTCCTCCCTCACCTGCTGCTGGCACTCCTCCGCCACCCGCACAACCGGGCTCCTCCTACCCCCCACACATGAAGGCAGGTGTACTCCAACATCAAATACCATCAGGTTTCTACTAACATGAGTGCAGAAGTGACTTGTAAGCTGTGTTTACAGTCGCAGCTTGGTTTATTATTGGCTGAAGAGTTATTATGGTGGATTCTTGGTTGATATCTTTTGAGATTTTACAACCTGATAAGTTTGAATGGATTTTATTGGATAGATTCACACAAAGCCGGGAATCGTAGTGAGCTCCTGTCACACTTACAACCTTACCCGGTAATTTACTGGCACTATCACACCCACTTTAGTGCGATGGCTTCAGTGTGAACAAACCTATTACATTACTGAGTAACTTTTGTAGCGACGCGATGCCTAGCAGCAGTCCATACTCCGCCCAGCTGTACTACTAACAACTGTAACAATCACCGGTCTCAAAGCCAATGTTGGTCTGTTATCGCTAACCAGCTGAAACATATGCCATTTTTTAATGAAATTCTTTAGAGCTCAGCTTGATCAGGTAAAGCTTTACTGCCACCTGCAGGTGAGGGGAGGTACCTCCATTTCCAGCATTGTCGGGTTTAGTGTGAAAAAAGCTGACTGGGACTAATTCATATGTTTGAAAGGCGCCAACCCTTGTTTAGGCCTTTATTTATATCAGAGTGGGACATCATTATTACAGAGCTATGAAGTCTATAGAGGCTCTGGACAGATGGAGGCTTTTATTTATTGACACTCTAATTCTGGCCTTAATGGAAAAGTAGAGAGAAGAAAATTGTTGTTAAAGAGGCAATTAAGACTTTTATAATGACACTGCCATGACAATGAATTGACCTGGATGCTGGTAGTTTCCCAGTATCCACATAATCCATGTAGAATCTAATGCTTAGGTCAAAACCATTCAACATGGACAAGCTTGTCATCACATCCATCACAACAATCTGACCAGATGCTCATTCAGCATAGGCTTTAGGCTTATAGATGCATCAGCGCTGAACTATTGTGGTGTTAGTCTGCTCATCTAAGGATGTTTTACTTTTAAAGGGTCAAATAAAAAGGCTACTTTAAAGATATTTGTCAGGAAACACTTGGAATATTTTGAGTTTATTTGAAAAAAATATTTTTTTATATGTGAGTACTTGTCTTTTGGCAATATGTTGAAAACTAATGGCAATAAACTGTATTTATTTCCGATTAGAAATCTTTACTTAAAAAAAAAAAAAAAAAAAAAATTAAGTAGAGCTGTTATTGACCCACAGTGAGAATGCTGATCACCCATTATTATATTTGGAAATGGAAGCTGTTTATCGTTAATTAGATGATTGAACCTGTTAAAGCCAAAGATTAGAAACACACACCTGTGAGATTTCTGTGTTCACAGTTGGTTTATCAAATAAAATCAGCTGAAATACATTGAAGTTTGTGTTTGCTGTGTGACACAGGGTGAGAGATGAGTGGATCGGATCTGGTTTTTAGTTTCCTTTGCTTTGAAATGACCAGAATGGATAATAAAGCATTAAAAGAGAAGCTGATATAAAACCATTTAAGCATAATACTAGTCTGTTTTTTTATTCTCATCTTGTATTTATCCATCTGTTTCCTCTGTTTTAAAGACTGAAAACAAAACTCTATATGTTGACATCAGCTGAGTTTGTTGTTGAATCTTGAAGCACGGATAAAAGTCAGAGTGTTCTGTTGTGTTTTATTACAATGTGAGCCGTGCTTCTTCTGACCTATTGCATCTAACATGTGTATCTATGTTTTGGGCTGCAGGTTGCACTTCCTGCTCTCTCTCCGACCATGACGATGGGAACAGTGCAGCGCTGGGAGAAAAAGGTGGGAGAAAAGTTGAGTGAAGGAGATTTGCTGGCTGAGATCGAAACTGACAAGGCAACTATCGGTAGGTCCAAACTGAGCTAGATGCAAACAAGTTGGATTGGTTTTAGCTCATGCATTTAACAAAATAGTTTTTCCAGTAACCTTAATTTAATTTTAAAATGCATTAAAAGAAACATTTCACCTTGTGTTTCTGTGCAGGCTTTGAGGTCCAGGAGGAAGGTTATCTGGCTAAAATCATGGTATCAGAGGGAACTCGGGACGTTCCTCTGGGGACGCCGCTCTGCATCATAGTAGAAAAAGAATCTGACATCGCTGCCTTCAAGGATTACGTTGAGACCGGGGTGGGGGACGTATCCACACCACCTCCTGCTCCCACTCCCACTCCTGTAACGGTGGGGCTTTCACTAACACAGAATCAGACACTTTTGTTCCAAGAAGTCAATTAGGAGGTTGCGGACGTGGCAGAAAAGCACTTAGTTAATGAAGCAGGACAATAACAATCTGCCAGTTTGACATAAGATCGCGTTAGCAGATTATTTTATGCTTCCATGCAATCATATCTCAAAACTAGCAGTTTTATCTTTTCATCCACCTTTCTTATCGATAGAAGGTGTTTGGTGTCAGATTAGCAGGTACAATCAAAAATGAGTCGATTCTTTTTTTCTGTTTTTTAGCTGAATTTTTTTTTATTGTTGTGCAATTTATTCACCTTTCCAAAAACTAACTTCTAGTTCTGGCTTTTTTGTGTTCCTGTTGTAGGCTCCAGCTCCCAGTGCTGCTCCAGCTGCAGCCGCTCCAGCAGCACCGAGGAAGGGCCGTGTGTTTGCCAGCCCTCTAGCCAAGAAGCTTGCTGCTGAGAAAGGCATTGACCTGGCACAGGTCAGCGGTAGGTAACCTAGGAAATGTGTCAGAACAAACATTAGGCTTCTTTAAGTCTGTTATAGAAGAAAAGTAATCGAGTTACTGCCTTTTTCACTCAGGATCTGGTCCTGATGGACGCATCACTAGAAAAGACATTGAGAGCTTTGTTCCACCAAAGGTTACTCCTGTGAGTAGAGCCAAGCTTTTTCTTTGTTGATTGTGAATTTTCATTTATTCTAATATAAGGATCTACTGAAAAAATGTTTAAACAAAAATCTATACCTGCATGCAGTAATCAGTTATTGATCAAACTGGGTTTATTGTCGGGGCGAAGAAAGTGGGGAAAATAACAATGTTTTTATTTCAAACCGTTGTTAGCATCTTATGTTAGCAGTGAGTATAGTTAGCCCAAATAACACCTCAGGCTCAGCCTGTTTGCCCTAAAGCAGAAAACGCTCTGTTACTTTGCACCTCTGGGCCCACATGAAGCAGCAACAAAATACTAAAACCATTTAAAGGTGAAGAAATGCTTTATGCATTAAACAGGTGATAACAAACAAATATACACAATGTTTACTTTAGTCTTTTTTGTGCCATTTGTCTTGATTTTAGTTTGATATCTTTATATGAGAATGAAAAGGAGGAAATAAAATTAATTGGGTTTGTTTTACTCATAAAAATGTATTTAGATAAATATATATTTCCAAGCTATATAAGGGTCCTGTTGCATTTGTGACTCTTCAGTGATTTTGTTTAGAGGACCGAATTTCTCCTTCCTCGGGTCCCCGACTTCTACCCTTGGAAAATAGTTTTAAAAAAAAACTGTAGGTTTGTCTCTATAAACTCCTGGCAGTGCTGTAATTTGTGCTCTGATTTAAGACATTTGGACTAAGTAATCTTATTTATTTTGACTGTAAACTCTATGTTTAAAAATAAGCGATTGTACCTAATGAGCCCTGGTGTTTTTATGCTAAAAGCAATTCTCTGCACTGACAGGCTGCAGCTCCCAGCTCAGCAGCTGCCAGAGCTGCTCCTGCACCTGCTGCAACTCCGGCTGCTCCAGCTGGCACCTTTACCGACATCCCTATCAGCAACATCCGCAAGGTGAGAGCATATACACACACACTCACCATGCAGTGGTAACACCTGACTACTGCTCCCTCTGTAATGACTTTCCTCTCTGCCGGCAGTCAGGCTTTATGGCTGCCTCCTTCTCAGCCGGCTGCATTCAGAGCTTTGAAGTAAACATCCTGAGGACCGATGCTCTGTTATCTTTGACCTAAGCTTCCACATTTTGCCTTGCAGATGGGCACAATTTTTATCAGAACATACTGGATGTGCATGCCTCTTTTTCTGTCTCTGCTATGAATTATGGATCAAAGCTGAGGTGCGTGTATCCATCTGTCCTCCAGGTCATCGCTCAGAGGTTGATGCAGTCCAAGCAAACCATCCCCCACTATTATCTGTCTGTAGATGTTAACATGGACCAAGTGCTTGAACTTCGAAAAGAGCTCAATGAGGTTAGTGGTGCATGTAAGCCGTCATGCACGGTAACTTTTCATTCAGCGTATTAACTCACTGTTAAAATGAGCAAATAAACAAGCTGTCCCCTCTCTGCAGGAGGTGAAAGCTCAGAATATCAAGCTTAGTGTGAATGACTTTATCATCAAAGCCAGCGCTCTGGCCTGCCTCAAGGTTCCTGAGTGCAACTCCTCCTGGCTGGACACAGTCATCCGCCAGTAAGTAGAAACCAGTTCAAACTGGCAGCACATTGGAGTTAAGTTGTAGGCGTCGTCTTCTGACTCAGACGTGATTTTGTTGAAATCACATTTTAGTCAAATCTCCCTTGACCTAAATCGAAACAAATTAAGAAGCCACTAATAATAAAAACAGTAAAGTATCTTATTCTCTTATTATATCTTAAAGGAAAAAAACAATAATCTACCCAAAGAATGGAGTTATTGTAATTATACACTGCTAAACAATAAAGGGGACATGTACAGAACATATCAATCAAACTTCTGTAAAACCAAACTTTCCACTTAGGAAGCAACACTGATAGACAATTGGCAAGATGCACTCAATAAAGGAGTGGTTCACAAAGTGACATTTTCTGTATCTCAGGTTGAGAAGCTATTTTAAAAACAAGTCTTTTGAACAAGTGAAACTAGACCTAAATCATTGCTGCTGCCACTGATCTAGTATCTCAGTTTGACAGAATCTTGGGCCTAAACATAAATACAAAAGGAGAGCTCATCAAAATGACTCTACATGTTAAATATTTTCAGTCAGCTCTTTCCTAATAACATTTTTCTTGCTGTTTATGTAATAAATGCTTGAATAACTCTTGAGAATTTTCAGTTTAATGTTTTATGCATTTTTATCTAATGATCAGAAAGCTATGAAAATAATGAGAATGAGATAATGTACCACTTGGATATTGCAGCTTTAGATTTGAGTCAGCAGAGGGCGCTCATGCTTTAAATCCCCTCTCAGCTCAGAACATATCCTTATGATTATATCATAATTAGCTGATTGTTTTTTACAGGAACCACGTGGTGGATGTTAGTGTGGCAGTGAGCACAGCCAACGGTCTGATCACGCCTATCGTGTTCAACGCCCACATCAAAGGCCTCGTCGCCATCAGCTCTGACGTGGCGGCTCTCGCTGCCAAAGCCAGGGAGGGCAAACTGCAGCCTCATGAGTTCCAGGTTACACCACCTCACCTGCTAGAAGCTTACAGATTAATCACTACTTATTGTGTTTAGTAACTGACATTTGTTTTTCTGTTGGTTTTCAGGGAGGAACGTTCACAATCTCCAATTTAGGAATGTTTGGAATCAAGAATTTCTCAGCGATCATCAACCCGCCTCAGGCCTGTATCCTCGCCGTCGGAGGCTCTGAGAAAAGACTGATGCCTGCTGATAATGAGAAAGGGTGAGCGTCATGGCAACAGCCGTCCAGATGAAATGAGCAGGGAGAAGCCGGTACGTCACAGCTAACTGACGGCACGTTTGCTTTTTTTCCCCAGGTTTGACGTATCCAACATGATGTCGGTAACGCTAAGCTGCGACCACCGGGTGGTGGACGGAGCCGTCGGGGCACAGTGGCTCGCAGAGTTCAGAAAGCTCCTGGAGAAACCGGTCACCATGCTGTTGTGATCAGACTGTAGTGCCATCAAACAGCAGCAGGCACAGACCTCACACTGACGAGATCCGATTGGCCTGGATTCTCACGTGATTGGCCAGCCTGCCACAAGGTCACTCCCACTTAACCTGATCGGCGGGAAGAGGCAGAACTCACTCCGACAAGCTTTCTGTCCGTCTCACCGTCTCTCCTATCTTTCCTTCTCTCTCTCTCTCTCTCGGTTTTATTTATTTTTGCCCCATCTTATAATAGATCGGAATTTGGTTTCATTTACCCTGGAATAGAGACTATATGTCAATAAAAGATGTTAAAGTATTTTAAAGAAGGGACGTGTTACATGCCCATGCAGTGGGCATATTTTCCTATAAAGAGTTTGTGTGTTTCTGCAGAGGTTCATCACATACAGTGAACATGGTGGAAAAAAATGAAATGAATTTATCACAAAAGTAGCCGGAATTTACACAGTGGCCAAACAGAAGAACTACTTTCTGCATTTTCTGTGGGTTAAAGCTTCGCTGTGTTTATAATTATCACTGTGGAAGAACAGTGTTGTATATTTATGTATATGGTGTTGAACTTTGGTTAGAATAACCAAGCCCCTTAAAGATCTCACAGTAGAAACAACAGGCTGTAAGCTTCTCTCTTCTGTTTTATTTTCCAGTGTCATACAGTTTCTTGATCTTGCAGCTGACGCACGCACACAAACCCGGTGCTGGATGTTCATAAAAGAAAAAGAATAAATTGGGAGATTACAACCTTCTGTGCAGTCTCTTTTATTTGGTTCTTAGTAATTAACTTCTTTTGTTGAGTCAAATAGATTCATCTAAACAAAAAGTGTTGTTAAAAGGTTAATATATTTTATTGTGTGTCTTAAAAGTGAAGCTGATTTAGTTTTTGATGATTATAGCGAACAATTCATGAAAAGTTTCCCTGACATTTTGAGAATTGCTTAATATAACAGAAAACTTTTATTTATATATATATATATATATATATATATGTTTTTTCCTTTAAGAAAATATCCCTGCACCTTCCTATAGATGTGTTTATTACTATTTGATGTTTTTAATGTATCCTTGCAGCATGGCGTTGAGGTCTGCCTTCAGGTAACCATAGTAGCTTTAACAGCAGGGTTCAGTTTATCTGCATTGCTGAGCTGCATGTCTCCTCATTCGGTTGATAATCCTCCATAGACTCTATTAGGATTAGATTGGGCCTATCAAGCACAGTGATAACACAGGGATTAAACTATCTATTGGTAGGTTATACAATATGGGCGGTGTTCAGTTTGTGTGTCTGCCTGTGTAAAAGGATAACTTTAAAAGTTATGGATGGATTTAAATAAATAAAAAATTACCATAGGTGTCCCTCATGTCAAAGAATGATCCATAATATTTTAGTGATGATCCAGATCATAATCTGGATGCAGGAATTTTTAAATTATTCTCTGATTGTGTGAGATACTGATATTTGGCAGAACAGTTCCCCACTCAACCAGCGGGTGGCAGCAGTGAGTATTGAAAACCTCTTTACTGAAGCAAAAACACAAGAAAAGGGATTGTTGTCTGCTTATTTGCAGAATCAATTGATAGAATTTTAAGTTTTTTGGTTTGTTTGTTTGTTTGTTTGTTTGTTTTAACCAGAGGTGCATTTCATGCCAAGGAACAGCTCATGTAAATTTTGGTAATGATCCAGATCATGTATGAGTTTTAGTTATGGGTGTAGGTCACAATAAGGGAAAAGGTTCCCGCTTGGTGCAGGTCTGTGCTCAACAAGTGTTTTTCTAGTATTTGTATTTTTTTTTTTGTTTCACAAACCCATGAAGGATTTTTCTTTCCACTAAAATATCTGATTATGGCCTTTTAGCAGGCAGCCTCTTAAAGGTATAGTGGAGGGTGTTATTTTTCTGGGTGGATCATCAAAATAAGTGGTCCTCCTAATTGTCAATCATTCTGGTGATATATTTACGTAAGGTCGTCCAACCTCCCCATTTTTACTTACCAGTGGCGAGTCTGACATAGTGGAAAAATTGCAAATCTTCTTTTAGAAAGTAAGCTTGTTTGAGCGATGGTACAGATGTTATGCACTAGTGCATAACATCTGTACCATCACATACAGGCTTCCCAGGGGTGAAAGTTGGTTTAAATTCTTGCCGGTACTGTAAAAAAAACTGTATTTGCTCGAATAGTTTTCTTACACCCTGCATGCATTTTAAAATATATAGTTTTTTTTTCCGATATAGATCTATATAACCTATATAGCACTGATCAAAAAATAAAGGGAACACTCAAATAACACATCCTATATCTGAATGAATGAAATATTCTCATTGAATACTTTGTTCTGTACAAAGAGGAATGTGCTGATAACAAAATCACAAAAATCCTCAATGGAAATCAAACCTATTAACCAGTGGAGGCCTGAATTTGAAGTCACATACAAAATTAAAGTGGATAAACACTACAAGCTGATCCAGTTTTGATGTAATGTCCTTAAAACAGGTCAAAATGAGGCTCAGTATTGTTAGTTCCCTCCACTGACTCTGCCATATATAAAAATAAATAAATGCTCAATAAATAAATAAGCTTACAATTAATTGCCACCAAAAATACAATTAACAAATAAATGTAAGTAGAAATCAAATTATACAGTGTGACATAAATGTATATAACTCTTTTTAAAAAGGGCGGGCAGAAATAAATAGCGGCGAAGAAATAATTAGGGAAAAAAAATACAAACGAAGAATAAAACAGACAAAAATATTATAACATGCACATAAATAAATACTTTAAAATATAAGTAATTAAAATATAAAAGTTGAAGATTATAAAGGACAAAAAAATAAGGTTAATATTACAAAGGTAAATAAATAAAGAAGCTAATTAAAAGAGTTTTATGCATTTATGTCTGACTGTATAATTTTATTTCTACTTACATTTTTTTGTTTATTGTATTTTTGGTGGCAATTAATTTTATGCTTATTTATTTATTGAGCATTTATTTATTTCTGTATTTATTTCTATATATGGCAGAGTCAGTCCTCCATAGTAGGACCTCCCTACAACGCCTGGACATGCTCCTGATGAGGTTGCAGACAATGTCCTCCTAGACCTGGACTAAAGCATCGACCAACTTCCTGGGAAGTCTGTGCTGCAATGTGATGTTGGGGGATGGATCAATACATGATGCCCCAGATGTGCTCAGTCGGATTCAGGTCTGGAGAACTAGTGGCCCCGCCCATAGCTCCAATGCCTTCATCTTGCAGTTACTGCTGACATACTCCATCCACATGAGATCTAACATTGTCCTGCAATCCTGGTGTTGACGTCGGGCCCTCATACCATCCTCATGGAGTCGGTTTCTAACCGTTTCTGCAGATACATGCCCATTTGCGTTCATTTTACAGGGCTCTGGCAGTGGTAGCAGTTTGAATTAAAATGGAAATGCACAGAAATTCTTTATCTTCAAAATACGTTTTTATGATTTCAACTTTTTTAAATATATGTTTAACTATCCAACAGTAAAGGCCCTGTTACCATTTATGAATACCCTTTGGTAGAAGGAAAGCCTTCATTGGCATAATGGCAATGAAATTCAAGGGTTAGTAATTCAAGCTACTGCAACACCTACAGAAACTCCAACACTGCTCTACAATGCCTTAATAATTTGGAACTTAATGTAAAAATGTTAGATATTGAAATATTCTAAAGAAATACAGAAAACATTTGACGATGGGATGAAACATTCATATCTTATTTCAAGAGATCGAAACAGATATATATATATATGAAGGAGGGTCTGTGTGCCTTTTCATCTGGGTCTTTATCCAAAAATAAACAGCAAGCCATGAAAATTTTATTCTGGATATAAATTGGAAGATTTCTTTGATAAAAAATGAAAGAAAGTTTTGTATCTTTTCTTGGAAGATGAAAGAAATAAAATCCTAAACTTAAGACAAAAGCATTTTTTATACTTGGAAGGTAGTGTTGACTTTAGGCCATGTAAAAACAAAGCCAAGGTGCACAGAGGGATTACCACAGACCTCCGAACCTCAGGTGGTCTTCAGATTACCTTAAAAACAATGCATAGAGGCCTGTTTAAATGCATAAAAGCATAAAAGGCTGCTTCTCCAGTTGAGCTTGGAGCTTTAGTTCCAGCTAAAGGGACTTCTAGACATTTGTGAGGACAGTTTGTGGACGGCCCCTTCCTGTTTTAGCATAAATGAAGGCACAAAGTGAGATCCATCAAGGCATGGATTACCAAAACCTCAGAGCAAAGGCATTTTTGGGATGACTTAGACCCAGTAACTTCAGAAAGGATCCTAAACCATGTGAGGAATCCCTCCCAGACGAGGTGAAGTTGGAATATCGTATCAAACATCCTTCGGTTCAGAATTGCAGCTTGCTGCTCCAGTTCATCTGTGTGTAAAGGCAGCAAAGCAGAGTAAATCCTTTCATTAATTCAGTGTTTATGTGTGAATTGGGAAACTGTTGATCATCCTAACAGCTTTGAAACAACAATATAACAGCGCAGTAAAGTTTTCCTCAGAACAGACTATGACAATGACCTTTAGAGTTCATAGATGCCAGTGAGACAAACAGGCGATGATTAACAAACTTTCTGTTATCACCATGGTAACATGGCGATCTGAAAGGAGAACGAAAAGCAGGAGTCGTCCAAACAAGCTGTGAGGGAGAAAATGAAACAGCTGCTGACAAAAAATAGAGCCGAACTCAAAGGTCAAGTTAGAAACCCTGAAAAGAGCTCAGCTGGACCTCCTTCAGATCACCTGAAAACAGCTTCCTTTCCCTCACAGGAAAACTTTAGCAAAAAAAAAAAAAAAAAGAAACACTGATTAATTAATGTTTCTATATGATGCTCATTAATCCTGACTGGCTTTAACGTTCACCCTCACAGCATCACTGTGAGGCTCCTTCACGATGTTTGTGTTGGGCTTAACATATTTGGATTATCACAGGAAAACTTTGCAGCACTTCAACTTTTGTGAGTCAGTGACATATTTTATGTAAATCCATCAAAATGAGGCTCTAAGTGGATTTTGTTTAGCCCACAGGTCAGAAACCAAGGATCTCCTTATCATTGCTCACTGCTGGTGTTGAGAAGTTGTCTGCTAATATTTCTGACAGCCTTAGATCTTTCCCTGCTTTTAATCTGTACATGACTGCTGTCCAATGGAAAAATAAAAACATGTTACTTTTTTACGAGACGGATCTAAATATGATTCTCTACAGGCATATGTAAAGCAGCCTTGGCTTAAAAAAATTTATCCATACTTAAGGAGACTTGATTTGCCAAGAAAACATGTTTGGCTTGTTTAGAAATGATCAAAAGCACAGCTTTATTAAAGGTATGAAAGTTAAATATGCTAAAGACTTTATATTTGAGAAATTGATATAAAAATATTATCTTTTTGAGGATGTTTGCAGTAAGATAATGTTAAGCCTGTTAATATTAATGTAAAATCTCCTTACATTTAGAGTAAGAAATTTTTCAATGCTACCCTAGAAGTTTAATTTAAACTCATATCATGTAAATTAAAAAATGATCTATCAGATACTTGTCAAAGCTTTAAGATTTCAAAAAGTTCTCCTTTGGTTTATATATATCTTATTACTTTTCTGCAATGGTGCCAACAACATGTAGGTCATGGGGTCAGTGGTCACTACTTTAGGTTTTCCCACTGGCCTCAGCTAATTTGCAATATCTGTCCTCCTGCATTAGATTAAACTGAATTTATATTTTGATGCTTTCCATATCTGAAACAATTTATTGGATTAATTGATTATTTAGATAATCATCAACTTATTAATTGTTAACTGGAGTGTAGAGACAGTAAAATATGCCTTTAGCTGCCAGAGCAACCCACTTAGAGCAATAATTATACCAAATTTGTAAAAACAAATACGTAAACATTTTGCATTTAAGTCTGTAAATATGCTCTATCCAGAACTCCGCAAGTGAAAAAGTTTTAGTTTTGCCTGGTTTAATTTTGTAAAAAGTCTTTAAATAATCTTTGGCTATCCGATTATTAATCAAAAAAATAATTGACAGATTAATCGATTTGCAAAATAATCTTTAGCTGCAGCCCTAATTCATATTATAAATCAGCAAAATTGAAATTTGGAACCAGTAAAAGAAATCAATTATGCATTTTATAGATTGAGATCCATGAAAATTTTGCAATTTTGAGGTCAATGTCTTGTTTTGATGGTTTCATAATCTATAGATAATCTCTATATGGACTCACCAAAATACTCAAGATTAAACCTTTATGGACGGGTGGTGCTAATCTGCATCATACCAGACCTTTTTTTGTGTTATTATAGGACTTGTGGAGTATACATATACATTTACCTCCAAGGATAATATCAGAAGCCTTTAATAGCATCTAGTGCTTAGTGTGTAAACTGCATCACCTATATGGATGCTACAGACGACAGGCAGCTGGAATTTGACTGATAAATTGAGTAAATTGTCTCAATTTGGATGCAAATTGTGGTTTGAAAGATAAAATAATAAAAATAATAAAATAATAATGTATTCAGCAGCAACTACTATATCAGAATAAGCAACATATAAGCAAAATGTCTTAATTTTGGGTTTCAAGCTTTTAAGCAACTCTGGATAATTACGGAACGTAATTTGTAATAAAATCCTGGGTGAAATAGTAGAAATGTATGCATGTGTTTCCTGTATGCAACATTAAATAAAAAAAAACAACAACCTTACGATTATTAAAAACCAATGAGTAGATGGGTTACGGCTTTTTATAGAAGTTTGATGCCTTTCTTGAACAGTTCATTACAGAATATAAACACGACTACTTCTTTGTTGAACTGCTCTCCATTGTCCATGCAGGCAGGCACATTTTTATTCACATATGAATCAGTTGTTTTCTATAAGTGTGTCTAATGTTCTGCATTTATGTGGTTGAGAAATTGATTTCTAGGTGAAACACTTATTTTTTTTATTGCACCATTGTTTAGGCTTTTAATTTTCATGTCCTACCTATGATTAGTGCCCAAACTATGCCTGTTATTGAGCCACTGACAACAGCAGACATCTCCCACTATTTGCAGCTCAATAAAAAAATAAACTCTTAACAAGGAGCAGCCAAATTCCTTTTAGCTGCGTTGATAAGCTCCCAAAGGTACCAGTGCAGTTAGTTGGGGTATTAACAGCTAATTATGACAGCTCTGCTGCATCTTACCTGACAGGTTGCATGTTTTTTTCCAATCGGGGGGGTGGCAGGAGGAGGCAGGACAGAGGGAGGTGGGGTTGGTTAATCATGCATGCTTAACTTGTTCTATTTTCCACCACAAGTTTTTATGCAGTGGGAAAACGCTGCCTTTCTGTCTCCCTCGTCCATCATGGCTTCTCCTGTAAGGTGGATTCTCTGGACCACATGTGTGTGTTTTGCTGCTCGGCAGAAAGGTGAGTCTCTCCTGTTTTCCCATCTTGAGAAAAAACAAATAAAATTTTACCTTTTTCAGCAGTTGCTGAAAATGTTTAGAGAGATTAGCTGTAGTTATTATTTTTACTGGTTAGGCCTTTTGACATGAGCATGGATTAAGATACGCCTATTGAACATTTATGGTGCTTAAACCTAATTTGATATAAATTTACATTTAATTTCAAATGTTGCACAAAATTCATTAACTTTGCTCTATTTTCACAGCTATTGTGTTCTGATGAAGTTTAAAACCAAATACTGATTATTGTTTGTCATCTTTATTTCTCTAAAGACTGACATTTTAAAGTCTCTTGATCTTTTTTCTAAACAATGCAGTGAATTGACATTCTGTTTTCACGAATGCATCCCAGAGAAGTGGCCTGTTGTTCCACTTTGTCCGTGATTAGTTTGGCTCACCATCAAAACTGTCAAATGTAATTAACAGCTGATACGCACACTGAATCACCCTCCCCGACACGCTCACACAAAAGGCCTGGGGACGACAGAGGAGGAGGAGGTTCATTATTGCAGTAATGAAGTGATGGGGGGGATGTGGGGGGTGCTGGTTTTAACAGGAGAGCTTCAGATATTGCAAAAGATAAAACAGAAATGTGGAAATAAAGTCCTGGTCTTTTTTTTTGTTTGGCTTTTAGCTGCTCTCAGGGTAACCATGAGGGAATCCAGTCTGGAAGTGGTTCGCGGCGATTCGGTTCTCCTGCCCTGTTCCTTTTTCACCTATTCCGACTTCTCCAGACTTAATATAATCTGGACTTTGGCCCCCTTCTCCAGTCCAGACACCCCCGTACAGGTTTGCATCTCCTATGTATAATATATAAAAGAACAGAAGCCTGACAGAAGTTATTCATATCCCCAATATATTGTTATATCTTCATATATTTGAACTAAAAACTCGCTGTTTTAAAGAGCTTTTATGCAATAGTCAATTTTCCCACAGCATGATGCTGCCACAACCTTGTTTCACTAAAGAAATTGTATTTTTAGGATGGTGTGCAGTGATTATAAGGCAACAGAACATAGGCTTAAGATGTTATTTGTCCTGTTATTGTCACCAACATTCAGCAGCAGCTTTCTTCTTTATAAAAAAAAATGACTTATGCAATTTTTGACTCATAGTTGTTGAGAAATATTCCCACCTGAGCTGTGGATCCATGCGGCTCCTCTAATGTATACGACTGGCTCAGCTGTGCTTTCCGTGCTTAGTCTGGTCAGCTAAGGAGGATGAGAAGGCCAAAACTCAAAAACACTTTTATAACCTAACTGCTTTAAACATCTTAACGGCATTCAAACCTGACCTGTTTCCTTATAGGTCGCCATGACGATGGTTGTTCTCTAATGTTCTCCAACAAAGCTCTGGTTTTGTTAGGTGAATTTCAGTGGCTATGTTTGCTCTGGATTTAATGTAGGTATTTAGATTAAAGACTTAATGTAAACACATGAGTTTAAGTTTGTTACACGGGAGTAAGATCTACAAAAAAGTTTATAAGGCAATAAATAAGGAACAATAGCCTGAGAAATAAAATGTTTTGCTAAAATAAGGAATGCTTGGGGGAATATCTTATAAAAGATCTTTTATTTTCATATCTCTCCTGTTTTAGGTAATAGTGTATGACCATGGGCAGGTGATTAAAAACCCCTCCCTCATTGACCGGGTGGATTTTACAGGTATTATCAATGTTAAACTATTGCTTCTTTGTGCTGCTTTCAATGTATTTCCACTGTAAGATATACGTCAAAATGAAAGGACAGGTTAATCATTTTTATTTCCTGTAAACCATCTGCAGGTCTTCCATTCAGTGCAGACATCATGATAAATGACACACGAGTCTCTGATGGGGGGATTTACCGCTGCATGGTGAACAACCCACCGGACACAGCAGATCCAGGCGTGGGAGAGCTGCTGCTCAGCGTGTTGGGTAGGCGGCTCCATCCGAATCAGACAGAGCTGGTTTTAAATGACATATGAATCAAAAAGAAAACAAGTAAACTATTTTTACTAAATGTATTTTAGTTTCAACGACAAAAAACATTCTGATGATATAATATGGTGCAAGAAAAATAAAAAAATAATGAAAAGAGAGCTACCATACACATTTAAATGTTTTAGAGTTATAAAAAAAAAATAGAGAAAAATAACTGGAGTAAAAGAACAATACAGCATTTAAGTGGTTGTTTCATTTATTAATTAAAATAAATGATCCAAACCAGATCAGACTTGTGATAAAATACAAATAATCTCTTAACCTTGTATATAGCTGAACCATTATGGACCTGTTTTCATTCAGGATTTTCTAGCAGGAACAGCCGGTTTAAAGTCACACAAAAGTCTCTTAATTGAATTCAAATGGAGCCTAGGCGAAATTCAACTGAAGAAACTCCTTGTTCATACATCCACCTGTGACACAGACAATCAGCTTTGAACCACACCTCCACGCAAGCCGATCGGCATCCATAGCTCATCTTAAAAGGCCTCCGATCCGCACCTGTCTGCTCCTGTGTGCAGGCGGCAGATGCGCTGTGATTTCATTCAGATGACCTTGTTTCGAGGCACCTCCAGCCCCTCCACCATCGAAGCTAAAGCTTCATCAGAGTGTCATTCCTCCCGGACTCTTACTGTGTTCCCTGTCTCATCTTAACCGGTCCGGCAGAAGACCGCCATGTTGAGCCTGGTTCTGCCAGAGGTTTCTTCCCAACGGGAAGTTTTTCCTCTCCACCGTCGCTCCATGCTTGCTCATCATAGACAGGTTCTCTCAACCTATTTTTTCCAACTGGACTTCCATCTTCCAGGTCCCTGAGTGAAGCTCTAGTATCAGCTCAGGCAGTCCACTGGATCTCCCCATAAAGCTCAGCAGACCGTCTCGCTAACCAGCAGTCTACAGACTGACCAACTTCATCTATCTCCACTCCACCTCCAGTTTCAGGCCTTGGGGGAAACAGCCCTATTTTTTGCTCGTGTTCATGCATATCTATCAAATTAGGCGCTATGTTTCCTGCCGAAGTCTGAGAGGCAAAGACAAAGTAATTTTATCAATAACTTTCTCCTAATTGTCTTTTGTCTTTGTGTGAGTTTTTCAGATTAAAATCCAAGTTTTAATACCTAGGCCACATGTTGTGGTGTTAAAGTCAACTAGGTGGCTTTTGGGGGAGTAGACGGAAGCTAGTTGAGTCATTTCTGTATTCTAAAGGACTGACCTCAGTGAGACCTGGCCGGGTGTAGCCAGTAAATTAAACCCCAAAAAATTGGGTTACTCACAGTTACCTAATGATGATTATATAACATAATTCACTTTCAGCAAAAGGAAAATTAACAGAAGGAAAAATAGAAGGAAACTTAACACTTAATGGTGTTGTATAGTAGCAACCAGCAGTAGATCAGTAAAACAAACACGATTCAATTCATTTTCAATTCAAAGCACAAATTCACAACACATGTCATCTCAAGGCTCTATACAGAGACAATTCAACCAGATCATGCAGTCAGATGGGTTAAAGGTTTTCTATCTAAGGAAAACCAGCTGATTGAGTAGAGATATTGACTTTGCATGACACTTTCCTCTTGGAATGAGCAGATGATGACAGTGGGCATTTACTGTGTTATTGATTCTACAGCAATTCCTCACACCGAGCAGGAACGCCGTGACAGCAGAGAGGAAACAAACTGCCTCATAACAGTAAATAGCCTCTAGCAGAACCAGGCTTATTTTTAGGCTTCTACCGAGACCGTCTGGGGTCACACTGGAAAAACCACCTAGAAATAAGTACAAATTTCTTAAGTCAAGTGTATTTACCCTTAATTTGAGATAGTTTGCCAATGGAATGAGTATTTTTACTCTTAAAATAAGATAATTAGATAATGTGCACTTGAAATAAGACAATGCAATTGTGTTTTCTTATTTTAAGTGTAAATTGTCTTTTTCCATTGGCAAAATGTCTCTTTTACCTCCTCCATCCAAGAACAAATGCACTTATTTTAAGAAAAAATTACTTATCTAGATTTTTTTTCCCAGTGTAGAGGAGAGAGAAACAGATATACAAGACAAACGTAGATGCACTGATCTATAAATATTTTCTATGTTAGAAAAGTTAACAGTGAACTAGCTCCATAGGTGGTTCTTTCTAGGGAGGAAACTGTTAAGTAGATGAGCTCTGAGCCTTTTTACATATCAAAGGGAACACATTCAGTTAGTTACAATAAAAGCTTTGTTCATAACAATGCATAGGAGAGAGGCAGAACTAAACACTGAAAAACAGGCCCAGCTTTATCACCTATAAACAAGGGAGTTCATGGCAGCGGCCCAGCTGATATTTCTCTTCTGGATGTGTCACAGCCAAACAGGAACAGACTAGATGAAGCTAATATGATAAGAAAAAGCAGAGAGAGCATAAAGTTATGGTTTGAACTAAGAAATACTGCTGAATTGAATAATAAATATAGAATTAGGCAGAATAAGAAAAGTGGCTTCTGTGTCTTCCAGCAGACTAAACCTATAGTAGCACAATAATACATTACAGTACAACAGGTAACTGAAGAGAAAAAAATAAAATGTGAAGAGATAAAATGTTATCTAAAAGAAAGAAGTCTACAAAAGCAAATACAGCTGGAACTGTGGACTGATGTTTGCAGAGCCACCTTCTCTACCCGTGTGTGAGTGGGATGGAGCAATTGACATGGGAGGAAGTGTGAAGCTGTCCTGTTTGGTGGAACAAGGTGTCCCCACGCCAGAAATCCGATGGGAGAAATTGAACCCTGAGGAAATTTCCCTTCCTATCAACATGGAAGGTCAGTGTTAATCTTTGTTGACCTCTATCCTCTACAGGATTTGTCAATTTGCCTTTGAGATAATGACCATCCATTACAAAGTACATCACAACCTGTTTTGGTTATTCAGATTTATATTAACATATAAAAATCTTTAGAGAACCTGACATCATATGCGCTATAATCTTTCAATACTATAACACAACAAATTAACCTGAAACTGTAAGGATGATTGGATCTAAATACAGTGAACTTTTGTAAGAGATATTTGGATATCCAGAATTTGACTAGTCATGCCGAAAACAACCAAATGTGAAGGAAATTTGGCTGAACTTCTGAATTTAAATGTAAAAAAAGGAAAGTGATTCCTATTTTACAAATGTAAATAATGCTAATCCTTGCTGACCTTAAACAGGAGAGGTTTAACTCTGTGGTGAGAGAAGGTAATCTTTTCAAGTAGCAGATGCTAACATCTGCTTTCATGCTGGTGAAGATTCTCCGTCATCTAGGTCATAGTCATTCCAAAAAAGTAAATGTTTCTAAGTTTGAAGATGTTTCGCTTCCCATCCAGGAAGCTTTTTCAATTCAAAATGTCAGAAATAGTGTTGAGTTCGAGGCTTTATAGAGTGGACAAAAAACAAAGCCTTGTTTTGGCTTAGAAATGTGCAAATTGAACCCAAAGAACGGGTCCACCCCTTAGGAATGGGCTGTCATTTGGGTTCTTTGTTAGCCTGTAATACCTGATGCTGGTCTATGTCTCTGAAAGGACGGATCGTTAGTGGTAGCTGGCCTAGAGGTGTTCTGTTCCCCTGTAAGATATGATAACAGGAAGGAATCGACTATCATCACAACCCCCACCCCCTTACAGGGGAATGACCCCTTTCAGAGACATAGACAGGTATCTGGTATTACATTATAACCAAACGACCGCCATTCCTAAGGGGCAGTGGATTATTAATTTTTTTTTTTACTTTTTTGGAATGAGAATCTGCTTTCATCTGTACTTAATGTGTTGTTTCCAGACAAGTCTGTCTATAACAGCCACATTTCTTTCAATCTTCTTTTTCCAAATAAAGCATTAAAGTTTGACTGTAATTTATTGAACCCTTTTCCTCTTGTTCCTCAGGTGAGCTGTCCGGTTCGGTCCAGATTGTCAACGTTTCTTCTCAAACGTCTGGCTTGTATCGCTGCTCAGCCACTAACGTCCTGGGAACAGAAAACTGCTACGTCAACTTGGCCGTTTACAACAGTGAGGGTCTGTTTCAGCACCAATAATAATCCTCCTCTTTCTACTCAAATTGTCTGATCCAAGCTGTTCTGTGCGTCTCGGCAGCTCCAGACAGTCCCTCAGGCATTCTGCCAGGGGTGCTGCTAACTCTGGTGATGAGCTCGGTGCTGCTGGCTCTGCTGGTGCTCATCCTTTGGCTGCATCGCACTGGGCAGGATGGGAGGAGGACGAGGAGGGGCAGGAAAGGAGAGGAAGAGCAGTGTTACAACGAGATAGGCTACACTCCGTCCTTGATGAAACGCTCTTTTGTCTGAAGTCTCACCATCAGGTACTGAAATGGACCGGTTTGCTTCTGCAACCTCTGCTCTTCTCATAGCTGCACAGGAAGACGCTTTTTGTAATAATAAACAATATCCAATTTCTGATACTTGTGATGTTTTTTCAGTTGCAGTAATTTGTATTTGTCTTCCAAATAAACACTTAAACCAGAAGTATTCCAGATTATATTCTAGAATATATTTACATAATTTTTCTTTTCTAAAAGGACACTTAAATACAAAACAGAAAATTAATATCTACAGTTGGATTTTAATACTGTATCCATATGTTCTATTAATCTAAATGGACACTGATGATCTTAGAAGAAACCAATAGATTTTTGTAGAGTTTTGCCATTGATCCCATCTCTCCATCAGGGTTTTGACCCAATCTTTACTTTGCAGCTATCAAAACATTGATTCATTTCTAACTAATGACAATTTAAGTTGGGAAGTGAAAGAAACAACAAAAAAATGTGTTGATTATTTCATTTTTTTCAGTATTGCTGGTGTTTAGCGTCATCCATGGTCACTCCAAGTAATTTCTCCATCTCTCCTAAAGACAGGCAGTCCCACAGCATGATGCACCCACCACCATTTAGGATGCTGTGTGTTCAGGGTGATGGACAGTGTTAGTTTTTACCAACATGACGTTTAGCTTGTAAACCAGTCTCATCTGATCACCATAAAGTATCTACGTCTTATAAGTGGGAGGGAAGCAGCTCCTCCAGAGTAACCATAGACATATAGTATGCTTCTCTAATTAATGGTATTCTATCTGGTCCATCAGTTTGGCTGGGTGACTGTATTACGGCAGTTGGGCCAGGCACTTTCCATTTTTCTGGGATAAATTAAAAAGTGCAGTTTTAAAAGCTTTCAAATTCTCTGGTGACTTGGTGAATAAAATTGTTATCATCCCAGACCTCTACAGCAACTAAAGTTTTAGCACAGAGATGAGCTCTTTTTCTTTCTTGTCCTACAGCAGCTCTTTTCTGCTAATGTTATTTTTTGCTGTAATTGAACCATTTTCTCTGGTAATTAGTAATCATTTTGGATAAATCTGAAAAATATAATTGCCTTTTGAAGCTATTTTTTCCCCCACAAAAACATTGAAAACTAAAAGAAATCATGCTCATCATCACCTCTCTGTACTGAAACTGTTTATCTCTTCATTGGTTGCAAAATGCAGCAGCATGTTTACTAAAAGCTAAAGCAGGACAGGATCACTACGGGTTTTATTTATTTTTACCGGCTGGCTGTTTTTGTATCAGTTTCAAATTCCTTCCTAATATATTGGTCACCTATTTATTTCACTAAATTCCAAATCCTGAAAAGATTGACGATCATCCTGCCAAACGTTTTTAGTGTGAAGGTCTAAATGGGAGAATAATTGGATGAGTCTGTACAAGCTTTTAGTTCCCACTTTAAAAACGAACTGAAGTCTCTAAAGCTCAGACATCATTTCAGATTTTTTTTCCATTTGAAAATTAAAGTGAAACACAAATTTTAATGATACAGTACAAGTAATTATCTGAAAAATATGTTGGTAGTAAAAAATGTTAACCCTGCCATTTCCTCTCATCTGAAACCATGTAAGGAAACCAGCTAAACCATGTGGCCTATAAGCAAAACGCTGCATATGGAGGATGACAGTACATATGGATTTAAATATACCAACCTTATAGTGAAACATAGTGGTGGCTTCATGATGCTGCGTAGATGTATTTAAGGACAGGATAGCTTGTCAGAGGTGATAGAAAAAATGAAAGAAGCTAAAACCAGATCAATTCTGAGAAGCTTTAAGATAAGAGAACTTGGAAATGTGCAGATCTAGAAATCAGAGCCGTTTGCTTTAATGTTCTTAAAGCAAAGTTAGAGGCCGTAATAAACTTATCTCTAGATGTCAAATATGTATGGATGTACACAAAAACCTCCTAAGGTTAATATTTATTATATATAATAACATATGGAAGGTCCTCACACTCAATCTGTAAATCATTTCTGCCATTATTTATCTTGTATTATAAACCAGCTAATACATATATAATCCTTTTCCTAACATTCCTGTATATTCTGCATAATCTGTGTAGCTCCCATATTCATATTTATATACAACTTTTTACAGTCCCAATTACTTTTTGCTTGTACATCCACCTGTAATATTTATATCCTGTATAGCACTTCTGGATAAATACAAACATTTTGTTTCTTTTGTACTTGTGACAGTGCAATGACAATAAAGTTGAATTCTATTCTACAAATACTATAAATCAGGCTGTTTCACCAGATCTAGAATTTTCTTTAATGTACAAACCAATTCAAACATTAATAGTGGATCAGTGCATCTCTTAAAAAGCAAGACTTGAAGCAGAGTTGATTCTCTCTCTTGTGATGCAGTGACTAACATACAGGTAATGCCTAAAAAATATAGCTTAGAGAGAATTGGACCAGTCTTTCTGTAAATTAAATTAAAATAATCTCTTTAAAATGACAGTTTATTTTAGTCTATAACCTAATAAAACATTTGATTCTGTGGCTGCATCTACAAAAAATGCTAAGTTCACAGGGTGTGACATGCATCTGCAAGGCACTGGATTCAGAAGAAATAAATCACAAACAGATTTGCAAACAGAGACAAAAACTTTAATTTAAATAGAAAAAAAAAAAGATAATCGCATAAAAAAACCAAACTGTACAGAACATTGACTTATAGTTCTTAAATAAAAGCCCACCCTCCCAAAATGACAAATGGAAAAACTGGGATGATGAACAATGACATCTTGTGCAAAACAAGTATAAAGTGATTCTTCCCAAACTGCAGATTTTCAGCTTTTCGTGTTGCTGGGTTGAATCCGGAGCCTCGCCCCTCCCTGCAGCTCCGCATATATAGTGTCTTTGATGGAGAAGGAAAACCAGAACCCAATAATAAAATAGATTCTTATCTTAAATACATATTCATATAGCAGACATGCTGTACACAGATTTAGAGATTGGGAAACCCCTTTAGGACACCCGGGTCTGCCTGTTAGCTTGTGCTTTCCTGTCTCCCCCCCCCCAAAAAAAAAACATAGAAAGAAAAAAAAGAAGTAGAATTCCCCATAGCTTTGAATGCAAATAAAAACAGCACTGATCGACAAGTCTGTATTTCCTGAGTTGAGGGAGTTGTTAGCATGTCCTGGGAAAGATGCTGCTATATGTTCCTCACAGCAAGTTTACAAAACATCTCAGGGCTGCTGAAAAGAAAGGAGCTTAAAGTGGAGCAAAGACTGCAGCAAAGATTCACAAACAGCATTAAGAATGGTTAACACCAGGGTGACCCAGTTTCCAACCCAACATGAAATAAGTGACCTTTATTTTAAGGAGAAATTCTCTTTCTTTTTAAGTCTTAAATAGCCTTTAATCTCCATTTTGTGATCCAAGTTTATTCGTATAACCCCGGTCAAATTAAAGAATGGATCTCAACTCCCTCTTGATTATCTTTCCTGCAACAAATCGCGTCTCACTTTCTCCCCAATGTTAAATCCTGAGAATGCTGGAGGTGTTTCAAGTCCTCTACTAAAGGACAACAACATTATAACAGGAATTCATTTGAGCAGACCAGGATCTGGTGATTAACGCTATGGCACAACGTTTTGAACACTGCAGAGAGATGACGACTGGGCTGCCAAGTGTTGCTTGCTTAATGTTCATCTGCAAACCGTTCAACATTTTCACAGTGGTGAAAAACAGCTAAAGATTGAAAAAGGGGGTGAAGAGGAACCGAGTTAACTTCTTAGGAATATTTCCAGTTATGCTACAGGATTAAAGGGATGGTTTGTTTTTGGGATGATTGGGGGGTGGGGGGGTAAATTATCAGAACTGTAATACGGTAACAGCTGCTCCAAATGAAAACCTCGCCAAGAATTGCATTTCAGCCCCCACAGCGAACCAGCGTAGTGGTTGATTTTATTATGTTTTACAAACTTTGAGAGAGTAACACAAACCAATTATCTGAACACTGAACCAGTATTAGATTCACAAAGCAGCTTTAAACTGAGATCTATGCTTTTTAGATCCTGATCTCAGCAGCGGTTGGCTTGTTTTTCCCCATCACAGCCGTCCTGATTGGAGCGCATAAAGCTTAAGATACAGAGAGAAAAAAATTAAACAAAACCGTGGACTGGAACTGGACAATTTTTATCTTGATCAGCCCGGATTGAAGCGAAAAACCCTCATCGGTGTGGAGGCAGTTACTGACGGAATACGACTAAGGAGGGATAAGAAGTTAGCCATAAAGAGCAGAGATGATTCAAGCTTTCTCTACGATATGTGGAGACACAATGAGCGCTATCAGAGAGAGCCTTTAAACAGAAAAAAGGAAGAATTTGTTTAATCTATTTGACATTTTAATTTTATCTGCTGTGGAAAAGTTATAAAAATATTGGTAACCTTTTGGAAATCCAAGATAAACATCCATTTTCTCTAGAATGAAGACCTTTTAGTAATACTAACCATGGGTTACTGCATTTAGTTTAAATTGTCGCCCAGTCATCGTTTTGTTTATTTTAAAATAGTGAAACCCTGTAATGTTGCTGATTATCATAATAGAAATAATTAGAGACTGCTCACAGGGGAGGTAGAAAAAATATTTTAGCCTCTGCTAATTACAGTTCTTAAAGAGAAAAAGCTTTCCATTAAAAACAGCTATCAGCAGGAAAGCGCATTGAAAACAAAAAACAAAATTCAGACGTAAAAAAATGGCTGCAAAATTCTCACCAGTGCGTCTCAACGTCTGATTTAAAACTAAAGTTCGTCCAAAATCAAACCTCAAAAATGCTAATTATCCCTTTGAACACAATCATCGTTGATAAGATGAAAAGATTTATTTAGACAAACCAATGGAAGAGAGGAAGCAGATGACAGAAGGCAACAGCGCACACACACGGCCCCACCCAGAAAAGATCTGTAAGACAACGTTGATTATAAATATTTCGCCTTTGCTTTTACTATTTTTTTTAGCGGTGTAAAGGTCCAACTAAAACGCTGGATTTGTCTGGTGCAGAAACAGCAGTAGTACAGGGTACGTTAGTAGTAGCAGGGGATGCAGAAGCAGTAGTACAGTAATGGGAGAAACGCTGCTCCCCGCACTGAGCAGCATCGACCCCTGCTTCCTGGAGACCAGTCAGGGCTTCACTGATCATTTATCAAAAAACAAACTCAGTGGTTCTGAATCACTGAGGAACTTGGGATTCTTCAAGTAAAACATCCAAAAAAAGAAAAAAACATTCAACCCAGCGAAACAAAAGGTTTTTTACATTTCCAACACGCCACCTTCATGGGCTTCAATAGACACTCTTCACAGAGAGAGGAGCCTGTTTGGACCACAGTCTTCCAAACCTCCACCTTCCAATTCAAGACTTAAAGGCCTAGATGATGTGTAAACTCGCCGTTAAAGCACAGCTCGCCGGCTTGGCTGAGAGGTTTCCTTTGTTAACCGCTGATCTCTCCAGGAACCTCTGCAGGAAACAAACCAGAGGGCGGGGACTGGTTGTTGTCTTCGCTTCCGCTTGCTGATTAATGAGTGGTGTGCGATGGAGAGCGGTGGGGTTGAGCCTCCTGTAGTCTGTCAGGTATCGACACTCAGCTGTGGGTCCAGTGAGGATGCAACAACGGGGGGGAAAAAAACTAAAAAAGGCTTTTTGTGGTTCACACATCCTTTGCTTGCTTGTACAGTAACGCACTAAATCTCTTTAAGTGATGAAACAGAAACCCAGCCTCTGCAGAAGAGATGCTATATTCTTTTCTCCTGTATAGAAAAATAAACACTCCTGAAGCAAAATATCCCTTTAATTGCACTGGCCTTTCTAGTCTGTCACTTCTGTTACAACCCAAAGGTCGTCCATAGAGACAAGGATGATCAGAACCTCAGACGAAACCTGACTGCTGAATGAACCGGTTGGCTAAATTCCCTCCATGGCGTGCTGTGCCACCGCTCAGTGCGCCGTTACAGCTGAACTGCTCTGGCTGTTAGGGACCTTTCTGCTCCCAGGCTCAGCTGGGGATTTTTTTCCCTGCACTGACGAATCCCAGCAACATTAGATGGAATGAGACCCGAAGCTGGAATTGGTCTGATTCGGTCCCACGGTGTGCTTCCATTGTAGAAAATGTCACCAGTGCAAAAACTCAGCGCAGGTGATCAAGTAAAGGCAGCTCTGTGGATTCCTCTTTTGGAGTGGGAGCGTCCTCTGAAGCCAACAGGGTGGGATCACACGTCTGAGTGGCTCCAAGGGGGTCATGGGACAGACTGGCTTCTTGTAGCGGCAAAGGAGGAGGAGGCTGAAAGAGAGATTTCACTGATTAGATGCCAAATCCTAAAAACAACTAAATAAAAACAAAATCTGAATATCTTGAATATTTTCCCAGACATGTTTCCAGAGACCAAAAGACAAAGAACAGATTACTCAGAGTTTATCAACAATGAAAAACATGTCGTAACAAGCTGCAGTGTTGATGCAGAAAGAAATGAGTCATCTCCCCTACTGAGCCATCCAATCCTAATGGTGCAAATACTATAAAGCATTACACCCTGCAGCTCTTTGTATCTTTCCATTTATTTAACTTTTTCTCCTTGAACTAAACTCAATTTTTGTCATTTTAACCAGACATCACTTTGCATATTTATAACCAAAAATATTATTTTTCTTAAATAGATTAATATGCTTTAAAAATGAAATGGGAAAGTTGAAATGCTAACAACATGCATTCTATTTTTGCATTTATCTAAAACTGATGACTTTATCCAAACTGACCCACAAAACACTGTTGTTATAGCAGCAGCATTAACATTAAACATTTAACAAAATTTATTTTCCCTTTGGGATTAATAAAGTATTTTTTGATTGAATTGAATTTCAACATTAGTTTTTTTCTTCCATTAGTATCAGCTGATATCTGCAAGTGCTCGCCAATTAAATAATGTTTAGCGCCTGTACCTTAAGATCGCATTAGGGCTCATACATTGCAGGTCCCTTCATGAACCATCTAGCCATTGTTAAAGGTTTCTTTTTTTTTTTTTTTTTTACTGAGAATTGTAAAGAGAGCAAGCCAGATTGGCCAAAATCATGAACCGCACAAATCAGGGATCAGTTAGACTGATAAAATCAATAAATAAAATAAAAACATAAATCTGTATTGGCACCAGCCTTAAAAAAAAACATGGACCATCTCTAATAAATACAAGTTTCAGCAGAACGTGTCTATTATTCAGCTCCCATAGAAATAATAGTTGTTGTTTGGGAGGTGAATATCTTAATGTAAATTAAAATTTTTAAACTTTCTTTTTATTTTTTTGGGGTTAATTGGAAATTTTAAAAGCATTTACTCAGTTGCAACACTGAAATTTAAATATATAAAAAAAAAAAAACAAAAAAAAAACAACAAGAGGAGGTGGAGAGGCTTATTTGTTAAAGAGGTCATAGAATGATTCTATAGGGTATTTGGTGCTGGTCCTTAAGGTCTCTGATGGGGTGTATAACATTGGTTGGGCTGAAAATTATTTGGTATATTTGCTTAAAAGCCCTAGAATGAAACAACATGTTTTCTTCCTTTTATGCTAAGCTCATGAATATTTAGATGAGCTGTGCGCTGATAGGTTGGTTTACAACGAGCGAAGCTGCTGAGCAAAGACACATCATAGCAACAAGCACTCACTCACTGAAACATCGAAACTGTTGATATGGTAGGGTGACCAGACGTCCTCTTTTCCCCCAGACATGTCCTACTTTTCATACCTAAAAAATAGGGGTGGAACGGTTGACAAAATCCACGGTTCGGTTCGGTTCGGTTCACGGTTTCGTGGTTACGGTTTTCGGTTCGGTATATGTTGATTGTTACACCAAAATCCCATAAAAATCAATGAAATTAATGGAAAAAAAAAATTTATGAATTGTAATTATTTTTAATGATCCGCGGAAACCCTGGGTCATTTCTGCATGTTTTACTGCTTTGAATTTAATCATCTCGCGCATGCCCTGTACGATTTCCAAGGAACTCAGAGCGGAGCGGACGGGAGCCACAGCAGAGGCTGTAGGCTTTGCTTTGTGCAGGCGGTCTGGAGTGCAGCAGGGTGCTGACGAAGTATGTGGGATTTCGGGGTTAGCATGACATGTTGGTCATGTTGCTGTTAGCATAAATAAAATGTGTTGCACAATGCTTGCACACTGTTGCACTTTTATCCACAACTTTCTTTCCGTCGTCATGGTAGGTCACTCTAAATGCAAAGCGGTCCCATACAGCAGACCTATAAAGTGCTGCTGGCGCGTCTTCCAACTCCTGTTCTTTCCCACTCGCCATACGCACGCAATTCACCACAACAACTGATTCTTTTCTGCTACACCTGGCTACGCTGCTTCGCATCATCTTCTTCTTGTTTACTACTGGTGGTTGGCTTTGGTCGCAGTGCCGCCACCTTCTGCTCTGGAGTGTAAACGCTTCGCCTATGAGAAAAAGGAGCAGCGCATGAACCGAACGCAACACACGCAAACCGAACAGAGACAGTCGAACCGAACTGTTCGGACGGTTTTCATAAACCGTTTCTTCCCTACAAAAAAAATGTCCAGGGGGGAATTCAAAATCGTCCGGGATTTTGGTCGACTACAGTGCAGCAGAACCGAGCCGTCTACTCCGGGGCTGGGGACGGAGCGCCCGAACCAGACCCGGTGACAGTAGCCTGGACAACGTCCTCCTTTTCAGAAACCCAAATCTGGTCACCCTAGATAGCATTGTTATCAGCAGCTTAGCGACTGAATAATACATAGAGCCTGTGGATGTGGGCTGGTCTGTATGTCAGTTTCGGGGCGTGACAAAAGTACAGCCCAGAACCAAATAGGGCAACATCCCAGAAATGAATTTGGTGCTTCGTTTGGATTCGCCTGTTTTATGATGGAAGTTTAGAATTGTGAGATTTGCATAGAAATGAGGTGTCGATGGGGTTTGAACTTCTCTGTACGTCCATTTTACTCACTGAGCTATCGTTATTCATCTATGACAATGTAAACTTGGTTTTGCATTCTATGACCCCTTTAACCAGATACGTTAGTACTAAAACTAAAACGCAGGGTTGTGGGGGCTTTACATGACGTCCAACATGACTGGTTTAACATATCCAAAGTATTTTTAAACACATTCTAAAACATTTATCTTTTTTACACTGAAAAGCTAAAAGCAAAGAACTAACTAGACTGAATTTTTGTGACCCTGAATCACTGCGGTCTAAAACATAAGGCTGTCATCTTCCTACCTGTGTGCGTATCGTCTGCACCGGCACCCCCTCCATCTCCACTGCAGTTGGTCCATTAAAGCCCTTCTTGCCTGAAAAACTCCACTTGCCGATATGACTCTCGTAGAGCAGGCCGCTCCTCTGGCCCACGCGGTGTCCTGAGTTCTCCAGTAGCGTTGCCGGGCAGAAGCGCTCTGAGGTCGGCAGAGGTGGAGGAACCATGGAGCTGCTGAAGGAGAGCTGGGAGCTGGAGAGCTGCTGACCAAGGAGCCCCTGGATGGATGACGTTCGCTGCAGAGAGCTGAGCAGGCTGGCCTCCATCCTGCCCTCTGATTGACTGAGTAGAGCTAATGGGAGAGGTTGAGGGTGGTGAGGCCAGCTCTGGTTTGGGCCTATAGGGTTATCTGTACCTAAGAAGGAAGATAAGTCCAGTAAATTACTCATTCTAATCCTTTAGATCACATTCCTGTTATGAAGGACATGAAACAAACAAAGGTCTGTACCCATGGAGGGCTGGACGGTGGTGATGTGTGGCTGAGGAAGGCTGGAGGCCGGGGTGCTCTGTGTGGTGTGAATGGCTGGGTTCATTGAAATGGAAGCAGAGCCTCCTCCACAGTCAGAGTCCTCGATGTTTCCCCCGCTGTTACAGCCGGCGCCACACCCTTTCTGCATCCTGCAGGGAGATTACAGTCACTGAAAGGTCCGAGTCCACATTTAAAACGCCGCAAAGGAAACAAACACGTACCGGTCCCAGCTACTGATGAGCCACGTGTAAATGTTGTGTGGACTGACCGGGCCGCCCCACACAGAGCGGAGCTGACTGTGGCCCCCGGCGTACGAGGTGGTGAGGGGCGACACGTATATGGGGTAACCGATGGGCTGGTCACATGACGAGTTAATCATATTCCTCAGAGCCTGCTTGGCGTTCTGGATGCTTCCTCGCTCTGGGTTGCGGTTCCGCAGGAAAACCAGCTCCTGCTGTTGGCCAGCCCACAACCCACGCACACATTCTCTGTTCACCTGAAGGGGGCAGCAGAGAGGGCTGATCAAGGCTAGCAAAGGTGCTTGTTTAAATATTCCACATCCTGTATAGAGCAGGTTTTCTACACGTACAAATTCAGACTTTTCTACACAGCTTTCCAGTTTTACGTCCTTCAAATATTTAATAATGGGTAAGTTTTACCCGATGCTTAAAAACAATACACCGATCATAGCTGAGGATGGACAAACATAAGGAACAGAGGAAGAAACAGGGGAGGAAGGAGGGAAAGACACAAAAATGCTGAGAGGACAGTGAAAGAAACAAGGAACCAAGGAGGAGAGAGAGAAGATTTAACATTGGAAGGCAGAACAACCAGGAAAGCAGAAACCACAGGGATAAAGAAAGAATGATGGATGCAATAAAGGAGGGACACAAGGAAAGGGGCGGAGCACAGAGAGTAAAACGGATAGAAGAAAGGATTATAGGGATGGAAGATAAATGTTTTTCCAAACATGCTGCTTTTTACAACATTTCATGCTTTTTCTGACCGCATAGAAGTAATGGTTTAATCCAACAGTTGATGTTTAATCAGAGACACTATTTAACTGTACTGCAATCAGAGAAAAATTGTAAAATCTGGAGTCTAAACAGACCTTGATGACTCTGAAGCTGAGGAATCTCTTATTAAGCATGATGATTTTGTACTCATCGCTGCCGTCGTCCATGATGTGTCGCAGTGCCAGCAGCGACGGCATGTTTGCTAAGATGGCGCTGCGCCACACTGGGTCCCCTTCGTGTGAAATCAGCATCTTTTCTTCGTTGGCAGTGATTGCATCATACAGAACCGTGGGATCCTCGTACTCATCTGGGGATGTAAAATGGTCCTAGAGGGAGAAGAGTTATTACAGCGCTGACAAAAAATTATTTAACCATGTGTGATTTGTGTGGTTTAGGAAGAGCTACCTGATGAAGTTTGAGGGACATTCGAACTCCTGGAGCCACAACTCGATTCAGTAGGTCCATATCTGCAAACACCCATTCGTCCCTGGGCGACGTAATGCGGAAGTCTCCTTTGAAGAGGGCGTGGAGGCCGTACAGAAAAGGCTCCAAACTGTTACATTTAAAAATCAACCTATTGGTTACTGTTTGGTAGTAACAGCACAGCTTATAAATGCTCAGCACCTTACAGAAGTATTAACACCCCTTTGAAATTTTCCAGATGTTACATTATGACCACTAACATCAAGGCCATTCATTAAAAGCAGGGATGCCTCAATGAGGTTCCTGAGGTCTGGTGTCCTGCACCTTTAAATGCAGCTCTGCTTTAACACCTTCCAATGAAATAACAAGGTCCTTCGCAGGACTGTTGAAAACTTTACCTTAAAAGGTAATTAAGTCATTCAATTCAGGTGTGTTGGACCAGAGAAATCTAAAGGTTGCAGGATAACGACTCATGGGGACTGAAGTCACCCCTGATTGGAAGTGGAAGCTAAAGGGACATGTAAACTGTAGCGTATCGTCAACATAAGACTGGATGAAATAAATTGAGTATGGACCCTTTTCAGGTACCAAACACTGCATCCAGATAAGTGTTATTTTTGCTTAAGTTAATTTTAGATTTCTAAATAATTTGCGCATTGAAAGAATAGCAGTTCAAACAACCTTAAAATATTGTCAAGTTGTGTTATATTTTGGGTTATTTATTTTGCATTTATTTGCAGACTTCGTTAACCAATAGAATCTTTGATTCTGTTGAGAAAGCAAGTTCCATGTTTAGAGACAGACAGCGTGTGATTAGTGGTAAGAGATTAAAATCGTAAATGTATGTCACATTTATGAACACAGGGAAAATTATGCTTCTTTTACTTTCTACTAATAATTTAGAATAAATGGATTGTTTCTTGCCATAATGACCAAATTTAAACACAAACATCAACAGAATGATAAACAGAGCAAAGCTGGAATCAAACCACCTCTTTTCATTAAACATCCCCCCATCCAGTTGTTATAAAGACTGTAGTGGTCTCACCTTGCAGACATGCTATGAGATGCTGTGCCCAGAGCTCTTCTTCCCAGGATACAAAGGCCAAAACAGAGGTTGACAAGTGGAGAATCTTTTTCACAAGTTACTGGCTACAACATAAAAATAATAGAATTAATCAAATAAAAACAGAGAGAATGAAACTAGAGTCGTGCTACAATGAGTCGGCGTGTAGAGTCTCACCGTTTGGCGCCTGCTGTTGCAGTACTGGATCCAGTCGAGGTAAACCATGCTGAAGGAGGAGGGGGTAATGCCGGAGGCTCTGTGATCATAGTCCTCGTCAATGTTCAAGTTAAAGGTGGGGTCGCTGTCCACATAGCTGGGTGCAAGGCAGGGCCGCAGAGCTTCCTGAATGGTCTCATTGCTGAGCCACTCCTCAAGCTTAGAGGATCGACTCACATAGTAGATGATGCTCTGTTGATACAAACAAAAACAAATTAATTAGACTTTAAGCAATGATATTGATAGCAAGGCATTGAGGCAAATTTGAAAAACGATTAATATTCAGATAGCAACAGATTCTTTAAAGAAAAACAGAATTTAAACAAGGTGAAATATAAAATTTATACGTTGGGGGTTCTAGATAGAAGGAGCATTTTGACAGACAAAAAATATTATATACATTTTCTTTTTAAATTTTGGTATAATTACTGCTGTAAGTGGGTTGCTGTGTCAATTAAGACATGTTTTAGTCTTTATAGTCCAGTTAACGATTAATCAATTAATAAATTAGTTGACAAATACTTAAATAATCAGATAAATCCGATTGTTTCAGCCCTAAACATTTCCATTAAGCTTTAGTAAATAAAAAAGCTTTTCACATAGTCAGACTGACTAAATGCATAGAAGGAATATATTTCACTGCAAACTATTATACCTATGACAAGTATTACATGTACAGTTTATGTCACATTTTATCCATCAACAGCACAGTTATATATGGCGAAGACCTTTAAGGAGATATGATTGGCCAATAAGTGGTCTTGACAGAAGATAAGCTGTCGTCATGACAGATTACTTTAATATAGATGTTTATGCAATAAATTTAACAGATCTAACAAGTATTAAAAACAGGGAAATCAACTTTAACACCAAACAGAAGCTGTTTGTCATGTGGCTGAATTTTATCTTGATGAAATAAGAGTTGATTAAGTAGCAAACCAAACAGGGAAATATATCACATGTTTTGAAGGGGAACAAACTCTACCTGCAATAAGTTTGTATGATTTTAGAGTCTAATAAGTAAACAGGGATTCCTGAGACACTAACCAGGTTTCCTGCAACAGTGAGCCCTCATACATGCCACTGTTTAAAATTGTTGGCTCTGTTCAGGATCTTTCCAAAAGCGAAAGGTCCTCTAATTCCCATCTGTTCTGATATCATTACACTGGAGCAGAGGCATCGAAGAACTTAAGCTAGGAACAGCCGACTTAAAAAAAAAAAACAACCCAAAAAAATAGAAGAAACACTACACACCATATCGGACATGTGACTGTTATTTTGAATATCCTTTTTGTTTGGTCATGTTTATGTTTTTAGCTGATAACTGAGCATAAGAAGGTTAAATAATCATAATTGGTTAACAACAGAAGACTTTCACTGACCAAAGCCTTACCTTCACATAGTAGGTGATGAGAATTTTGCGCAGGTCAAATACTTGCAACATGGAGGCTGCGTTATTGTCGCTGATGCTATAGCCCTCTAGAACATATTTGGTGGCGGCCACCTCCCATGCCAGCCAGCGCTGCCCGAAGGCGGCGTTGAAGGACAACATATGCGGCAGATGACCTGGTTCACAGCAGCAGCAGCCCTCGTCCTCTTCCACCCCCTCTGTGATAGCCTCTACCTCCCTCTGCTGACAGTAGGTACCTACGCACATGTGAAATGCCTCAGTCAGCCTCAAAGGGAAGAAGACCTTTAGTTTTCTGTGTAAAAGAATATGCAGCTACATAAACTCACTGTTAGAAAATAAACCTCATACTTGATAAGAGAAAGTAGCAAAAATCTCTGCATAAAATGTAAAATTTTAATTTTGCAAACGGTATAAAAGTAATGCTTCATCCTTTTATCCTACAACAGTTTAATAAATAGCATAAAATGCTAACCATCTCATGCCAAGCAAACAATTATCAAATGCAGCTTTCAAAAGCTTCAATCATCAATCCTCCACATCATAAGACCCTGCTGACCTCTGAACTCCAGACCCCTGAGCTGAAAGGTGACGAGCCCGTTGCCGATCTCAATGATGTGCACCAGAGCGTTGAGGTAGTCCGATGCCAGGATGAAACAGTCGCCTGTGTTGTAGTTCCCCCAGCGTCCAAGCAGCAGGTCTCCGCACAGGCTGTGCTGCAGAGAGCGCGTCAGGTGCTCGTAGAAAATCGAGTTTAAGTTGTTGTCATCAGCACCTTTAGTAAAAGAGCAAATAATCACCAAAGGAACAAAAAACGTGTCTTGCAAAAGTAATCCTGCATAATAAACTTTATGACATCAAAAAAACCTTTGAAATCTTAAATAATATACAATGCAACCAACTGTAGTTTTATCATTGGTGAATGTTTACTTTTATAAAACAACTCAAGACTGCATATATCACATGATGTGTGAGGAAAGGGTCGTCTTCAAATATTTTCTGAATAGCATGTCCTGTATACAAAAATCACTGTGCTTTATTCCAATGCCTCTAAATAAACCCTAGTGCAGCCAAATTCCTTCTAAATAGTGTCCACTTGTGTTCAGCGGAATCTCAGTATTAATCCATGTGTTTTTTGAAGGCATCAGAAACCTATTAAAGAACTGTAGTGAACAAGGCAGACAGATGAGGAAGTTAAGCTTTGGTTTGCAAATGCTTTCAGGAATGCTGAATCATAAATCTATAATAATCAGATGGATTATTGTTTAATTCATTACTCAAAAAATGAGAGTACCAGAAAACTGCAAACCAAATAAAATGTGAGCATTCATATAAAATCACTAGTCTCAGAAGGGTCAAGAGGGCCATAGCAACTCTTGAGGAGCTGCTGAGCTCCATAGCTCAGGTGGGTGAATTTGATAACAGAGCATCTAGCATTGATGGAAAATGTGAAAAACACAAGAGACAAATCCAAAGAAATGTCATTTTATAGTGCAACAACACATGTTCAGTCCAGAGGTTTTGAGTCTAGGATGCTTTATAAAATATTCACTTCCACTTGACAATCATGCAGTGATCTGTCTATTAGCTACCACCCCATTACATTTTGAAGAATCATGTTACCAACGTGTTAATTGAAAAACAACCAAAGGGTAGGAGTCGTTTTGTAAGGCGCTGCAAAAACATGACCAAAAAATCACCAGCGGCGTACCTGGGTTGCGATCCAACTGAGTGGCAAGTCTGGTGTTTGAATGATCAACCCGCTTGGTGCTGCAAATTAGGTTTTAGTGTTAAATGTAAAAATTTTATACAGTATTTGGACTTAAAGAGCAGAACGCCCATGAATTACTGTCAAACACATACTTGTAGTCTCGTTCCCAGAACTTTACAGGTCTGGTGTAAGAGGTGACGAACACAGCGCTTCCTAGAACAGGGTTGAGGGGTGTGGAAAAAATGGCAGAGAAGATTGCCTGGACGAAAAGCACAGCAGAGTCTGAAAAATCATGTGTTAAGGATACTATATGGTGATTTAAATTGGAGCAATATTAAATAAATGGACAATGCAGCAAAAAATAAAGAATTTATGCCAACATCTTATCCATCAACATCTCTAACAGGTTGGACAAACGAAAGGATACGAGGAACAGCAAACGGTTGAGCAAAAGCATGAAAGGCGGATCCCCAGGTGATCTGCCATGGGGCTATGTAAGTCAAAACGAAGCGTAGCTTGTACAGCAGGTCCCACATCTGCAGAGTCCAAAAAAGATAATTCAATCACAAAGCAAACATACCATAACAAGAACAAGCTGGTTAGACTTCAACAGAGCTCTCACCTTGCTGAAGATGATCGACATGAAGTAGTAGTCGATTAGGAAGGTCTCTGAGAAGTGTGGATAGTCACAGTGAAAGAAGAGCGTGGTAAAGCAAAGGGTCACGTACTGCTGAGACGGGGTGCAGAAGGAAGAACGCAGCAGCTTCATTCCTGCGACTGAGATGAAGAGAGCACGGCTGCTGGAGGGGGGAAAGGAAATCAGTGTGGAATAAAGCTGATTTAACCTCCACTCGACATCCAGAGATGCATTCTGGTTCTGCACAGTGGATTTCAAATGAATATAGTGATGCAAGGTTGTAAATCTGCTAGAAACTGATGAGACTTACTAGATGTCCAGCTCTTTATGATTCTGACCAACTGTTCGGGCTTCAGTTGTTAGAGAGTTCAGCACCACAGCTGGATAGATGAAGTACTTCTCCACACACTGTAGCCATGCATACAGCTTCTCAAACCACATCAGCTGAGCAGCATCTGGAGAGGGCAGAGAGCGAAGCAATCTTACACAGACCGTAACAAATCCAGATTTAAAAGCATACCATTCAATCTAAAGCTGGAAAACTTGACTAAATATAACATGGAGGGAAATGCTGCTGATAATCAAATTCAATATATTTGATTTATAAAGAGCCAATTCACAACACACATCATCTCAGAGTACCTTACAGAGAAAATTCAACCAGATCATACAGTCAGACTGGTTTAGAGCTTTCAATCTAAGGAAAACCAGCTGATTGCATTGACTCATAGCTCGAAGGTAATCCCTCACATCAAGCATGCATGTAGCAACAGTGGAGAGGAAAACTCCCTTTTAACAGGAAGAAATCTCCAACAGAACCAGCCTCAGTGTGAGCGGCCATCTGTTGAGGCCGACTGGGGGCTCTGCAAAGGGGAGTGGCGGCCTAGTGATTAGGGCATAGACCTTTGAATCCCGGAATTCTGAGGTCGAGCCCCACTCCAATCGCCTGCCACACTGGGTCTCTGAGCAAAACCCTTTTACCCACACTGCTCCCCGGGTGCAGAAAAATGACAGCCCACTGCTCCCCAAGGGGATGGGTTAAATGCAGAGGTACATTTTTCCAATGTGAGATCCATAAAATGAAATTATTATTAATTATTATTTAGCAACCAGCCCCATGTTTAAAATAACAGCTGTATTTAGACAGAGTAAACGGGTCTCTGTTTATCAACTAGGAAACTTATGAAGGTAATTCTTACTGTTACACTCTATTAAAACAGCATCAGAGTAAATGGGACTAAACACTTTATGTAGATTAATTTTAGATTCTGATTTAATAAAAAAAAGATTTATAGTTTAATTCTACTTCGAAAGATATATATTATTTTGTTTTAGAATGTCAAATAAACTCTCCATAAAATAAAATGTGTGGTTGTAACAAGATAATAGAGAAGTGAATATGTACATGAAGCAATCGGGGAAAATGAACAACAAAGAATGAAGAGGAACAGTAAACTGAGCTTAAGTCCATCTAAAACAAGCTAAATGTGATCTCCATGTTTCAGCTCTTCAGAGGTTGTATTTCATTATATTATGATGTACTTCAGGGGTCAAAATTGATTCTTGGATCCTCACCTCGGACCTCAAACTGGCTGTACTCTCTGGATCGAAGCACAGGGTGTGCCAGACAGAACCATGGCAGCTGTTTGCGGAGCTGAGGCAGGAGATAGTGAGTGATGAACCCTATGACTCCAGCCAGGATGTATAAGACAAAACTGAGAGCCGGCTAAAGTTCAAGCAGGAGAAAAAAAAAAAAGATTCGTATTCAAAATCTGAACACCTGCCACCAAATTCATATGAGAAATGTATTGGAAGAGTGAGATCATGCCTGAAGAGCAATGAAAACGGTGCTGGCACTGATGGCGAAGGTAATCACAGCCATGAGGGGACACATGACGAGGTCTGAATGAAGCGTCTCGCTCTACAAAGAGACAGAAATGATTTAACCACAGAGTATAAAAAAATCATAAAATCTGCCACTAGAATAAGCCAGGCGTATGAGCTGTAGTTTTTACCACAGAGTTACGTAGCTTCTCAGGGAGAGGATCTTTGATTTCCACAGGGGGTTCCTCTGGGGTTCTGTTCTCCAATTCGGGGAATAATTTGGAACGGACCAATGACCTAATGGAAAAACAAACCAATAAACAACAAAATAAATAATATGGATCATATGTCTTTACTGGCTGCTGAGCAGCTAAAACAGATTGTTGTGTTTATCATCTAAAGACATTGTTTGTTTTTTTACATGGATTTACAAACTATTTTTTCAGAATAATAGCAAAGCTGTATGAGTTCTTAATCAGTAAGATAAACATTAGGACAAAGATGTCTGAATGTCAAAATGTTACTTAAAGGAACGAACAGAAAACATTAAGGTGCCTATATCCACTGTTGTACATAACATACTCAAAAGAACTCAACATGAGATTTATGTGCCCTTAAAAAGGGAATGCAGACGTGTCGAAGTACGTCTGAGCTTCAGCCAGGCTGCCAAAGAGTAAGAAAGAGCTAAACTTAGTGCTCAAGTTTCCTCAGCCACTATTCTCAGTTTTATTACTTCAAGTTTTTCTTTTTTTACTTCTATTAGCGTGGATTAAAAAATTCTGGGTACCTTTACAGAAAGGTTAGCATTACAGTAAACTGCTACAATCATCAGCTGTGATGTTGTCTGTGTTAACTATAGAAATTCAAGATAATATGAGATGTTAACTTTAATTATTTGTCCTTTTACAACAATGTAAAACATCATTTTTAAGAGATTTTTAAATAGCAAACCCTGTACTAATGCATTGATATTATAGCTGATAAACAGAAATCATAAGAATCAGAGAAAAGAAAAAGGTCAACAATTTGACTTTCAATTTTCATTTATCTAAAGAGCCTACCAGTGGGATAAATATCATATAAGTAGTGGGGTGAAGAAAGAACTGATCAAATTGAACCATTACAGCAGTTAAAACTATTAGTAACTGAACCATAAAGGAATTAGCTTTTTATTTACAAACAAACACTTACCACAGGATGGTTGGGTCACTGCTTTGGCGGCTGAGATGGTAGGACAAGGCCAAAAGTAGACCACAGAACACAGAGAACAGAACTGGCACATGGGCATCCCCCCAGGGGGCCTGTTTCCCATTAAACACACAATTACTTCAATTTAAACAAAAATTTAATTGTTAATTCATGCTTATAAATGAAAATTTTTGAGGAACCTACATTAATGGCGCCGAGGCAAAATCCATACAGCAGAGCTGCCACCACTATGCTGCGTATGAGGCTGAACAGAGATGATAGGGGGCTGGTAGTGGCTGGCAAAGAAGACAAAGTTCAAATAAAACAAAAAAACACCTTTAAAACAGAGACATGACTGTTCTGTCATAACAAAATCTAGCTGTTTTGAAGCAGAAAAAGACAGGACCAAACACTGCTGTTCCGTTGTAGAGTTTGGGGGAAAAAATCTTACAAATTTTGAAAGTTGGGACTTTTTCAAACAAAAACATTAAATATCGTCTGAAAAATTTCCATAGTTTGCAAAAAATAAATAATAAAAGAAGCTTAAGTGCTAGCTTACCAGTTCCACCGAAAATGTGCATGTCTATCTGCTCCAGCAGACACATCACAAAGGTATTAACCTGAGGTAGCAACCCAAACAGGAAAATGACCGGAAAACACAAGGCAAAAACTGTAGAAGAAAAAAAACAATTATTTCAAAGAACATCTATTTTGCATCGATGGATTTGGCACATAGGTAAGTGTTTTTTTTATATATTTTTTTTATTGTAACTCTCCAGAAAAATCACAAAACACATCACCAAGACACTGAACACAAAAATGATTTTAAACAGTGATTAATGAGAACTGACCGATAAGCATATCCCTGACACACAGCAGGAAGTGCGCAGAGAAGACGGTGACACCATAGAGAGAAAATGGCTGCAGGTTTCCAGCTCGTCCCGACAGGTCGAATATCCAGATCATTGCACAACACAAGCAGAAGTAAACTGGCCGACTGTACACAATGATCCAGTTATGGCCCTGAGAAATAAGACAATAAAAAACAGTTATTTCAGTCGTACTAATGAGGTCTGCCAAGTTTGTGCTTAAATGCAACCACATTAAATACCTATGCAAAGGTCTGACATTCCCTTCAGTTTAGTTTATCACCCATATCTGATCCAATCTAAAGTTGCTTTCTATGTATTGTTGTAGATTGTGTTGTGCCTCTCAGCACAAAAAAATTAGAGAAAATAAAGTTTGTCCAAGTCCAAATAAGAACATGGACTGTCCAAGAACGTTGAACTATAGGCTGTTTTCAGTCTGTAGGCATGTGTCCTTTTAAGGATTTTCCCAAAGTAGGAGAATCCTGAGACACCCATTAAATTCAGTCTCCTAAAAGACAGACCCTCTTCATCCCATGGCAGATTGCACAGAGGAGACACCACTGAATGTCAGACCTGCTAGCCAGGGATGACGACCTTCAAATTTGGATCATAAGTTAGTACAGTCTGTTGCCGTCTGCAATTGTTGCAAGTGAAGGAGTAACAAACCTTCGGCATCTCTCTTCTGTGAGTTTTGCAGCAAAGACCGAGGCAGAGACTCAGCAGAGATTATGGGTAAAATTATTACGATGATCACAGAACTAAGGGCCAGCATGGAAGAATAGAGCAGGCCGTCCTCTAAACCACTAAACTGCTGATAGGAACCCGTAGACTGGCTAATCCTCTCCTTAAAATTTCAAATTTCCATTCAAACAGAGGTAAATAGAGGTGCCAGTTCTGTAGAAACAGGGAAAATAATAAAAAGTTCAAACAATTCAGGTACTGTTCATTCAATTTGTGTTTGATAAGATTTGAATGTCTTCTAAAGCCAAACTAAAAGATAAGCTAACAGGTTAGCTTGAGCTAGAGTATGCAAGCATTCTTCAACCAGATGCTTACATGTTTTGAGCTCCATTTATAAAGTCTTTTAAGGTAGGTTCCCAGTTGGTTCTTTGATTACGTTAGCATTCTATACACATGAATTGTACTTTTATGGGATTGTTTGGTTCTTTTGTGAAGCTTTAAAGCAAAATAAACTACAAGATTATTAGTGACTGATGATCGGAGTAGCTTGAACACCACCTTCCTATAAACTGCAAAAAACTCCAGCCTCTATTGCACTTTTTCACTTCTCAATAAAATAACTGTATGAACAGTATTATATAGACTACTAGCACTTCAGAATTGGAGTGTTCGTTAAAACGTGGTTTACTTGGTACCAGTAACTGGATCATGCCTGATCAAAACTTTTGACATTTTTTGCATCCTTTGCCATAAACACATTCTATTATTTTTCAACTTGAAGTTAAAGATAGAAGGCAGCTGTAATGTCAACCTGTCAGGTCTTAGCATTATGGTATACCAGAAAAGACCTCGTGAAATCATATCAACCGGCAAAAGGGAAGCATCCTCCTCCGCATCTAAAGATTAACACAAAGCAATACTCACATGCATTGGAGAGGCTGCATCCGGCTGTACGCTCTGAAGCAGAGAGGAGGAATTTTTCACATTAGTTAATCAAGTGATAAAAATAAACTACATAGAATATCCAGATTTTAAAACCTGAGATTAAAAAAACATGTTCATGTTCAAAAAAAAAAAATGTATATCCATATATGAGGAGAGAGGGGGATGCATGATTAATGTACGTTTAAGACGTGGCTTATAAAATCTATTGGGAACCTACCTTCAGTAAAGAGTACTGGCAGCTAGCAATGACCAAGCAGAACTGGAAGACCCAGATGTCCCTGAAAAAGCCCTGAAGCAGAAGAAGAAATCCCAGGAAGGCCACCAGGCTAGCCAACATCACAGAAAACACGTTCTCTCCCACACGGCGATTCCTGCATGCAAAGTCCAGATAAATTATTCTTAACTCAGTCAGGCTGCAAATGCTTTCTCTTAATGCCTTTTGAATTATGAAAGCTTTTTGAGATGGATAAAGTGGCATATAGCAGCTGTTACAATTCCTGGATATCAGATTTCTATTTAAAAAAGAAACATTTAAGTGAAAACAATAAAAAAAGGATTAAACCATCAGTCACATACAGCTGTTAAAGTAACCCAGCTAAGAAACAACTCTGTACTCACCGAATTCATTATTAGTGTTAATAGACAATAATAATAAAATATGTAGCTCCTTATATTATAGTTTTAGGAATGGAGTAAAATTATGAACACTTAAGAATTAAAGACTGGAAACTAAATACACAACTAATAAAAATATTAGATTTGTCCAATTAATAAACAAAAACTGCAACACCAATTCCCATCTTTTCATTATCCAACACTTTGTCCTACCTGTCCAACAGAGCTAGAAGAGCCAGTCGATCGTAACGAACTCTAAGCCACTTGCCAGGTAGGACCCAAAACCGATAGTACTGTTTAGGCTTGGCTTTCTCCTCAATCATCAGAGTGTTTTCATGAGATTCTTGGAGGGATTCGTGATCAAGATCAAACTAGAAAACAATTAAAATCTGGTTAATAACAACAACAGCAAAAAAACTCCAGAATTTCCCCATTGTGGGACAATGAAGAGATTTTCTATTTAACATCAAAATCTACCTAGAATAATTTGTTAATTACGCCATTGAAGAATGCTAACCTCAGGCATTTCCAGGGGCACCCGGCGAACCTGCATGCCCTGGAGAACCACGGGTCTGGGCTGGAGGATGGACAGGACTGGTGCTCCATCCTGAACTTCAGTGGAGGTGAAGCTTGATGACTGGGACTGCCTCTCTCTTTCTCTGCAACATTCAAATTTTCACAATTTACTGCAAAGCATTTTTTCAGGAATGGATTGAATCTGTGGTACAGAGCATAAATAATGCAGTCTATAAAGTATTTTCACTTACTGCACTGGATCCTCATAGCCACCACCAGCAGGTCCAAAAGTGTAGGATCTCTTCACTCCTGTGACACAACAACCAACATAAATGACGTCAGTGAGGAAGATGTATTATTCAATTGAATATTAATTTGTTGCTGCCCATGTGTGTACCTTTGTTGTTTTTATAAAGATGCACAGTATAGTTCTGCTTTTCTTTCCAAATCTGAAATTTAATGCCAGTTACATCTAACAGATACGGCACACCAGATGCATTTCAACATCATGTGTATCAGGCTCAACATCGGAGGAAATCAACCTCTACAATGTTTGCAGTGTGTTTTTTTCTTAGTACTCAGATTGATTTTTACCAGGAATGTCATAATCTGATCTGATTAATCTGATTAAATATCAGACTATGCATTTACAAGTTTTTAATTCTATTAATTATTGGACCAGGACTGTATCCAAAGACTTCACACAGGCAGGAGAGCTGGAATCAAATATTAATCCAGATTGCCAGACAAATACTCCTCCCTACTTGGCCACAATGCAACCCCTGAATGATTCCTTTAAAGCCACTGACTCACCACTTTCATCATAGAAATAGTGCACTGCTCCCTCTGATGTGTCGTCAAAGGTGGAGGCCTCATGGATGCCGCTGCGGGGGAGTAGGAGTGAAGACGCAAACTGTAAGGCTGATGGAAGCGTGCGGGTGCGTGAATGAGAGGAGGTTCGAACTCGCTGAAGGTCTTGGAGGCTGGAAGAAGCCAAAAGAAAATAAATGAACCATGCCTGCTGTTCTTATAGTAAACTGAATTTTCCAAAGGTTACTTTTTTTTGCCCCCACTGATTTCAACACCATTTTACCATTGCCAGATTTATTTGCTGATCTTAGAACTTAGACTCTCAGAAAAAGTTTTACTCATGTCTACTGAAGTGACTTACCTGGGTGGTGATCCCATTGTTGAAGGTGGTGGGGTAGGGTTGCTCCCAGCGTTATGCCTCCGCCGTATTGCCTGGGTCCTCTTCACACTCGTTATGGATTCGTGTTTGTTCCCATCCTCGGGGCCCAGAGCTGGACAATGGTATCAGTTACTTCAGATCAGTTGTTTTGACTATAACAATAATGCTAATCTAACAGCAGCTAAAGCCAACATCAAAAGTGGATAGCAATCTAATAGTCTGGTAATGATTCATCTAATGAAGCCACATCCACTTATGTAGGCAGAGTATAAAATTGGACAATGATGCCTTAAAATGAAACACACTAGTTCCAAACTAAAAGTAATCTTTTTTCCTGTATTTTCTGTGAACACACATTTCGTTGCCTACAGTCACAACAGACTCATAACTCTGGCATGACAGAAAGCTGGCACTTTGGTGTGGGCCCAAAATATATTATTCAGCTTTGAACATGAAAAATAGATTACGCTCCCAGCTTAAAGTAGGCTCAACCAGGCTCCCTGCTTTTATATCCAACCATCTTTATCATAAAGCATTAGCTTCATCTCAGAAGTGAGGGTGTAAATTCTTTTGATCTTACCGTTTTACATACTGAAAGCAAACTTTTATCAATAATAAATCTCACATTGAAAAGATGAGCTAATAATGCCCTGGTAATGCTCTCTTTAGCACTTCACATCTCAGCTAGAGATTTTAACTTGATGTTGGGGATATAATTTTTGTTCTTTTATCTTTCAAACTAAAATTTCACCAATAAATTACCTAAATACAAAACTAAATGCTGTTAAAACTTTACACATAAGCTTAATACAAGCCAGAAAAGAAATCTATAATAGGTTTTAAAAACACCTTCAATCTATCACTTTTAAATTATGAGGAGCAGCAAAGATGCTTGAAATTCAACAAGAAAGTGGTCAATCAAAGGGGTGTAAACTGAATTAAATATTCTGTAACATGGTGTCAATGTGGGTTTCAAAAGCGTGTATCAGACGCTAATGCCTTGAGAAAATGGGGATTGTTAACTACGGAAAAAAAAAAAAATTACCATAAAGACCGAACTATATGAGGAGGAAAATAAGTAACCATTACACTATTGCTTAATGATTAATTAAGCCAGTGTTCTAAAGACTTTTGTTACTATTATATAACCCCATCACACCAAAAACAGTAGCATAACTTTCTCTAAAGATAAACATCTGGTGTTGCTAACTGCTGCTAATGGTCAACAATGTTTAAACTGCTGTAAATCAATGCTATCAGAACTGAATTAAGAAATTGAATTTTAAACAAGGAGAGAAAGCCAAGTTTTCAATAAATAAATGAGTTAAAAAAGGGACCTAGTTGCATACTATACCCTGAAAAATGTCTCTCTCTGAATGCACAAGCAGTCTTTATTTGTAACTAAGGCACTGTGTATGTTTACCATTATGAGATTAGTTTTCTTATTTATGTTTCAATAAAAATAGTGTACCTCCAATCAGCAGGAGATACAATAGGTTTGCACAAAATAAGTCAAAAAGGAAGAGCCATACACATGTCTATAGGAGACGCAACAAATCTCAGCAGGTTGGCAAGGAGAAAAGTTCAAGATCAAGTGTGAAAAAGGCACAAAAATACTTGATGCCAAGAGTGCACAAGACATAAGTAGTGCTTGGAATACAACATGAAAGTTGTTATCTACTGTAACGGGAGCTAAAGCTGAAGGCACTTAAAATCTTTTACTTATAGAAAATGGGGTCTGCTGATTAATCATATTTCAATCTCAATTATGATCTAGAATTTTAACGATCATAAAGATAAAATTATCGATTATCTTATGCCTCCACAGTTCACTCTGTTTTCTGGTGCAAATCAAGCAACCCTCATATCTCTCTGCTGCAGACTCGTTAATCAAGCGGATATTTTTCTTATCACTTCATTTGTCTCCCACTAGAGAAATTTGTCTCTTTTCTAATGTGTTTGACCACCAAAAGATAATATTGTTTAAAGTTTTCAATAATCAATATCTCAATTTCATTGAATATATGAAAATAATTGTAACTAATCATTTTTCCATAACAGAGAAATAGAAAATAGATAATTTGGTGCGTTTAAACTTCATCTGGGTTTTCTGCTTCTACTAAATAAATAACAATCGAAGGGCAGTAAGAACAGCCTTCTAACCAGAAAAGCTTGTTTCTCTACTTCGCTCATCAGGAATGCAACACCTGCTTGCTGCTAAAGTCAGCAGAACCGTCATGGTTTAAACATCTTTCTTTAGGTGCGAAAGTGGAACATGAAATCTTTCCCTTTAAGTTACTGCTGCTGAAAATAAAAATCCTTCCGGTTGCAGTTTAAGCCCTTTGTCTGGCATTAGAGCCATTTTCACTGTTTAATCTCAAACACAGCCAACTTGCCCTCATGTTACAGGAACTATTGTCCTTTATGGTAACTCATTAAAGTTTAAAGCCTGAAGCTGAGACACAATTAAAGATTTTAGCACCACTCCAGGGATGTGATGTCAACATGTTGATTTACAGCTTTGATTAGCAAAAAACGTTGGCTCTTAATAAGTTCCCCCTTTCCACTCCCTTCCAGCAGAGGAATTGCATTTCCCTCAAACAAAGACCCTTTCACAGTTAAAACCAACTTGACATAATATGACATCGTAATAATAATCAAGGTAATACATATAGTGCTCTTAAATATATTTTTTCCTCCAAGAATTCAAAAGCATTCACACCTCCTGACCTTTTCCAAGTATGTCTCATTACATCTTTACAATAAAACTAATAAACTAGCAGTTCATGTGCTAGACTAAACCAAAATTTAGCCACACTTACCGCAACGAATTTAGGGGGTGGAACACTATTATATTCCAAAAGAAAAATTCTATTTACTCATAGCCAGCCTGATTGTGTCCCTGAATAATCCTTCTCTGGCAATAGAAAGCATTGGCTTTAATGTTGTTTCCCCCCCTTGTTGCTGCTTGTAAATAACTTTGCTCACCTGATGCGAAAAAAAAAAGAAGCTAAATGTTGTCTGTGTTCCCCCTGGTTCCACTGGCTGCGGAAGAGCAGCGTATCCGCCACGGCTTTTCGCAGACAGAGCGTTTTCAAAATGGAGTGACTGCGCAGTTTGATCACATCAGGATCGCATTAACGCATTATTATAGCATACTTGTAGGCTTTAGATAGAACTATAAGCAAGCAAGATATTTTCCTAATCAGTTCTACCAAAGTCTTGCGTGCATACTCCTCATTTGCCGTTTTTTCTTCAATCATGGGTAAACGAGTTCAAATTTATATTTGTTTTTTTTCGGTTATTTTTTTGAATTGATGTTTTCACTTATCACGGTTGTTGATTACGGTATATACATTTCTTATCTTTCTAAAGGTCAATGAAGTGTGATTCAAATTCTTTTACTTTTAAACCTGCCTAGATCAGTTTGACTTTTCATCAACTGACAATCCATTCTGCTCTAGATTGATGTGGATTTTAGATGGCAAAATCAGAACAGCCACATTTTAAGTGGCCAGCAGAACCACTGATTGACTAAAACTGCTGCAATCAGTCATGACAGCGTGGCTTTGACAGTAAACTCTATCCAGAACTACTCAGTGGGCAGTTTTAGCTTCAACTGTTGGCAATCTGTCAATCTCTTACAAAACACCATTTGTTTTATAGTAATTAGTTGAGAAAAATAATCATCAATCACTAAATTTCAGATCAACTAACCTCCACCCACAGCTCCTTCTTCAACCAGCTCTCCTGCCCTCCAACCCATCTGGTTGCCAGTCCAAGAACCTCCAAGAGAATCCAGCCGATGATGATGGCCTCCAGGAAAGCCGTCGGCGTGTACAGTCCTCGCTTCCAGATCAGACTTGGACATTGCAAGAGTGCGAGGAGCTGGGGTTGATGTTGAGGGCATCGTAAGAAGTGTAGTAGGAGTTGTTGCCGCGTTGCTCTGGCCGCCACCAGCCCCGTCCATACTAAGTACTCTTGCATGAGTCTTGGCACTCGCTGTGCTAGAGGAGCGCTGAGCAGCACGAGGGTGAGATGGGGCGGAGGGTTCGGGTAAATCCCCTTCTCTTTGTGGGGGAAGTTGAGCAGCATTGGAGAGAAGGGATGTAATGTCTGTGTTGGCAAGGTCGGAGGAGTAGCAAGAGGTAGAGGAACTTGAGTCATCGTCATTGTCGTTGTCCTCGTCTGAGCTGTATCTGCGCTGGGACCCAAGGCTGGACCCTGCGCTCATGTCACTGCCGTCATCCTCATCAGTTGAGTCTTCAAATAAACTTTCGCTGTACGCCTTAGCCCCCAACCGGCTGCGCACTGGGATGTAATCTCTGTGTTGCCTGTGATTGTGGTGTCGCCTGTAAGAACCACAGTCGAAACTACTGCTGCCTGCTCCTGTGCGCCTTCTAGGAGCTTTCCTTCTGCCCGGTCTGTGGCCCATGCTTCCGCCGCTGGCCCGCAGCAGCTTTAAGTCTTTAGGACGAACAACCTGCTGGGCTTGGAGCACAGGGGGGTCAGACAGTAACAGAGGGGTAGAGGAAATGGGCAAAGCAGGCTCAGAACACACCAGACCCAGGGCCAGCCCTGAAGGCACCGAATTGGCCTGCCGTGGCGGCGGGAGAGGAGGACCATAGCTTTTTTTGTCCAGGTCACAAACCTCTGAGTGGCCACTACTTGAAGGGGAAGAGTTCTGGAGAGGAGGGGGCTGTGCAATATCAGAGGGTGCAGGGGGTAAATCCTCTTCAACAAGTGTCCGGTCCAGCCCTTGGCTGATGGATAACTCTTTAGAAGGGGAACGAAGTAGCACGCTGTCTGACAGATTGTCAGTGTCACTGCCACCCTGTCCAGTTGTGTCTTCTGTGTTGTTCAGAACATTAGAATCTACCACTGGTGCTAAGGCGGGCGTCTGTCCATCTGTTGGCCGTGACTGGCTCAATGAAGGACTTTCTAACTGAGTGGAGTCTGTTTTCTCAGAGCGGTAACTGCTCACAGTGCTTAGTGTCTCACGGTCTGTGGTAGCTCCGCCTGCGCTGAAGCAGCTGTCTGTGGACCCAGCAGCTAACGCCACCCCACTGCGGCTGCCTGGGAGCTCAGTTCCAGGAGCAAAAGCTCCAGGGTCCAGACCCAGACCCATTAGGTTTTCACTCAGCTCCTCACTTAAACTGCTCTTAATAAGAGGACTAAGGGGTGTATCCCCTAAGCTCCCAGATTCAGCAGAGGGGCCAAGTAAAGAGAAGGTCCCCAACCCATTGTCCTTGGTGTTTTGATTAGTTGACTTTTTTGGCAAGTCCTCCAGCTGCTCCTTCTCCCCTCCATCTTCTTGACTTAAAGGTGAAGGGGGGATGGACAGGCACCCTCCAGGGTCTTCAAGTCCCGCCGTCACCCCAGTCAGAACAGGGAAGTCCAAAGAGGTGGAAATGCAGGATTGAACTGCACTGGGCACCCCTGAACAAGAAAAGACACGAATCAGACTGAAATACACACACACACCACCTGGGATTCCACTAACCTTTCAAATAAAAACCTATTTTAAAAATTCTTCTTTATCCTTTATGACTTTCAAATGCAAATTACATCAGTTCTTTATGAATTTATTGAAAAAATGCCTGTGATGCTCAGGATTTAAATATAGACCATGAAAAACAAGTAAGGAAGTTAATAAAGAAAGGAAACATCACCCAAGGTCAGAGGAAAGATACAAGACCAACACAGAAAGACACAAAAGGAAGAAAGGAGAAGTAAAATAGAAAAAGGATCAAAGGCAGGACTGACAAATGGAAAAAAGAGAAAAGGACTAAAGGAAAAAAGGTCAGAAAGTAGAAATCGAAGTTGCAAAAAGCAAAATCCAAAGCAGACTAGAATGAACTATTGAAATGTAGAAAAGATTAAAAAGAAAACTAGGAGGGAAGGACACAAGGAAAGAAGAACAAAAAGAATGATGAAAAAGAGGAAGGAAGTTTATACAGAACCAAGGATTTAGAGGACATGCCATTGATACTAAGTGATATTGAATAAAGTCTGGTACTGAAATGGATCCAGACCTAGAAACTATATTAATAAAACAGCCCCTGCTTTCCCAGTGTTTTACCAGACTGTGCTAAAACCCTGGAATACAAGTTGGGCTTAACAGGACACAGCAGAGTTTCATGAAGTACTTTTATTTCTTCAAAGGATTTGTGCGAGTCTGTAGAGATGTTTTAAGGCAGAGTTATTTTTACACATGCAAGGATTAGGAACTGCTCAGCCGACAACAGTTTTTTTCTGAATCCCAGAAAAATAGCAAACTTACTTTGTGTGTCCTGAGAGCTCTGACGTATAATCGCTCGATGGGCTGAAGTCACGATTACATTGTTGCTTCCTTGTCCCTGTGTTAATTCTTTGACATCTGAAGCATAAAAAAAAAGACATCAGAAAGGTTTGTGGAATCTGACATAACATGGCATAAAGTAAATAAAAAAGAAACGCACAAGGATTTAGATTCATTTAAATGCTTACCCTTAGAGCCTCCTGCATCTTCCAGCTGGGGCAAAAACTCCTGATAAATCAAGTCAAAAATACAGAATATTAAGAATATTGATTTACAGCAATACTAAGTAACTATGCAATAACAACAAGGTAAAAAAATAATCATTTTTGAAAACTAATGATAAGAGAACTGCTTTTCTACCACTGCAAAAAAAACATGAAACCCGTCAATCCTCACCGACACTTGGTTCAATCCAAACAGAGAATGCTGGGAGCTGCAACGGACTGGAGGAGTCGAGTTCACCTTCCGAAACACAGTCATCTCCACACCAACATGACTATCTCTGAAAAAGGAAAAAAGTAATGGTAAAAAAACATGAAAAATTTGTTTCCCCAAAATTCTACTCATTTATATCTTCAAACCTATGCTGATTCCCATCATGAACTCCTGACCCATCATCTAGTTCGTCTGTCCTCGGGGCGTCAGCTGTGAGAGAGGCCTGCTTCTTCTCGACAATCTCACCGAGGTCAAACATGGCGTGAAGTCGGTAGTTTACCACCTTAATGGCAGTAAAAAAGATTGCTACCACAGCAGAGTACACGCCTGCCACCACCAAGCTAGGGGGAAGAGCCTGAGGGGAAGTGGAAAAGAACAGCAGAGGATTAGAAAAATCAGGACCCCCACTCTTTGTTATGGTGGACAGAGAGCAGTGGCCCTGTAATTGACAGTTTATGGTCAACTTTAGACTTGGTAGTTATTGCTGAACATCATAGGCAGTTTAATTTAATCTGATGGTGATATGGTAGTTCGAGACAAAAGGTCAAAATTGGAAGCAACTGGGTGTTGCAAATGATAATAAAGCATAATACAGCAAAACTGGCTTTGAATTGGATAAAGAAAAACAGGGCCCTACCTCTAGTTTATTGGTCCATCAAACAATTTATGAGCCGTTATTAAAAGTTTAACTTGGCTCTACAATCTACCTTCTATCTACCTAGAACTAATCCAGCATTTTGTTTATGTTGGTGTGTATCTTGTTTAGGAATATCTATCCACACTCAACTGATGGTGTTAACAGAGTTGTCTCAGATACTGCCGAAAATGCTGCCATCGGTATCGGCAAGTATTGGAGTCCAGACACCCATCCAATACCATGTAATTTAAAATAGGAATTAAAACAGAGATTTGCTGGTTAGTTCTAGTTAGGAGACTTCAAATAGCAGAAAAGCTCATCCTCTTGAAAAAGAATTTGCCTTTGTTCTCTTAAATGATGAGCAATACTAAAATTGGCCAAATACTACTGTAATGTGTTGTCTACTTGTGTTAAAGTATCAAAGTACTTTGTAGCTGCTGCTCTTTTTTATTTTTTATTTTATTTTATAACTTTATTTTTATTTTGATCGTTATTAACAAACAATACATAGAAACTATAATAGACAAAAAGTACAGAACAATCGAAGCAAAAAACAAACAACAGGGGGAGACTCGTATTTTAGTAACTCAAAACACATGGGGACCATCCATTTCCAAAATTAGTCCGGTATCGTTGATGTGAAGTTTGTCCATTTTTCCCATTTGTCTAAGCATTGCTGCTAGCTGCTGCTCTTTTGATTGGTATTTTTTGAATGTTTAAACTGTTGTTGCACTCTAAGTTTTGTTTTTTAAATTTATATGAGTAGCTGTTAGACTTTTTTTTTTTTATATATATATTGTTCTGCTGAAATACTGTTTTATTCTACATTATAATGGCTGCACCATAAATCCTTAAAAAATAACTCTTCCCAGATACTGAACAAATACAGAACATCTATAGTTGTAAATATATATATTTATGTGTGAAAGGTTTTTAACCAGATGAGTAGAAAGAAGCTAAGAAAAATTTAAATTTTATATCCATTATATAATTAATCTTTTAAGTTATGTTGTGGAGCTACTCCTAAGAAAAAGAAAAGAACAATTCAAATGTACTAAAAATCCCAAACTACTATTACACCTAAACCATGTTTAGCAAATGTAGAGGCCTGATAATTATTGTGTTGAATGTATAAGATGTTGCCACATCAAATGAAGAAATATCCCGTTAAGTAGACAATATTTGAAAAGAAATGATTGCAAAAACATGGCTGCCAATGTAACTGTTTTCTTACCATGTACAGAAGAAAGGGGAAGGCCAGGAGAAAAATCCATAGGTATAGGTGGAAGCAGTTTGAGAACGTGCTCTGATGGGGGTCCACATACCAGCCTCCTGTGAGCGAAGCCCACACCCCCTGCCTCAATATCTGGAGAGCCTGAGAGCCCATCTTCACCGTTTAGGGTTAGACTACAGCTGGAATCCTTCCTCCAAGGCTGAAGATCCCAAAACCGTGAAGTTGATTGAGCCACGGCCTATGATGGCACTTCCAATGTGGATAGCATGGTGACCAAGACTGGTGTGTCAAGGACAACAGTTCTGTGGCGTGGATATTTATAGATCTCAGTGGAGGTTGTAAGTCCTTGCATATTCTTGTACCGGTACCTTTTTTGTAGCAAAGCTGCTATTCTCTACCCTAAGCCAAGCTGGGTTATTAGTAGCGTCACTTTTTGGCACTTTGGCATTCCACTGAACCCGTGAAATAGCATTCATCTGCAAGACAAATCAGAGAGAGTTAATTGACATTCTATGTGAATCTATAGTCTTTGTAGTACTGTTTATGTTTTTACCAATAATGCATTTTGTTTGGTTTAAAGATGTAAGTATATATTTATTATTCAAACAGTAACTAAGCCTAACAAGATAAAACACTTAAAGCAGCCAGAGACATGAGGACCATAATATTTGCGAGTAGGTGCCTAGAAGGTACAGTTTCTCTGTAAAGTGTGTAACCACCTATGTTTTATATACATGTCAATCTATATCTTAATTTGAGAACACTAAATATATGACATTGCTTTATTGATTATTATGATTTTTTTATACAATGGTGTATGTGTACAATAAGTAAAACTAAATCTGCAGTCCCCTAAAAATAGCTCAACAGGAAGACATTCATGTCCAAACAGCTGACACGACAATACTACACCCCTAAATGAAAGTGTCAAAAAATGTGCCCAAATGAAGGCTATTTTGTGTTTTATAACACTATGTTAAATCTCATAGGCTTGGAGTTCACTAGAATTTCACCGGTTGCCACTGGTATCATATTTCAAGCCTCAATGAGGATTTTATAGCTGGAGGAGGATAACAACTACTGTTTCTAAACCTTGTCTTTTAGTGGTCAATGGTCAATAGAGTTTAGGTTTCTTTTGCGTTTTCGGCGCACACGTCAAATGCTTAAAAGATCCTGACGCACTGCGCCTGCTGCTTAAAACTCACTGCGGGACATTGACTTTGCATGTTAACTCGGTGCTCCTGCTACGTTTGGTGTGAACGCAGCATAACCCTTAGAGGGATATAAAGAAAATTTTAAAGAGTTCCTTTTATCACTTGAAACACGTTTCCAGTATTAAAAGGACAAATACCCCAGCAGGATCTTGGAAAAACCCAGGCATGAATCAATATTTTTAAAAAATAATTACTGCAACAGAGTCTACCTAAAGAGATGATCAGACAACTGCATTTGGTCAGGAAACCTACTGCCAGTGTCCTCCTCATACTATAAAAGTAGAGCACATAATCCCATCTTCTTATAGTGAACCGATGTATTTTAGAGAACAGACTTTAAAAGTGAAAAGGCTCACAAATCTACTTTTATACTCCCTTAAACGCCTTCAGTTCTAAGTGTCCAAGGTGCATACAGACTCTTCAGGAGTCAACTTAGCCAACTCCTTTTAATTTAATTTTTTTTCCCTTTTTCATATTCAGTTGCAAACAAACAGAAAAGAACTCTGACCATTGGGTGGTTTAGCTTGAAAGACCAGTTGTTGGGAATCCTTCCTGAAGCCCCTATGGCCACTCCACCCCTGCTTTCAAAGGTTGTGCCCTCTGTCTACTGGCAGGAGTGTATATATGGTCACCTGTTTGCAACTGTGCATGACTCAGTGTGAGTTTATGTTGGTGAAAGGGCGGGTGGGCAGTCTATTGGCAACACCTCATTGAAGCTAGTTACACAGACTTAAAAAACTGTTAAGGGCTGGTTATACTACCGCAGCAGAGTGTTGCAGTGAACTTGTTGCAGATATTTTTGTTTTATGCCCAATATTGAGGTCTGTGCTATGTTATTCCATGCCACAACACCAGAGGAACAATTGCAAACTTGTTGTGGTTCTAGATACGGCCGAGGCGGTGAGGAAGTGGGGGCAAGAACAGAGGGACAAGAAAAAGAGTGGGGATCCAGGTGGAAAAAATGGTCCCAGTGCACCTCGCTCTTATACCTGCTCCAACCTCATGAGTCGTTCTCCGCAATATTGGTCATACAAACAAGCTGGTAAGGTACCAAACAGCAAATACGCATAGTGTAGAACGGATGTAGATTTGACCAATTAGATGTCTCCTGTCTGCGGTCACCTATAATTTTGGAGAGGTGCACCAGAGTGTCTGCGGCAGGGTCGGAGGCACATTTGCATTCACTTCGACACACAGCAGACGACCTGGTTTCTGAGTAGAAATCAGGCTAACTGTCAAAATAAAATGTTTTCATAGCGTTGACTCAAGGTCCTCCAATAAAAGGTTTCTCACGCGTGCAAAAAAAAAAAAAACACAAACAAACAAAAAACACAAAACACCATGTCTGAAAGCGTAACACCCTAATCATTGCAATCACATTGTAATCTTGACAACTGAGGGCATATCGGTACCCAAGGCTGAGATGTGCTGGCAAGAACCCTGACATGGAGGGTGTCTGGGTGTTATGTGCCTTGTTTACATTTAGAGACTGCATGAAAACTAGCCTCTCTAAGGCGCAGCTCAGAAACAGTGTAAAAGAGTGACTTATAAAGCTACAATAAAGGAAGAATTTAGATCAAGCCTTTGCAGTTGCACTTTATATAGACAAATAAATGCATCAAATGTATAAAAAAGGAAGAAATGTGTTCCCTTTAAAATACTTCTCTTTATTAATCACTGAACAGCTTAGCATATGCCCTACCAGCATGCTCAGAACCAAAGATAGACAAGCAGCTTCTATATAAATTTTATGCTCCACCTTTCTATAACAAACTCCGAGACAATGGTGCTATAAACAACAACATAAATATTTTAGGTTTGTAGCTCAATACATTTTGTAACAGCAGTGTTTTCTCTCTGCTCTTTTTATTTTTTTTTTATAGAAAATGCCATCTTTAAGCAGAAAAACTGTTAGTTATATAGCTCACAACACCTGTAATTGAAAGGCACTTTACAGAGATAATTCAACCAGATCATTCAGTCAGATTGGTTAAAAGTTTCTTAAGAAACAAACCCATCTGATTGCATCAAATCATTGACTTTACATTATTTTGAGAGAAAATTCAATTTTCAATTATAGAGCTGTATACCAACTGCTTTACATTGTAAAATCTGTAATGTTTTATATCTTCATAGTAACCAGTGAAAATATGTAATAATGCATTTCCCCCATAATGAGATGTGCACTCACGTGATACACTGTGACTAGAGGGGATACATAACATAAACGAAATATACATTTCAGATTTTAAAAGCATGACTAAGCTTTAAACTTGAAATATTTGTCAAACAAAAATGTAAGGCTAGGCCAGTACTATGCCAGGTAGATTAAGTTTTAGATTTGCATTAGCAGGCTAACAAACATTTTAGCTTAACCTTACAAGATCTCTGTCTTTCTAAACGTTATGTGGATGGGTGGGGCTATTATTCTGAATTAACCTTTGTAAACGTTAAAGATAAAAATAATATAATATCTACGAGCCTCAATAACCGTTGACAGGCGTTTACTTTTAGAATTCTTAACGTTAGGTACCGGCTAATGCTAGGCCGCATACGGTATGATGGGTAAATGCAACGTTTCCCAAGACGAGGCAGCTCTAAGCTATTCTCTATAGGATGTTCGTTTTAGCTATATCATCTCATTTTAAGAAGGTTGGTTAAAACGACGGCAAAAAATGAGAAGCTTTTGAATTCTGGATCCCAGCATAGCTTACAGTTAGCATTAGCTGTTGAGCTTGCCTCATATCCTCCTTCCGCATCCAGCCGTTGTAAAATCTCAGAGCTTTCCTCCTCAGGATGCAGCTAGCAAAGGAAGGCTGTCCAACAGTAGTTCACCTGGAGCTTGGCTGTTCTGTTGGGGCTAGCTAACGTATGGTCCGTACAGTTCGTCATCCTCTTTGGCATCAAATCGTGACAGGCTTAAAAAATTATCAGCGAACCTCTCATGTTAAGAGCAACCACTGTTTCCTGGCGTAAACGAAGCTTGAGTGAAACCATTTCAGAGGTCTGGCTCAGTGGCTCACCCAACTGCTATTAGCTAAAGCTAACAGCTAGTTACCACACGCACGTATGTGTGTGCGCACGCGCGGACACGCACTGTGACGGAGACGTCCCCCTTGGTGCTGATTGGCTGAAGCGATGTCCTCTGAAATTACAGATCTACTGTATATACAGGGGTAGGTAGGGATCTATACCCATAATAATAACCGATCATAACAATTAATATACGTAAGTACAAGTACCCATCAAATTGCAGAGTAAAAACTATTCCATAAAAAGTGAATAAAGTACTGAAGAACTGTCATAATATCTAATTTTCTATTGAAATGACACAGAACACAGTTTTTGTGTCAAGTATAGAATAAAATAATCAGTACAAATTATTGTAAAAGTGTATTTAATTAGAAAAAACATTGTTTTATACCTAGATAAAAAAAAAAAACACAATTCCACATAATAAAGTAATTGTAAAAAAAACAAAAAACAAATAAAAACTAAATACTAAATACTTATAAGCTCTTTAGACCCTAACTAAAAGAATGCTTTCAGAGGTCAGCAACTTTTCCTGTTGCGGCTTTAAAAAAATTACATGTTTAGCTTTATTAATTAGACTCGGACAACTTTTATTGTAATTTTGTGTACACAGAGCGTATACAAAATGAGATTTCGTTTAGTACAGCTTTAATGACATTTCCATTTCTAAAAGTACAGCAGTGATCATGTGAGCATGGTCCAAAAAAATTTATTGATAGGCAAGTTCAGAGCATTAAATATATATGGTGCAATTTTGCAGTGTTTTGGTTTGTGTTGTCAGTTGTTTAGAGTTTTTTTCAACAGTTCAGCGTCTGATGGTGGTGAGGAAGAAGCTGTTACGGAATTTGCTGGACCAGCATCTAACGCTTCAAAGCCTCTTCCCAGAGGGCAGCAGGGAGAACAGTCCAATTGGGGGTGTGAGGGGTCATTAATAATGTTACGGGCTTGGGACATGTAGTGCTGGGATGAAATGTCTTTTATGGAGGAAAGAGGAGCCCCGATGAACTGTTCTCACCACTCTTCTCACCTCGTCCAGCCTTCACACCACACAGTGAGACAGCTGGTCAGAACGCTCTTTATGGTGCTTCTGTAGAACGTCATGAGGATGGGTGTGGGCAGGTGGGCTCTCATCATTATATTAAATGAGTGAAGAATGAACATGTTCAATGTGCACATGTAACCTCCAGTAATTGCAATCAGGTAGGATATTCAAATTAGTGCTGTGTTGTTTTAATAAGGGCCAGGAGACAGGATGAGATGAAACAATGTTTATCTGTACGGAACATAATATAGACTGATCTGGAATCAGGTCTATGTTTACTATATGTTGTGTTTACTATATTTAACACTGCAAACCATCAGGAGGGCTGCTGTTTCACCCATTACACATTAACCCAAATTTGGAAGTAATGTCAAGTACAATTCTATACAACATTAACTATGTTACACACACATAACATAACTTTGAGGTTTAACAGGCATACTTACTGTAGCTACAGGCATTCTGACATTCAACATTGAGCAACAAGCAACTACATCACCATCAATCCCCCTTATATTGGGTCCCAGGCCCAATGACTCAAGAAAAACTTAATGAGAGAACTACTGACCTAAGAAATAAAATCATGCCTCAGATGAGAACCTGTCAACCCTGGCAAAGGCTAGCAAAGTTAGGTAAGGTGCAACCAGATGATCTCCTGGCTGCAGTGATTACAACACTCAGTACAATCCCTATTACAGAAACTAATGAGCTGATATTTAGTTCAGCATTAGTGATCCTTGAGATGCTTGGCCAAGGTAGAAGTCAAGAACACGCACAGAGGACAATGTCCACCATGGAAGAGAAGGTGGGAAGCCAAAGTAATGGCAACAAGGAAAAATTAAGCCAACTCTCAGAACTCCAGAGAGGATCATCTGGGAAGGGAATGCTGCAGAAATAAAAGCAGAGGCCCAAGCCCGAGGCCTTGGAAGCCCATACTATGCGGCTTGATAGGTACAACAAATAAATAGAAACCAGATGAATAAACTGGTTGTTCTCCAATGATCCAACTAAGGTGTATTCCCAGTGGCAGAGCAACAACACATAAGCCAACCCAAAAAGCCTGGAGACTGAACAAGACTGGGAAAAAGAGGCAGCTGACCAAGCTAACCTCCCTGAACAGGGTCTAGCGAACATCTCAATGGCAGACCTCGAACAAAGACTCTCAGGTATGAATAGCTGGACAAAACCAAGCCCAGGTATGATCCACACCTACTGGCTGAAGAAGCTGACTTTTCTCCATGAACACCTAGCAGCACAATGACCTTTTGGGAAGTATCCTGTCTCTCCACAACATGGAAGCTCATAGCAGCGAAAATAAGTGGCCACACGGATCAACACATGACACAGGCACCAAAGTGCATTGTAAAACCAACACCAAAGGAACCAAACACCAACTGGTTGATAGAATAGTCGCCCGAGACTGTGGAACATACTAAAGGGGATCCTCTATTCCCCCCCCTGCTGTTCCGCATTGGCCTGAACCCCTCAGGCCTCAACAAGACTGGCTATGGATACCGACTCAGAAATGGGGCCACTATCAGCCACCTCCTGCATGTAGATAAAATCATTTGTATAGTAAGAGTGAACAAACCATCCACTCCACCGGGATCTACAGTAGGGACAAAGGAATGTAATTTGTGGGCTGGAGAAATGTGGCTGGATGGTGACAAGGAGAGGGAAGGTAATCCACCCAGAGGGGATCACGTTCCCAGAATGGTGAATAGCAGATATAGACGAGAGCTACAACTACCTTGGAATATCACAGGCAAATGGCAACCACAAACAGGCCACAAGTGAAACAGCTACAGCCAAATACCTGCAACAAGTTAGGCAAGTTCTGAGAAGTCAGCTCAAAGGTAAGAACAAGGTCCAGGCATTAAACAGCTATGCTTTGCCAGACGTCAGATACCCTGCTGAGATAATAAGAAATTCAGATCAGTGATATTAAAAAACACAGAAGCTACTCACTTTACATGGCGGATTCCACCCCAAATTTAGTATCCACACACTATACACTAAGTGCAAAGAAGGAGGTAGAGGCTTAGTGAGCATTAGAGCCACCACTGAAGATGAAACATCCAAGCCCTAAGAATACATCAGGAAGATGAAACATCCTAGCCCTAGGAATACATCAGGAAGGTAGCCCTAAGAGATGAAGTGCTAAATGAATGTCTCAGATAGTGGAAGCTGGAACTAGAGGAAATATCATTGGAGGAATAAACCCTGCATTGGATGTACCTGCAACAGATAGCTGAAGTGGTTGATATGAACAAATCCTACCAATGAATAGAGGGGGCTGGGCTGAAGGACAGCACATAAGCACTGATCATGGAAGCACAGGTGCAGGCCTTGAGCACCAGAGCAATAGATGTCATAGCCAGCAATATCCCAGTTGCAGGCTTTACAAAGAGGCCCCAGAAACAATCAAGACATGCAGGGTTGAAGATACTGGCAGGAAAGGATTACATGAACCGTCATAACCAAGTGGCTGGTATGGTGTACAGAAACATCTGTGCAGAACACAAACTAGAGATCAAAATGGGAGCCACCTTCCTAGGTGGTAGAGCAAAGGCTTGCTAGATGGTTTGCTAGTTTTGCAGCTGTACATAAAAAATTCAGAATAAAGGTAGATGAATTTAGAATGCATGAATTCATTACTATGGATACATTTTTATACGTCAAAAAGTTCACAATTATACATTAATTTGTTTTAGTCTATAAATTGTAGTTAATGTGGTGTTTAGTTTGATAAAATGTGCAAATACTTAAGGGGGTATAGATAATTCTATACACTTTAAACATTTTCTAATATGCATATTCAAGCATACAGATGAGCAAACACAAGATTCATACGCATAGTACAATTTCAAAGGATGTCTTGGACAACAAAGGAAAAATAATGATAAATGACTTTAGAAATAGATAAAGAAAACTGCCTTCCAGAACCAGTGCTTGGCAGGACAGCTATAATCTGCTTCTGCCGTTGGAGCAGTTTTGTCGAATTAACCTTTTGACATCTCTGCAATTCTCAGGAGTGGTTTATTCTGTCCTTTAGCAACCCCCGTTTGATACCCTCTGTCAACACGAATAAGTCCTCACCTGCACCAGACCTGTAGTGACACAACACCTCTGCAGCCTGTAGGGCCATTCCTCTCTGTATCAGTACAAAGGAGCTGAAGGTACAAATGACCCCCGCTGGCTTGGAAAACAGGCGTTCTAAATTCTTGTCTTTAGTGATAAACCGTTGGAAAATTGATGTCTGCCTAAAGCAGGCAGCTGTTGCCTTGGTCCTGGAAAATAAGAGTGTTCACAGCAGACAGTTCCTCTTCATATCAGCAGGGGGGGAGTCAACAACACATAAGCTACTGCAAGCCTGCAAAAGTGAAGGTGGAGTTCTTCTTTTGGCATTCAGGGGTAATGCTATTTTATGAAAGAATTGAGCATGAGGAGGCATTTTTCTTTTTCCCTTAGCTGGCTTCATTTATAGCTCATTTAATTTCTGCTGAACAGACTACATGCAGCTAGGGGCATTTAGAGACCCCAATTTGCCTCTTTAGTTATTTAATATCTTGCATTTGATAAAAAGACCAATAAACCAGCCTATTTCCTGAATAGAAGGTATGCATTCATTAACTTCTAATTCTTAGTCTACATCCAGTACCATTATAGTGAATTACAGTCTGTTTGGCACAAAAAACTAAATCCCAAACTTTAAGATAAAATTGTAAAAATTAGTTTTGCGGTTATAGTAAAACTGATTTATAATCAGAGCTTACGCAAGTGCTTTTAAACCAAAGCAACTATTAACAATAGTGTATTCACAGCCTTGTACTGATGTCCTGATATAAAAGGTGGCATATAAGTCGATTTTCTGAGGTTACTGTGGCTCCTATCAAATCATAACATAAAGCTACTGTTCAGCCGTGTCTGCTTAATCAAATAAACTAACTTTAAATGTAATTTTGTCACCTCTTGAGCAATATTTCACAGTCATTTTTTTATTTGTTTTGCTGGTTTATTAAAAATCGTTATTTAATCAGGGTGAAATCAAACCCTCTAAAAACAAGCTCCTATCAGTCCAGTGCTGTGGAGATTTTACAGAAGGCATAAAGCAAGTGATTGAATTTAAATTGGTTTTCTTCTTGTTGTTTTCCCTCTTTACTTGTATGCTTTCAATCAAGTTCTATTTTCAAAATATAAGAAAGGACATTTTGTGAAGAGGTTTACCTCTGACTGCAGAAAGGCAGACTTCATTATGAAACACCCTCCACAATCATTTTAAGTCAAGTTGTTCTGAACCTGTTTTGATCTGGTTGGGCTACTTGATTAAGAGCATTTTAAATTTCAAGTGATGTTTCAGCTACGTCTGCGGAATTTGTTACCCCTATATGAGCTTAAAACCTACCATTTAGGATGGAATAAGGATTGGAAAAAAATCAGATTAACAACAAACACCGTTTTACCAGGTGAAGCTTTTGAGATAGTTGGTGTTTGTTTCAGCTACACCATTTTGGCTCAGGGGGTCATAAACTCAAGTTCTGGTTTAAACATGAGTTTGAACAGTTTGCAACTCAAAAGCAGCTAAACTCAGTGATTACTAATTTCAGCTTATCAGCTCATTCTTTGTGCTTCTTGTGATGTTTTTTTTTTTTTTTTACCAAACATACACATCAGGCAGAATGCGCTGTTCTTTTTTCAATGCCCTTAAAAAAAGGTTTTCAATGTAAATATACATTTGTTTGCAAAAAAGTAGAAAAAAAGCAACCCTGTGCTGCCGATTTCTGCAGCTGAATCAAACTGAAATATTTTTAATAATTGACAGAGTTTGGGTGTTAGTGTAGAGTTTACGTATTCTCCCAATGTCAGACGGGGTTTACTCCTTCCTCCTCCTTATCCCCACTATGTTAGAATTTTGTCTTGATTTTTCTTTGTAACTTCGGCTGTAACCCAGCCAATATAAGGAATTACAATAACTTAGCAGTTAATGTTTGCTTTGTTTAATAAGTTCTGATTGAAAATAGAAGAAAAAATATATATACCTTGCTTATTTATGCATAAAACTACTGACTGGGCTGAGCTGCATCTCTTGTATGTCTCTCTCTGTACTTAAGAGGAAAAAATTATGGAATTACTATGTACTAATATGGCAGATGGTTGTGTTGACTTCTCTAATATAAGGCCCCAAGATAATAAAAATCGCTTCTCCTCAGGCCTGAGGAAATAATATTGATCCAATTATAATTCAAATCGCTCTCCAGAGTAGAACCAAGAACACTGACATGATTTGCTTGAACAAGAAACAGACTTATGGTGCTCCACAAGACCAGAGTAGATCAATCCATGGGGTGTAATCCATGCAGCCAAACCTGGCAAGTACTCATGAGCTGGCTCAGTTAAACAGCGCCTAATGTGTTGGCGCTTCTCTTTAAAAAAAGAAAAAAGAATCGGCCATCTGGGTCATTTACGTACTTGTGGAAACATGACGGAGTCCTGATTCTATCACAATGTGCAGTGAATCATCATCCTAGACAAAGAAGACAGATTAAGGGTTTTTCAAACTTAGACTTAAAAGGGCTAAATTAGTCACATTTAGATGCAGACATCCTGTTTTAACTAAAAGTATTTTTTGGTTTTATGATGAATGTCTGATACCCAGGCGATACTGTCCCTACAGAATTATGCCGCCTCCAAAGCAGAGAGACAGAGAGAGCAAAGAGAAACTAATGATGAAATCCAAGTGTAACAGACACTTTTCTTGACCTGTGATTTATAATAAAAGCTGCTTTTTCATGTTTAACATGTTAACTTTTCTGTTAGTGTAGTGTAGCCCCTGTAGATTAAATTGGATTTAATTCCCAAGTATCATGTTAATTTAATTTAAAAAGAAGAAAAAGTGATGTTAGAAATTAAGCATATATATTTTCAAATACAACTTTAAATATGAATATTACATGCTTTGGTTTTTGTACGAATGTTGCCCAGGGTACTGTGAACTTTATATCACCTCATATACGTGGATGTATTCACCAGCTATTCACAAGTTATCTTGCTGAAGCCTTGACTTCCCACAACTTCTCTACTTCCTTTTTTGAGACCTTGATATTTTTTCAAGCTTTGTTTTCTTAGCGTTGCTGCAGTTATATCCTCTGGCAAGTTGGACTGTTGTAGCAGTAGATCACGAAAGCTAAGATGTATGGAAGCCTGCTTAGGAAAACATTCAGTGACCTTTACATTTAGATAATATCATGCTGGCTCTGGCAGTGTTTGGTTGAACAGGGTCTGCATTGCAGAGGGAGAATGATATTCTGATGACAACTTAGCAAACAAGTCACATGTCAAATTATGAGTTTAAAACAATAGGAGGACATTTTCTTATCTTAAATTGTTTTTTCTTTGGTTTCCCAAACCAGAAATTACCTTTAAATAATCTAAAACCCGTGTATAAATCCAAGGTTTTGTAGATGGTAACAAGGCTCCAAACACATAGAAAAGGTTTCATACACCACAAAATACTCAAGCTTTACTAACTAGCTATGTTTTAGATTGTCAAGTTTTTGTGTTTCATTTGAGATAAATAAAAAAAGTTTTTTTGTTTGGTCCTAAACAGGAATTCCCAATAAGATACTAACTTTAGACTGATGAGCTATTTGACATAAATGGTGAAAGTGCCTAAATGACTTCACTGTTGATGGGTAACATATGGCAGGTTATTTATTTTACCTCAGCATTTCAGGAATCATTGCACCTTAGCATGGACTGTCATTAACTAACAAAATGGAGTCCTAAGCAATGAGCTATAAATCCTATTTAGAAAAATTTCCTCATTTTCATTGACTAAGATCTGGAATCCTCCTTTCGGGCAGATCCCAGATAACCATAAATTGTCCAGTCATGACAGCTGTACCATTTTCTTTGTCCATGTTATCAATACAAAAATTAGTTCATTTACATAACAATGTAATAAAAAGGTCAATTAGTAGTTCAATTAAAAAACTGAGGTATTTATACTTTAAAGAATCCCTGAAGCTGAGTGATATATTTTCATGTATATATTTGAGCAATTTTAATTATCTTGGCTTACAGCTAATGAAAGCTCCACATTCAATAGAAAAATCAAAATGTTACATAAAATTAATTAAACAATGAGCTTAAACAACAAAAGAAAATAAAAACAAAAAAACAAATTAAACAAAAGACAACCTAACCGAATTTCAGCTCAAGAAGCTACCTGTCGATAGGAATATTAATGGAAAGTTGAGTGGAAGGAAAAAGTGCAAATAATGTGCAAGAGTTCAAAGAAAACTAACAACAAATACAATAAACTGATGGACTAATTGCTCAAATATCTGACATTCATGTGGTAAATGTTTTCTGAGCAACAGAGTTTTGTGTTTTCATTAACTGGAAGCCAAATTTATCATAATGAGCAGAAGATGAATTCCCTTTTATGAATTGAAATAGCTGTATGTGTCAAAGATCAGTTTAGGTCAGCAAGAAACATCACATAACACAGGTGTGTACAAAGTATATAATCAAGTGTATTTCATCTTTATCCACGTTCTGTACACATATTAAGATCCATTTCACATGAACACTATACAATAGCAATGAGTGAGGAATGGTATATTTTCTGAGAACTGAGCAACTCACACTGGATGGCACTTTTAATAAAGAAAAAAAGAAATCACACAGCATGAGTAGATAACTGAAAAAAGTTGTTATACCATCTGATTCATTTAGTTTTAGCACATATAAAAAGCACACCAAAAAAAAACATTGTTTTCTTCCATCCCTCTGTTTTCTCTGCATAATCTGAAAGGCAAACAAGGAAAATAAAAACAATGAGATATCTGCAGCTATCAGAGGAGAGTGTGCTTCTTTTTATTCTTTATTTTTGTCCAGATTAAAGTAGAAAGCAATCTAAAATGTGATACGTTAAGAAGAGTGGTAACAAGATACATCGAAATATCAGAGAAATATTACAGTTCACAAATTTAATTTTTCATCCCATAGAATAGTCTGGATAACTGATATAAAAAAAATTATTACGTTTTGGCTGCTTTACAAGGATTATCTTATGTCTTAGAGAAATGCTTCCACATTCCGTGTGCTTTTAAAATTTCAAATGACAGTATATTGGAAATATAAGGTTGGGAGTGAGCCGGCCGTTCTCTGAAACGTTCTCCAGAAAATTGGGATTCTGTGCTTCTCAAAGCTCCATTCGGACTGCAACAGTTTGGTGTGGTGATGACGATAATGATGATGAGTGCTGGACCAACAATCTCGGATGCGTTTGCTTTGATCACATCTTTGTCAGTCTGCTAACCTCTATATGTACAGTACATACAAGCAGTGTTCGTAGAGGAATACCTTCAAAATTATTTCTTCAAGGAGTACTGACTTAATTATCTCACACAAATAATACCTCAGATTCATCTGACTAAGACATTCGAGGATCGCTGCGTGGAGGTATGTAGAGGGATTTCGTGAACACTTTAGGATGGAGCTAGATGTCCTGGCTTGTTCACAGCACAACTATCCATCGGTGGAAATAATCCCATCTCATGTGGATGGGCAAACGCAGAGCGATCGGGGTAGTTTGAAAACAGAAAACCCATAACGTAACACGGAGGCTGCTGATGTGATGTCTCTTCCGAGTGAAAAGGGTTTTCTCTTCGAGTGCGCTCAGGAGGGCTGCTGTGGCGCCTGCTGCTCATCTACCATAAAAATTCAATAACTGGCCTGTTCTGCTTCATGTATCATAATGGGGACATCGAGACTCAGGATAGAGAATTACAAAGAAGTCCAGAGGAACTGGATGTCCTCAGCACTTTCTTCACAGTACCATATCCATGCTATGTACAAAGCCTAAGTGGATATTCTCTTTTCTAGCCAAGTTAGGAACATAAAATAAAAATTGTGCACCAACAAAGAGATGGTGAATAAGGTTAGATCATGTTTCATCAACATTTAATTTAACACTGCTGGGGAATTTCCTGGAAATCCGATGTTTGATTTGCTTTTAGAGGACATTTCTTTGCAGACTGGAACCTTTTTCAGATACCTGATAAATACAGGTTAAAAAAAACAGAAAAAACAAAACAGAACAAAGAAAACAGCATACTCTCATCCCCCAGTCTCAGTCCAGCTTTCTTTACTCTCCTCTTTTAGTTTCAGACATAGTATTCCTTGTCCTTGTTCTTTTTGCCCTTTGTGATGGCCTTTGCCACAGAGGCGGTGGCTGTGCTTTTGTCTTTGACCACTGCTCCATTGCCCTCCACGGTGGAATTGTTGGCAAACGTGTGGCCCTGGTCTGCTGGGTAGGAGCCCTCATCCCGGTTGCGGTACTTGTACATGGCATAGAGGAGGATGAGGATGCAGAGAGCAGCAGCAGCCACAATACCGACCACCATCCCTGTGGTGCTACTGGACTCCCTGATGACCTCCACGGCACCTGGTTGGTTCTTTTCATCAGAGGCTGTGGGATTGGCTGTGGGCACATGGGGAAAATTGGGGGGGTACGTTAGTCCTGGTGTGTTACGGGAGGATGGGGGAGCAGGGGGCAGGAGCACCTGGTCACGGGTGTTCATTTTGCCTGCAGGGATGTGGAGCTGGTCAGGATTAGTTGTGGGAACAAAAGGAGGTAAGGGGCGGGATTTCTGGACTCCACCCTCACCGGCGGCGGGAGGTGGAGGAAGGACTGTCCTGTCAGTGACCAGGGGGGAGTTATTTTTGTAAAAGTCCTCATCGTCGGATTCCGTCATCTCCCCCGAGCCGAATGCCGAGACTTCCACAGGGTCACCGCAGTCCTCCTGGTCCGGGGGGCAGGAGGGGTGAGGGGGGAGGATCAGGGACTCTTTGGTGGTTTCAAGAGGGGAGAGGAGGGTGGGAGGAGGGGGGATGACGGGGTAACGGGTAGCAATGGATGGGGGCTCAAGGGAATCCACTGTTATAATAGGCAACACTAATTCACCTCCTAGAAAAGAAAGAGAAGAGGTAAGGCATCCTGAATTAGAACAGGTCTGAGTGAAGAATAAAACATCATGTGGCTCATTTCTGACATGTAGGCTAATGTCAGATGGTTGATTACTGATATTATTATATCAGTTTGCCAAGCAAAACAACTAATGCTTTCCAAATGTTTCACGTGCTGTCAAACCACCAACTTTATTGTATTTAACTGAAGATTTATGGAAGACCAAACAAAGTAGCTCAAACTTGTAAAGCGGAAATACGATTTAAAGTATATCTACTTTAATTCATACTCCTAGATAAGATCCAGTAGTAATAACTGCCTCTAGAATTTACCTATTTGGTGAAAGAAGTCCAGCTGCGTTGGGATTTTAATTTAATCTCAGTATGAATACTCAGCTGAAGACCTCAGTGCTTACGTAGAAGTCACTAAAGGGGTCATAGAATGATTCTATAGGGGATTTGGTGCTGGTCCTTAAGGTCTCTGAATATGGTGTGTAACATTGTTTGGGCTGAAAATTGCCTATTTGCTTTTCTATGAGCCCTAATGCAAGCCTGGTTAAGAGGCCAAGAATGAAACGACAGGTTTTCTTCCTTTTATGGTAGGCTCATGATAATTTAGATGAGCCGTGCGCTGACTGGTTGGTTTACAACGTGTGAAGCTGCTAAGCAAAGAGGCGTCATAGCAACAAGCACTCACTCACTGAAACATCAAAATTGTTGATATGGTAGGGTGACCAGACTTCCTTTTTTTCCCGGACATGTCCTCATTTTCATACCTATAAAAATTTCCAGGGGGAATTTCAAAATCGTCGGGATTTTGGTCGACTACAATGCAGCAGAACCGAGCCGTCAGCTCCGGGGCTGGTCCGGGAACCCCCGGCGGACGGGGGCAGAGAGCCAGTGGGGGACGGAGCGACCAAACCTGACCCGGTGACGGTAGCATGGACACAGGTGGCCCCATGCTTCCCCTGCCTGCGGCTCATGGCGGCTCATGGCTCTCTGCTGAGGTCTGGTCCAGTCAGCGGCCAAGCAGTCAACACTTCAACCCCCCATAAACCCTAATTTCGGGGCGTGACAAAAGTTCAGGCCACAACCAAATAAGGCAACATTCCATAGTTTACGTCAACTCTGGGCTTTGTTTAAATTTGCCAGTTTTATGGTGGAAGTTTAGAACTGTGAGATTTGCAGAGAAGGACAATGTGAACTCGGTTTTGCATTCTATGACCCCTTTTAATGAAAACAGCACTATGAAGATTAAAGAACAAACCAGATGGTGGAGGGTTAGATTTGTAGTCAAGCTTAAAACAGGCTTAAAGTACAAAACCAAATCTCAATTTTTTCTGATTTTTGTCCAGTTCATCATCTATAAGGTGTCCTATAAGGCCACTTTATAGTAGTTTCCTCAACCAATTGACCTTCATAGAAAAGAGAGGAAGAAAGAAAAGCCAAATTGATAAAAGAAAGTCAAGAGAAATCCCATTTGCAATTTCTGACCAGTTTATAGCGGCGTAACCATATTTGTTATGCAAAACAGTTTGTCTGACAGAAAATGCTCCATATTGCCCTGAATACATCCTCTGCAAAATAATAAACTACAGGGGCAGCAGAGTAAAAGCTGCTGGGAATCAAAACATATCCACAGCTATAATTTTGGTGGTTCCACAACTACAGTTTTTGGATTTCCATATATTAAAAACATATATAATTTCCCATCAACTACAAAACTATACACTACTATGTTTTGCTCACTTAAAATCTCAAAATAATACATCAAAGCTGATGGTTAGCAACACAAAATGTGAAAACTGTAAGCATTTTTGAATGTTGTTGCCAGGCACTGAATATAACTCTGTTAAAGGTGTAATTCTTTGAGGTCTGGGTAGCCAAAAGAGAAATCTATAAGAACATAAAAACATACAGGAACCAAAGCCCAACACAACCCTAAAGAGGTCACATGCTGCCAAAAACACACAAGGACACATAGGAGGCTGAAGCTGCATGAGGGACAAATGATAAATGGATAAACGTGCAAAAAAAAGCAAATGGCCGTGCCACTGTGCACATCTGTGGGCGGAGAATCAGGGATGACAAGAGAGCAGACAGATTGTTATTTGAAAGAAAAACAAAGTCTGTCTGTCTGTCTGATAGTATCTATCTATCTATCTATCTATCTATCTATCTATCTATCTATCTATCTATCTATCTATCTATCTATCTATCTATCTATCTATCTATTAGGTATTTATGGCAACTCTTTTCCCTTTCATCATTATTATTTGAGTCACACGTTGCAGAGCCAGCCAGCAACAAACAATTCTGATAAGGTCATATNTCTATCTATCTATCTATCTATCTATCTATCTATCTATCTATCTATCTATCTATCTATCTATCTATCTATCTATCTATCTATCAGTCTGTCAGGTATTTATGGCAACTCTTTTCCCTTTCATCATTATTATTTGAGTCACACGTTGCAGAGCCAGCCAGCAACAAACAATTCTGATAAGGTCATATTAATAATGGAGGCACCAATAATAAGGTCAGACTCGTTCTTGAGTTTCAAAGCTTGTAACTGTCACAAACCTGATCTACTGTCATCCTGTCTTAATTACTGCGGCGCGCTCTTCATTTTCCACTAATTTTCATTAATTCAGTCCAGCTGAGTGATTTGCAGATGCATTTATGATGAATAAAAATTAGATGAGGCTGTAGTGAATGAGAGCAAATGTTTTGAGCGAGTGGTGGATAGAGAGGAGCAGAGACATGAAGACTGACTTCAACAGTTTTGGAAAACAATTATGAAACCAGTACATTCTGTCCTTTCACAATCCTTAGCAGGAGTCAGATAGCGGTGCAGACAGATCCTCCCTTGGCTTTCCCATTGGCTACCCACCTGTTCCAGGTTCACACTCTTCCAGGTCCTCGTCGTCACTTGGACACTCAGCTGATGCCACCAGAATATCATCAGAGCTCTGAGGCTGAAAAGTGAATAAACAATTAACACATTGCAGGCTGGATTTTTTTTTTCTTTCATCAGCTTTTACTTTTGACTGCTGTATTTGAGAAATATCTGCCAAACACAATGCTCTGTCACAGTACTGTTTTTAGTTTAGTTTTTTTTTTTTGCTTGGAGCAACTTTAGTAAGTGTGAATGTTCAAAAGCAGCACGTACACAGCAGCTCTTTATTCTTTAACCCCTGTGGTTCTTTTCATGCACTGTGTGTGCAAATACAGAATAAACGTTACTAAATGATTGCCTGAAAGCTAAATGTCATTCAAATATTTTTTTCACTAATTTGTTACATAGATTTCCACAAAAACATGACCTGCTTTAAATTAAACAGAAAAAGCAGAGTTGGAGATGGATTTTCCTTTTAAACCTTTGAGTGTACTAACAAGAAGCAATACATGGATGAAAGATTGTTAAATAGACAATTTGGTTCATTTAAAACTTAAAAAAAAGAACAGTTTATTATTTTTACTTTTTAAACCTTTTTGAGAATTAATTTAAAAATCATACATGGTCAAACATGATGAACCTTTTCCAGTTAAAACCGTTTTATTGAGATTCATTACCAGCTTTTAATAGGCATTTAAATTTGGCCAGAGTTTTAATTTGTTCCATTTGATTGACCTCAGTTACATTTACACATTCATATACATTTTTATGTATATTGATAAATTTATATTTTATGTACATGTTGGTTTTCACATTTACTCAGCCAGCCACATTTTTCTATCATTCAGTCAAAAGACAATGAGGTGAGTTCCTAATGTCTGCACAACAACAGTTTGCTCAAGAGTTTGGTTTTGGACCAACAGCTCTGCCTATATGTGTGGTAAAGCTCGTTGCCCAGGGCACCACTCAGTCAGAAATCGCATGGATGCTCGAAAAAACAAACCAAAAAGAAACAAGAAAGCAAAACAAAATTATGATGATTGATCCTCCAAAAAATATGTCCTTTCGCTTACTGATACATATTCCAGTGTTAGAGGTGACTGCTTTGCTTTAGTGTAATATCTGTAGAAAGTATTACCATACAGGCTTAGAGCTTAATGCCCAGAACTTTACTTTGCTCCTTTTTTTCCAATACAATTTGGAAAGCTTTTGTCATGTTTAGTTTAAAAATATAAATCCGAATCTAACTGGATTGTGCTATCTTAATGGGCCTGCGGGTGGGTCCAGCTTAGACAAATGTTTAAGATCCACATATCTAATCAATGCCAAACACAATTTTTTTAATTGAATTTATATTTCCTCACAAGACAATAATAACAAGTACCCAAATAAGATTTTAACAAAAATATGTATGGTTTTAGGGCAAATTAAACACTTTTACAGGTCATTTACACATGGGTTAATCAGTTAAATGAACTCTATAAAGGACAGCCATCTTCTTACTAAAACAGATCTTGTCTGGTATCATATGAAACGAAAGCAATTCACATTTTAATTGACATATAGCATGTCCTTCTACCACCTTTTCTAAAGAGGTAATATACCCACAAATTGAAACATACTGTAAATAATGTCCATGCCCTAGTCATTGCAAACTGAACTATGTAAACAAATAACCATTGACTCATGGTACATTCTGATGATGCACAGGGTTAATGTCATGACCAAAGGCTGTGACATGTGCAAAACAAGTCCAACAATGGCATTTGTGTTTTTGTCCAGATTCATCTTAATGAGGTAAAAATACATTTGTCTCAATTGTGCCAAAGTTACAGCTCTGTTCTTTACAACTAAAACCTTTAAAGTTGAATTTGCACCAACTGATTTAATCTGAGGCATCTCCTGGGTTTTTAAAAGGACTACAATGGTGTTTTGAGGCTAATGTTTTCTCACCAATTAAAGACAAATGTAGACATTGCATCAGTGGTTCCACTGAAAATATATCACACCTTTACACAGGTTTGCATTCAGACCAGGTAACTCTAGAGATATTCTCACTTTAAATTATTTGTGTATTTTCAGTATCTTCTAAAACATGCAAACCCCACTGAAAGTGTTACAAAAGTTTTATATTTATGAAGCCTTAATACTATATGAGAAACTATAAACTAAATCATGTACAAAAGCATGTGTTATCAAAATCATTTACATGAAAACAAGCATAAACATAATTAAAACAATGGCAATATCCAAGCAATTCTAACCTTGGATTAAATGATATAAAGCAGATCATGTATTTTTATTTATTTATTTTTTTTTTTTTAGCAGCAGCTTTGATTTGTGAAGCCCTTAATCTATTTTCATCCACAATTCTAAGAACTGCCAGTGATTGGGACTGTGGAACACAGAATTAATTCTGTAATGATTAAAAAGTGGGCTGCACAGTGTTGCAGTGGGCAGCACTGTTGCCTTGCAGCAAGAAGGTCCCGGGCTTGATTCGCAGTCTTTCTGCATGGAGTTTACATGTTCTCCCTGTGCATGTGTATGTTTTCTCCAGGTACTCCGGCTTCCTCCCACAGTCCAAAAACCTCACTGTTATCTTAATTGGCTTCACTAAACTCTCCTTAGTTGTGAGTGTGTGTGTGAATGGTTGTTTGTTTGTTTGAAAATGGATGAATGGAAAGGGTCTTTTCTCTCTTATGAAAACGAGCATTCAGATTCCTCCTTTTTTTCTCATTACTCAACACTGGATAATGGAAGTACATTTAAGTACCTTCAAAAAGGGAAATTTGAGGTCTACTAGAATCCTTTTGAAGAGCGTTTGGCTTACTTTGTGTTTCTGACATTCTGCCTTATCATCTGTCAACACAATCATATAATAGTAATACTAAAATAACTCTTTTATTAAACAGCTACATCTGCATGCAAAGCAGCTATACAAGCTCCTGACTTCTACTCTTTGCTGATAAACATTTGATTAAACTTTTAAATACACATAAAAGCACTTAGGTTTAAAGTTTTTCCTTTTAATGAAATCCTAGAAAAGAGCCAGACACTGTTTGGAGCAGAGTGTATAGTAGCACACCGAGGTCCCTGCTCCACCTGTTGCTGTACACTTCCAGTTGGAAGAAAGAATGAAGCCTGCAGCACTTTTCCCTCCATTACAAAAAAAAAATTAATTAGTTATAAATATTTCTTGCCATGAATTAAACAAGGCTGCCTCTCCTGTATTTCTACAATAGGCTTTGTATTAAAATCTAAACAACATCAAATTATAGATTTAGATAATGTTATAGATAAAAGTATTACAACTATAATATGTGTATTATTTTAGCAGGATTAACTTTTTACATTATGCAAAAATTTTTATTTATATTCTTTTTGTTAGAGTAAAAATATAATGAAAATAACTTATTTTCACCAAAGGTTATGGCTTGAGAATTTCAAAGTGTTTCATGAATGATGGTGTTAGTAATTTATGAGTCCATCTTTTTAAAGTCTGTCTTCAAAGTAAAAATGAACAAAGCACAAGTGTTTGAGTTCGTTGGTCCCTGTGAGGAAATCTAAAAATCTAAGGAGCAAAAACTCATTGTTATAAAATGCCATAGCCTTTCCAATGCAAAGACAAACTAACGAGTCTAATCTGTTATCTGTTTTCACATCGTATTTTTTTTTTTTAACCTTTTGCTCTTTTAATGGAGTTTGAGGGATCCTGTAACCTGATGGCAACTGTAAGGAGTGTCACTTTCTCACACTTGAATCTAAAGCTTCTTATATAATTATTTTTTGCAACATATGAACTGATTTTAAATTTGAATACGTGTGTATCAAAACACATGAAAAGGTGCCTCTAATAAAACCACAGTATGATGAGAGAAGTCATTAGAAAGGATTTAGAGATTTACATCTAAAGTGTCGCTTTATTAATTTGCTGTGAAGCTAAATATATGATTGTGTTTTGCAACAGAACATACAAAAATTTTCGACCTGATCTAAGTTTTGTAAAGAGATCAACCTGAGTGGAAGTAAACGTGTTTGAACAATATATGATGTATTAATTGGCAGGAATATGTGTTCAAACTAGCTTTACAGTTCTCCCGTCCAAGTGTAAACATTTAGTACCAGTGCAAATGTAACACAAAAGAATAATTTCCCGAGACCCTATTAATTTGTGATCAAACAAAGAAAAAATATAAATGTTTTGACCCTCGCCTCAGTTTTTTTTATTTTTACAAATAAAATATCTAAAAGATCATGAAAATCCCTTTGAAAACCTAAGAGAATCCCCAGATTGTATTTATCAATATTGACTGTAACTTGAACAAGGACTCATTTGTTCCACAGAGTAAGTAAACAGAGTGCCAGGTACAGCTCTCATTTTGGCCCAAGTGAGACAATTTAGTGAGACAATTTTTTTAAATTAAAAAATCTTTAATTAATGGCAGAACTCGGAAAAAATTAAGCTAAAAAAAGACCTTTAATGTGACAATGTATTATTCTCTAGTTTCAAAGGATACCAGCCATGAGTGGTCGCTCAAGAAAAGGGTAAGGCGTTATTTAAATTTTGAATGATTATGGTTCTGATTTCAATTCCTTTCTTTGATTCTGGTTCCTATTGATTCTCGATTCTGGTTCTTTTAAAGGTGCTAGTAGGAGATCTTGGAAAAACGGTTCCAGCAAGCTATATTTTTGAACATACACAACCATGCCTCTCCCTTCAGACCACCCCTCTAATCCACGCCTTCAAAACACATGAACGCGCATGCTGTCTGTCGAGGTGTTCAGATGTTTCCAAGATCGAGAACGAAACAAGCTGAGACCGAGTGCTCGTGACATGAACTAACAACAACATAATGCTACGTTCACACCTAAAGCAGCAGAGGCTGAAAAAGCAGCTAGTTTACATGCAAAGTCAATGGTTGACGTGCATCAAGGTGCAGCAAAAGGTCCTGCAGCACGTCTAGAGCAGCAGGAGCAGCTCGTTGCCGATCTGGGAGCTGGCAGGGAGACAGACACTGCACTGATGATGCAGAGCGCTATGATCACTCCTCTGAAACAGTTTGTTAACGCCTAATTTAACTTAAAATGCTGAAATCTGCCGGCA